TATGTTATAAATTCATATGATTTTGTAGTAATAATAACCATTAAAGTTCTATCTCCTTACTAATCACAATTTTCATATAATTAATTTCTGGATAATCTAAAAATACTATTTTGATTTAGAAAAGTATCATCTGATATTTCATTAAGCCATCTAATCCATAACTATACAGAATATTAAGTTGATCCAATAAGATCATTTTTACCTTCTATCAAATTGATTCTATTTAGTTTATCAAAATCACCTTCATAATCTTTGAATTGATATGCTTTTTATATCAATTTAAGTTCAAATTCTGGTAGATTAGATTTATCTTTAAAAGATCCACTTCCAACTTCCATTCCAATTTATGTAAAATCTCCATCAAATGCATGATCCTATATTTAAGAACTTAAAAGTAAAATAAATTTATTAGTCAAATGATGTTAAATATAATTAAATACTTTTGTTTCAATAGAATCTATTATCTTAAAATAAACATTAATTTATTATAAATTTTAAGAATAGCCCATCCAAAAATAACACCAAGTACCAAAGTTGGCATCTAATAATATATTTTAAATCCAAGAAATAGCAGGTGATTCTTCATTTATAGAATATGTAATAAATTAATATCCATTTTAAGATAATCTAATTTAAAATCTAAATCTTTATTCTTCATACTATTCTAAACAAGAACTCAATTGTAATATAATTTATTCGAATTTATATTCTTCTTTTATTACATTATCTTAAATTAATTATTTTTTTAATTCACTAGGATTTGGTCTAAACCAGCCAAAAACTGAATATTCTTCTGGGAAATAATTCTCTTTTAAACCTATATTATGTTAAGTAAACTATGATTATTCATTAAGAGTGATGAATTTATATATTTATAACTGTTCATTAAATTATATTTATTTTGATGAATCAACTAGAATTTAGAATTATTAAACATCATCTATAACAGCATTTCCATCAAATCTGATTATAAGATTACTAATCTAACCATTAAATCCTTCATAATTTAACTAATTAATATATATAAATATTTACAAATTTCCCTAAATTAAAATTGACTTTTCCATTTATACTTTTATGAGAAATATTCTTAAGAATCATCCTTATAACTCTTTTTTCTTTATAATGATGAATAAATCCAACAACTTATTATTTATCAGCATTATAACTTAAATAAATATAATTCCAAACATTTTCTTATTAATTTAATAATTAGAATGTCCCAATTTGATATTTTTGAGTATTTAAATCATAAACTTTTACTTTATATTACTTTTTATCTTAACTCATATATAAAGATAGAATTTCAAGTTCTCTATTTTAAGTTTAAATACAATATAAGCTTGATATTGAAATATATTATTCTTTATCTTCTTATTTTACTAATTCTGGATATTCTCTTAGATATCTTGACCAGAATCCATATCCATAATTTCTTTAACCATCCATACTGATTTATGAATTAGAAACAAATACTTATTGAAATCCTGATTTAATTGATGGTATATTAATAATTTTATTAAATTAACCTTTCCATTCAAATGAAGTTGGAAAGAGTTTCAAACCTTATTTAAATGCTTCAGTTAAATAATGAAATTATGATTAAAATGATCCTAATCCAAAATCTATTTTAAAATAATCAATATCTCCAAATAAATCATTTGTTTATCCATCAAATCCTTTATAAACAAGAAAATATTTAGATGCATGATGAATACATTCAAATGAATTTTTCATTCTTTTAGTTTTTGTTTATATGAAATAAAGACATACATGTTTCTTATGTCCAAAGTATATATAAGTCCATTATTTTTTATCTTATTCGTTTTCTATTTCTATCTTCTTTTCTTGTAATTAGATATAATCATCTTTATCAAATGAATAGCTTAAAAAATATAAATTGTTATTTTAATCCATTTTAACTCCTAAAGTAATATCACCTGGTTTTTAATCACTATATTCATTAGTTGACATTAAAAATATAAATTAAAATTCATTTTCTGTTTTTCCAATACTCTTAAACCATAATTAAACACCATATTCTGAAACAACATCATTTAATTTATATTCTGATGGCATTTTATTAAGTCGATCATTTGAGAATTATTCAACTTATTTAAAAATCCAATTATTAGATATAATATTTTCTGGAAATATCTTTTATTTGTTAAATTTTGGTATAATACTATCTTTACCAAAATATAAGTTTGCATCTTAAATATCTCCATTAAAATGTTTAATATTTTAAAATCTTGATCCTATTGAACCAATAGAAAAGAATAGATAATTGTCAATTAAATAATGCACAATATCATTTTAACTATTTGTACATTTATTAACTCCCTTAATATTGTATATACAACCAAGAAAAATTCCTTATTCTTTATAAATTCTCTTATATCCAGTATATAAATATAGCCATTCATTATCTAAATGAGTATTAATATAAAATTATTTTTATTTTTTATCTAGTACACTATAAGATTCAAATTGTATTAGATTATTTTATAAATAAACTGAAAGAGTACTCTCACCAAGATTATTATTATATTTATATTATTAAGTAGTTCCAAATCTTGACAATCCTAAAGATTAATTAGTAAGTGTATCAATTTTTGATGGACTATTATAAAGAAATCTCATCCAAAATCCATAACCATATTCAAATGAATCAATTTTAAATTAAGAAGGATCAATCTCATTTTCTTACAAATCCTAATTTGAATTTATATCTATTATCAAATTGCTTTGCTAAAATTTCCAAGTTTCCATCTTATTAACAATATTAAAATCTATTAATCCAATCTATGTTTGAAGTATTTAATCTTCTTCAAAACCATCCTCTTAATATGCTCCAGCACCATAATTAAATGTCCATCTTTTTAAGTATCCATTAAAACCAGGATCGTATTCATCCTTTTATAAATTAATATAAATTCCATGAAGTTAATAATGATGAATTTACTCATGATGAATAACAAAAGCTTTCTCTTCAAATTTCCAAAATTAAAAAATCTTATTTCGATTTGTATCATAAGCCATATAAATAAAATGCCATTATTTCTCTTAATTTTCAGTTTATATATTCCAATTAATCATATTACAATTATCTATGCAATTATAACTTTGAAATTAATATCCTTAGTCATTTTAAATTAAATAAAAGATTTTATCAAAAAAATCTTAATTGATTTCTTTTGAATGACTTAATCGTACAATTAAATTTTGATCTTTAAATTCAATTGGAATATTAAATTTCAACCATCCTGATATTGAATATTATAATGGATCAATCTCCTAAAACTCAAATTATTTAAATATTTGTTTATCATAAAATGTCTCCTCTTGATGTTCTAATAATGTTTATTATTAAAATATTTCATTTAAATTAAACAATAACGGATATTATTCATAAGCATAAATTTTTAATTCTTCTTAAGTAATAGGATATTATTCATTAATCAAAAGAAATATATTGCAATATAACCCATTAAAAGCATAATTATTAAATTCTCTTTTGATTAAAAATCTTAAGAAATCCAATCTATAATGTTTAGCTGGAATTAGTGCTTCTTCAAATTTATCATCTTCTAACAATAAGTATCCTCTAGCCAAAACTAGTTTATTATATTTCTATACATTCTTAATAAGAATATCCAAAGTAAATAAAAGTCCATTTGCCATCTAATTATTCTTTTTCATATTTAGCATTATAAAATTTCTCTGGGTATTCAGTAGTGTAAGTAGTGAAATGATAAAAATCTTTACTCAACCAGATTGACAAAGTTCTATCTAAGGGACTTTAATAATCAGTATGATTCTATCTAGTAGTTAATCTACTTATTGAATGCCAATCTTTTTATTATTCCAACTATTTTGGATATACAAATGAGTATTTTAACCAGAATCCATAAGCATAAGTTTAAACATCATCAAAGTCTTAATTTCTATTTAGACTTATATCCCAAACATCTTTAAATTAATCTTCATCATAGGCTGATGTAAAAATAAGTTAATCTGGCTCATAAATAAGGCAATTAACCAAAAAAGGAATTTATAATAGTATAAATACTATTATATTAGAATTCATATATTAAATAAAAATAATATTCTTGAAGAATATTATGAATGTTAATATTCAGATAATAACAATTTATTTTTAAACTTCAGAACTCTTTTAGCTTATTCCAAGTTGTAATATTCATATAAATTAGGTTTAAAATTGATAGTTGAAATATATAGTTTTATTAAGTATAATCAAATTAAGTTTATAAATCAATATCTTCATCAATAACTCTTTGTTCCTTTCTATATTAAACTATATTAATGATATTAAATTAAATTATATTAATGATATTAAATTATATCAATGATCTATAAACTCTAACTTATTTTTTATATGCAAATGAATATTATGCCTTTCAATCTATTTTCTAAGCCTTTCTAATCTATATTCTGGATGAAATTCAAAATACAATATTAATTATAATATTCTATCTTTTAATTCATTATAAAAGTTTATTGTAAGATTAGATATATATAAATATAAGTAAATATTATTCTAAGCTAAATTAGATTTTTTTAAATATTATGAATGTAATTATTATCATTAAAATATTTAGAAGGTTTAATGAATATAATCATAATATACAAAATCTATATAAGATTGATTAAGTTAATATAAATTTAATTTTATATTAGAAAATGACTAGAAATATAAATATAAATACAATTATATTTAAAACATAATTCTGAATGTAATATTAAATTTTTATTATTTTATATGTTAGTAAGATAATTAGATAGTAATATTATTAGATATTTTAAATTAGATAAAAACATAAATTCCAATTATTTTTTACTAAAATATAATCAAAATATAAGTCAGGCTTTAAAATATTTTAATAATATTGGTATTATGATATGAATAATATCTTAATGAGATTTATATTACCAAATTATTGTATTAGTAGTTAAATTTGTAAATTATATTATTAAAACATGAATTAAGAAGACATATTTTTAAAAAAATAGTGGTTCATTAAGTCTTGTGAGGGAAAGATTGAATAATATTATGATATAAATCTTAAGAAGGTAATTCTATTTGTCAATGATAAAGGTAATTGGGTCTGGAACATATGGAAGCGTTGTAAAGGCTGTATTAAAGGGCACGAAATAATAACGTGCAGTTAAGGTGATACCCAAGAGTAAGGTTAAGAATCCAGAACGATTTAAAAGGGAAATTGATATACTTAGAGCAATGGACCATCCAAATATCATAAAATTGTATGAAACTTATGAAGATTAAAGAAATGTATATTTAGTGACAGAGTAAAAATATTCATAATGAATTAGATTATGTGAGGGAGGTGAATTATTTGACAGAATTATGGATAAAGGATATTTTAATGAAGCTGAAGCTCATGCTATATTTTTGCAAATTATTCAAGTATATAGATTAGTAAATTTAGGCATTAAATTATTGCCATTCAAATGGTATATGTCATAGAGATTTGAAACCTGAGAACTTTTTATTCTTAACTAAAGCAGAAGATTCTCCACTTAAGGTTATTGATTTTGGTTTAAGCATTTTATTTGAAGATGGTCAATAAAAACCAGGTGCTTAAAAAGTATCAATGAAGACCAAAGCAGGAACTCCATATTATATATCACCTGAAGTTCTAAAGGGTAATTATGATGAACTATGTGATATCTGGTCAGCTGGTGTTATATTATATATTTTATTATCTGGAGTTCCTCCATTTTATGGGGATACCGATCCAGAAATATTAGAATCTGTTTAAAAAGGAGTTTATACAACTGATATTCCAGAATTTAAATTTGTTAGTGATGCTGCAAAAGATTTAATTGCAAATATGATTACAACACCTGATAAAAGATTTAAAGCTTCATAAGTTTTATAACATAAATGGATGAAAGAAAAAAATAAGCCAAACAAAGAATTAAAATTAAATTATGGAGCATTAAAAAATTTTACTGGAAGCAATAAATTAAAGAAAGTAGCTTTAACCTTTATTGCCTCTTAATTAAATGAATAAGAAATTTCTCACTTAGGAAAGTAATATATATATATAAAAATTATATAGATTATTTAAGCAATTAGATAAAAATGGAGATGGAGTATTAACTATAGAAGAAATAAGAGAAGGTTTAATAGGAATGAGTGATGATTAATCTAAAGAATTAGCAAATATTATTAAAAGTATTGATACTGATGGAAATGGAAATATTAATTATACAGGTATTCTATAAATCTTTAATTTAGAATTTTTGGCTGCTACTATGGAAAAATAATTGTACATGAAAGAAGAAAAATTATATCAGGCCTTTAAAATGTTAGATTTAGATGGAAGTGGTAAAATTGATAAAAAAGAATTATAATAAGTTCTTGGAAGTAATTCTTTATTAATAAATAAATTTAGAGTCTGAAAAGATAGTGAATGAAAAATATTGGGATGATATGATTAAAGAGGCTGATAAAAATGGAGATGGAGAAGTATTAATATTTAATTTATTATAGATTGATTACAATGAATTCATTGAAATGATGGATAGATTCAGTTTAATGAATTGACAAACATATTATAATATACATCAAAGAAATATTATTAAAAATACAATTAAATTTATATTAATGGATATTGACAATATATTTCCAAATTAAAAAGAAACTAGATGGGTGAATAAATAAAGAACATTAATAGTCACATCTAAAAACATTTCTGATAGAATTAGATAATTGTTTATGGATTTACATGAATTACTTCCACATTCAAAAAAAGAAACTAAACTTGAAAAAGGAGATACATCTAAATAAATTAAAGAATTATGTATGTAACATTCATGCAGAAGTTTTATTTATTTTGAAGTGCATAGAAAACATGAATTATATTTATGGATTGGAAGATTTCCTAATGGTCCTTCAATTAAATATTATATTGAAAACTGTAAATTATAATATTTATTTTAAAAGGGCATAATTGTTAAGATTTGAAATTGACTGGTAATTGTATGAAAGGAAGTAGACCAATTCTTTCATTTGATGGATCATTTACTGAAGATCCTTTAATGATTTTATAAAAGGAACTATTTATTCATGCTATTAATGTTCCTAAACATCATCCAAAAAGTGCTCCTTGTTGTGATAGAGTTTTCTCTTTTATTAAAGAAAGCCCAGATAATAATAATATTTGGATTAGAAATTATGAAATTTAATATGAAAAAGCTGGAAAAGAAATTATAAAAAATTAACTTGTAGAAATTGGACCTAGACTTGTTTTAAAACCTATTATAATACTTGAAGGTTGTATATAAGGAGCCTAATTATGGAAAGATACAGCATATATAACATAAGCTAAAGTTCGTTTGGAAAAGAAATTAGAAATTAAAAAAGAAAAAGATTTTGCTAATAAAAAATAATAAAAAAAAGAAAAAATGCTTAGCAAACTAGAAACTTAAATTGATGAAATTGAAAATATATTTGATAGAGGTTAAGAATAAGATTAAAATGAAGAGTTTGTCACTGAAGACTCAAATGTAGATCTTGATTAATTTGAAGAAGTTTAATGATTTCATAGATTTATGTATATTAAAGCAAATTTACATTCATGATAAACTCCAATTCTCAATATAATTAGGCTTCTCTTACTCATCCTAATAATCTTCATCAATAATTGCTTCTGTGAATTTTTGTTAATTCATAAATTACTCCTTATTTCTCTTTATTAATTTTGGAGGAAGCATATTTTTATTAAGTAGCTTATTCCAACTAATATCTGCAAAAAATACATGATTCTTTATCTCTGTTAAATTTGGACGTTTTATTTAATCTCTTTATAACATTTCCTTTAATATTTTGACTGCCATTTTTGATTGTATTCTATCATAATTAATAGGACAATATTATATTCTTTCAAGCATTAAATCTATATTTTATATAAAATGAGGAGGATATCCACTCAACATTTCATAAAGCAATACTCCTATTCCATATACATCAACAGATTAAGTTGCACCTTCTCCTTTTATGATTTCTGGTGCTAAATAAGCAGGAGATCCACAAAATGATAAGGCAGCTCTATCATTAATAATTTCTTTAGCCAATCCTAAATCAGCTAATTTTAAGTAACCATTTTTGCCAACTAATATATTCATAGGTTTTAAATCTCTATATATAATATTAAGTGAATGTAAATATTCAATAGCTAATATTACTTATGCAATTAAAAACTTAGATACATTTTCAGATAAAACACAACCTTATCCAATATAATCAGATAAATCTCCTTTTTCATAATATTTCATTTAATAATACAGATTTTATTTTGTTTAAAATAATCCTTTTATACTTATAATAAAAGGATGATTTATCTTTCTTAATAGTTTTACTTCATTTATTGCATACTCAAGTTAAGAAAACTTTTTAAGTTATTCTTTGTTTTATTATTTTAAAACATACATCTTATCATCTTTGAAATATTTTGCTTTATAAATTGTACCAAATGATCCTTTCTACAAAATTTCTAAAATAAAAAAATCTTAAAATTTAAGATTATTAAATAATTGTTTTTCTTATTTTTACTTAATTTCAATATTTTCTTCTTTTTTTTAATCTTGAATAGACAATTAATCTTAATTAGTTTATTAATCAATTTCTATTGATTAATTATTCATATCTAATAACATAGAATTAACTTAATTAAATACTTTTTCCCCTTCTTTTTTTTTATTATATTAATCTAATTTATATTTTACATATTTTGTATATCCTACTGCTGTTTTTATTGAATCATACCATATTTATGCCATTTATTTAGATTAAAATAGAAAATAAATCTTTTTCTCATTATATTCAATCAATAAATAAATTGAATTATTACTAAAAGTTCTATCTTTTATAATAATCTAAAGATTATATATATTTTGAAGTGGTATAGTTTCTTTGGGATTCAAAGGACAATTTTCTTTATTTTAGAATCTCACCAAAACTCCACATTCTGGATCAACTACTATATATCTTTAATAGGAATATAAATGAGAAAAATTTAATTTCTCAACATAGCCTTTGTAAATAGGTGGCTTCTTAGGTCTATTAATAATAAAGGTCTGGATGATAATTTAAGTAATTTACATCTAATGTATTTAATTCACATTTATCTTAACTCTTTATTGAAATGTAAGATTTTGATTATTCCTAATAAACATCTGTACGCTATTATAATTCTTTTTTTAACAATTCTTTTGCTTTTCCTGTTGCTACATCTATTGGCTATTCTAATTGATCATTGTATATATTTAAATTGATATTAGGATGTTGCAATAGTAATTACAAAATCGAAATTTAATTTGATTAAACTGCAATATGTAAAGCAGACCCTTTTCTTGATACATGATTAACATTTAGATTTGGTTATGCAATTAATAAATTGACCATTAATTCACTTCTTGATAAAACAGCTAAAATTAATGCAGAATATCCATCATAAGTAATTGATGTAATATCACCTCCTACACTTAAAAACCATAAAAATATTTCTTCACAACCTAAATAAATAGAATGATGAAGAGGAGACCAATTAAGACTTAAATCATTAATGATATCCCATCTAAATTCAGGATCTCCTCCTAAATTATTTGATCTTTATTTATGTGTATTCACTAAATTTTAAACTTGTTTTAAATTTTTCTCTTTTATAGCCTATTTATTAATTTAATCTATTACTTAAAATATCTTTCCCAAAGTATCAGCGAATTCAACTGCAGTATATTGATTTTTTATTGTTTTTCCTAATTACGATCTATTTGGAGAACTAATGAAGGATGCATGAAAATGATCGCATTAATCTGCAGCTTATCAATAATTAAGAACTTAAATACTTGCTAAGTTATCATCATCTTATAACCATCTTAAGTCCATTTATTGATGAATATAAAATAAAATGAATTATAAAAGTTGCTTAATAAATATTAAAAAATTTAAGATGATTTCCAATCATTCATAAGAAAATTAACTCAATTTCCATTCAAAATGATTCAAAATAGATAATGTATTAAATTTATCATTTACATCTTAAAAAAATTTGAAATCCTTAAGTATCCATAATTAAAATGGTTCTAATTTACAATCAAAACCTATATGGATAAAAGATTAAAGTTTCATAAGAAAATTGAAATCTATTGAGAAACAACTATCTATAAAAATCTCAATAATCAATTATTAAGACAATTTCCAAAGTTTGAAATTAGAATTAAAATGGCAATATTTTGATAATTCAAAATTTAGGTTTCTTAAGATATAAATGGATTAACATGTTTAAATTTACCTATTGATAGTTGCATAAATTATATCCTTAATCACAATTCATAATTAAAACTACTCCTTTTTGCCCTCATTTTTTTTTCTCAATTTTTCATTACTATATGTAAATATTAATTTTTAGGTATTTATCATCATCTCTTGTTTACAAATTGGTTTTGATTCATGAGATAAATTTAAAAAGATATTTACTGAAAAACATAATAATTTTGTATTTGAAATTATTAAGAAATGAGGCGACTTAGTAAAATACTATCATCTTAATAACTTAATCTATAAATATAGGGAAAAATACATTTCGTTAACTTTTTTCTAAACGAATTTATATTCATTATATTATTTTATCAAAAAAAAAATATATACTAACATAAATTAAATAGATATAATTATTTAAATCTAAATTATTCATTATTCAAAGATGATTAAAATTAAATAGAAAGTTGAGAATTCTTAGCAACCTTTCTTAAGATAGAGATTAAAAATCGACTAACATGTCAAATTAAATTTAATTAATAGTGTGAATAATGATCATTTAACAGTTTATTAGGTTATATTCATAAATTATTAATTTAGGCAGCTAAGCTTTACAAATTAAAGTATTCTACTGCAAAGCATATTTTTAGAAATTATCAAAGAGATATCGCTAATTTCTTTTCGAAATAAAGAAAAAAAAGATAAATATGTAAATGTTAGAATATTATTATTGATGTTGTTACAGGAGAAATAAAATTATTTGAATAAAATAATACTTTTCTAATAAATATGAAAGAAAGGAACATTAATGCTTTGAATAACTAAATACTTTCCATTTTATCATAATAAATATTATAAGAATTCAAAAATACTAAGAACGATTATAACATTAATTAGAAACATAGTTTAGATGAATAATTGGTTAACATAAAAAGAGTGTTAAATAATTAATATTTGAAGATGCTTGTTAATTATAATTGATATATTTGATAGATTTATTTAAAAAAGTTTTTTTAGGATTTATACATTACATCGAAAAATTAGAATCGTTTGTTTCTAAAATTTTTTTGTTCTTTGAATATTTAGCAAATAATATTTTGGAATAAGTATTTTATCAATTTTTAAAATTAATTTTAATGTAAATGGTAATAAATTTTTAGGTTTCAGATTAAAATTTATCTATACTTATTCAACCCTTTAAATTAAGAAATTATTATTAATTCTTCTAATCATATAATACACATTTATAGCATCTAATTTAATTAACTATTTTTTTATTGATATTTGATTTCATAAATGAAGACTTTAAAAATTTAAATCTTTATAAATTTGTATTAGATTAATTAAATAATATTGCGAATGAATTCCACAGGCTCTGAAATAGTGAAAGATGAAGAAAATCCATAAAAATAAAAATGTAGCAATAATTCAACAGTTTAAAATATTTAAAATAGCTATTTCGATGAAGAATTTTTAAAGAAAAAAGAAAAAAGAAATCGGAAATTTTTCCTTAAGAAATCAATCTCAATTGTATAAATTTGCAAATAAACTGGCCAATTAGACTTGCAATTTGGATCTGACTTTTTGCATATAGAGATAATGCAAGGTGGTCATTTTCCTTTGAATTAATATAATTTAAAGGATATTCCTTCAGAGATTTATCATAATGATCAGGAGTGCTAATCATCCAATATCAATACTAGTCTTTGTACCGCATCAAAGAGTCTCTTGAAAAAGGTAAGAACAATTTAATCCTCTCTAAATTACAAATCTTTAACTTAAATTTAATAATAATTAGATGTTAACGAACTACGTTAAAATTTCAATATCAAAGAAAACTAAATTAATCATTCTAAGAACTCATACATTTTTGATAGAAATCAAATTTAACAACATAAATTATTCTCTCAACAAATTGAAGAAGCCAAACAAATTTTATTAAATCAACACTAAGTTATTTAATTAATTCTTTAATGATTGATGATTAATAAATTTATTTTTAATCATAATAAATGATTTTAGATTTTCTTATATTATCGCAACAGACCTAGTAGAATTATTTATATAAACATACATTTAGATATCCACTTTAATTAGTATTTTGATATCTCACTATAAAAATAGTTGAATCTGAATTAGATGAGACTAATTATAATATGAATTTTAATAAATAAATAACTCTAAACCTATTGATATCGTCTTTTTATCAAAATTTTTAAATTATTTTAATATATACATTTCTGAGTGTTTTAGAAATTTTGTTCTTGATCATACTAATTTTAATATTCTATTGTTAAATAATGATTGATAATGGTATTTCCAAATTTTGATCATGAATATTATTTTTAAATAATGTTATCAAGTCCCTTATTAAATTTTACTATTTCAATAGTAATAGTATTTATAGTACTAATAAATTAATTTGGCTTGCTTTCAGCTCTAGTTTAATTCCTAAAATCAGAAAATAACATATATGATGTTATGAATTTTTTCAATAAAATAATTTTTAAGTTTTGATTATATTAAGAAATACTTATTCAAAATTCAATAAAATAAAAAAAATATGTAATATATATATTCTCTATACTGATTTGATGTTTAAGATTGACTAAAATTTAAAGTTTAAAGAATTTCTTTTTAAAATAAGATTAACAAATAAAAAAATTAATTCTTTTTTATTCTTAAGAAACAATCACAAGAATTAGGGATATTTATTTATTGTTAAATTGATGGTAAATGATCAAATATTTTTTTAATTGATTCTAATGTTTTTTTTATTTTTTTGAATCATTATTTGATAATAATTATTAATAAAAAGGTTTATAATAATTAAATTAAAGAAATATTAATTTTGAAAAAAAAAATTAAATAAATTTAAGAAAACTAAAATCCTATGCATGAGATTATCAAAACAGATATTTTAATAACCATTTTAACCTCAAATAAACAAGAAAAAAATCTACTAAATGAATTGCAATTTTATAATATTTATCATTATGTTTAATTTATTAAATTAAAAATATCTTAATTTATTTATTTTTTTAATTATTAGGGTTTTCTCAAAAAAACAATGTAATATAATACATTAATTATAAGGAAAATATAAAGAGGACTTACAAACAATAGATAATTACCAATAATTAATCGAAATATGTTAAGCTTTTCAAAAACATTTATAAATAGACAACAGAGTATGATAATGGACATGAAATATTGCCTATTTTGATATTAAAATAATAAATGAATGGTTTCCCTCTTGGCCAAGCGGTTAAGGCATCTCCCTAGTAAGGAGAAGATCGACGGCTCGATCCCGTCAGGGGGCTTTTTTATTTTATTGTTTTTTTGATTTTTGATTTGTTAATTTAATAATAGATACATATTTTAGTAATTTATTTGATTATTTAAATATATTTTGAGTAGGATTAGAGAAAAGTTAGAAGGGCAAATTGATTAGAGTATTAAGTTAACAATCTAAAAAGGTAATTTAATATATAAATTTGGAAGGGGACTTTTAAAAATAATTAAACGTTGGTGTCGAGAAATTTTGAAAATTTTAGAATATGTAAATAGAATATTTCCACATCCTTCATTACATAGAAATATTTAATGAGATAATATATTAATTAAGACAAATAATAGGATAGGTGATTTTGGATTAGCATTTAAGTTATCATAATAGGAATTTACCAAGTCAATTCTTGGAAGACCAGATTTAGGGCTCCTGAAATTTATAAAGAAATTATGGACCTTCAGTTGATATAATTTGTTTGGTATGAGAGTATTATTAAATTAAGTTTAATAAATATAAACTGTAAATAATTTATAATTCAAGAAAAGGAACCACTTATCACCAATTTAAAAATTTAATAGTAATAAAAATAATTCATTTATTAGTAATCTATTATGATAATTAGATTTTATTTAAAAGTAAATAATCAATATTGTGGATTTGTATTGGAATTAATGATAGAATAAATTCATATAAATGATTGATAAATGATATGATTAAATATTAATGAAAAAAGTAAACAAACTAAATTAAAATAAGATTGATAATAAAAATAGTTGTAATTTATTTTTGATTATATTATTATTAACAGATGGCAGTCAACGATGAGAGATATGTATTTATCGTCGAATGGTTTGACACAAGTGCTTCTTTGATAAGGAGTTATAATCTTACTTACTTTATGGCTGATAAGACAATTGAAATGGTATATAAATGATTAATGGATTTAGTTTGATTTGAAAAATAAAAGAATATTTCTTAAAAGATGTGAGTATCCTTCAATTTAATTGAAGGATTTGTATGTTGGGTCGATTGTGACAGTTTATTCAAGATAATTGAAGATAGTTGATTATGCAGATGTATTTACGAGATCGAAATTTGAAGTCTAAAGAGGAAAGTAAGTAACTTAATTAAATATTTAGAACATTTGGTATGATAAAACCAGATGCATATACACATATTGGAAAGATAATTAATGCTATTGAAAAGAACGGTTTCGTAATTGGTAATTTGAAAATGACTAGAATGTAAATTGGTGATGCTCAACAATTCTATGCAGAACATAGAGTAAATTATAATTAGATTTGATTAGGGTAAACCTTTCTTTGATGAACTTACATAATTTATTTGTAGTGATTTTATAGTAGGTTTGGAATTGATAGCAGATAATAGTGTAAAGAAATGGAGAGATCTTATTGGACCAACTAAATGTTAAGTTGCTAGAGTAGAAGCACCAAATTCAATGAGAGCTTTATATGGTACAGAAGGAGTTAGGAATGCTTGTCATGGAAGTGATGCTCGTAAATAACTAATTTATAATGAATAGCTGGATCTGCATAAAGAGAATTAGATTTCTTTTTCTCTGATAAATCTAATCTAAAATCAACTGCAGTATTTAATAATTGCACTTGTGCCATCATTAAACCACATATAGTATTGGAAGGAAGAGCAGGATAAATTATAGATATCATTTTAAGTGAAGGTTTTGAAATTTCAGCTATGCAAATGTTCTATTTAGATAGAGCTACAAGTGAAGAATTCTTTGAAGTCTATAAAGTATATCTTATCCATAATTTATTTAGGGTGTATTACCTGAATTTTAAGCCATGTCTGAACATTTAACATCTGGTCCTTGTATTGCTATGGAAATCAGATAAGAAAATGCTGTAAATAAATACATTATAAATTTAGGTTAAATCTTTTAGGGATTTATGCGGACCTCATGATCCTGAAATAGCCAGAACTTTGAGGTCTTAAACAATAAGAGCAAAATTCGGTATCGATAGAGTTAAGAATGCTATTCATTGCACTGATTTATAAGAGGATGGCATACTAGAAGTAGAATATTTCTTTAATATTTTACAATAAAAGTGATTTTATTGATTGAACATTTTATTAATAAGTCATTGTCTTTAAATCTAATACATCTTGTATTGGTTGTTATTAGATTAAGTTCTCTTTAATTCTTCATGCAAATATAGCATTCCCCAAGTCTTTGGATTTTCAGATAAGAAACGTTTAGTGATCAATCTAATTATAATAAACTATTATAGTACGTTGTAAATTATTCTTAAATTTAGAAATTATCACCAACAATGAATTATGATAAGATGTATCGAATATAGAATTCAGTTGCCCTTTCAGGATAACGAATTTAATTCAAAATTACATTCATCACATTGTTTCTAATTGCAAAACTAGAATTCTTTATTATTCTAGTCAATAATGCCCTTTATTATTGGATAGTAAGATTTTCATGTCTTGGTAACAAAAGGAAGAAACCAGAAATGCTACATGGTAACTTAGATTTTTGATCATAATCAAAATACTTACTTACTTTGATTTTTAAATCTTCATCATTCATATTTAACATAAATTGAATTTCCTCTTTGATTTTGGTTTAAGTAGGTTCTTCAAAACAAGCATGAACAATTTATCCAAATTATTGAGAATCTGCAATATCATAAATATTAGTGCAAGATTGAGGATCATCAATTTGATCATTAAGATAAGCAGCTAAGCTTAAATTTAATAATTAGACATGATTGAAAGGTACTTCATCTGCAAAACAAAAAGCATATTTACTACAGAATTTTCTCTAATCAGTTAATAATAGCATAAATAATCTTGTAACTCCTTTAAGATATTCTTAAACATAATGATAATGTATAGTTTCTTCAGTAATTGTATCTCTCACAAATTCTAGTAATTTAATAATCAACCTTGCATAAGCATTTTCATTTGTAGTTATAATTTATTAGAAATATCTATTACAAAGTAATTCTAACCAAGCATATGAAAATCCAGGATAGAGACTTGGTTCAACCTTTTCTAAAAATTCAGCAAATTTATTATGAAACAATTTAATATTATCTTCATCTAAAATTTGTAAATCAAAAAGTAAATTATAAAAGAGTTTGAATAATTATCTTTAATTAAATCTCTATTTAGTAACTTCATGTAATTTTGTGAGTACCATTAAGCATCCATCAAATAGTTTTTCAAAAAATTTAGGTTTCATTTTAGGATCAAGTCCTTTAGCCATTATTGTAAGCATTTTACCTAATTATTCAATTTAAGAGTGATCCATATATTCTTTGTTAACATCAGTCATACTCAATTCAATTGCATAAGCACAAAACTTACTCAATTAATCTTCAACAAAAAATTAGCTTTCACCTTCAACTCTAAAAAAGTTGCTGAATTCTTCTTCTGAACTTAATTAGTACCATTATTTTAATTTAAGAGAAACTTTATTTGAAAATTCTTCATCAATCTTTGAATAGAAACCTTTGATTAAATTCAATTTCTTTTAAAATACTTTAGTTTAAGTTGAATTTGCTACATAACTAGAAAGTTCTGTAAAGAATTTAGAGACAGTAGGATGAGTATCTTTCTTTTTACTAAGTTCTTTAATAATATTTCTGAATGACTATAAATATGGATTGTTGTCTTCTTCAATAATCACTTTTCTAAGTATGTATACTATTGAACTAACATTCATTTGATTATCTTTAGTGAGAATTTAAGTCATTACTTATTCAGCCTCTTAACTTTAGATTAATCTTTTATTCAACATTATAGGGAATGCCTACCACCATAATGGACTATGTTCTAAAAGTTCAATATTTTTAGTAATGAATTCTGCAACCAATTCACTCCACTTTTTACCAACTTTTTCATTTATTTTTCTAATAAGAATGGTTATCAAATCTAAAGAGATAGATATTTTTTCTGAAGTTAAATTATTAGTTAATATGACCTATAAAAATTTATCAGCTAAATCTTTATAAAATTATTCAGGATTTGATTATTCCTATTCATTTAAATCTTAAATGAGTTATTATATTTTTTCTTCATTACTCTAAGGATCTTAGAGAAGTTAACAGAGAGTAGAAACCTTTTACAATATAGATTATTTTGGCTGTTTCTTCTTAGTACCAAATTCTTCGTAAATTCTTATTTCTTCTTCAGTCAAACCAGAGATTCTAGGTTATAATGGTTCAGGTAAGAATTTTAATTAATTCTAAGTTATTTCATCTCTATATTATTAACCCTTTTCTTTGCATCGTTATCTTTTTTCTAATTATTCCAAAATAGAAGGATCTTAATTGACATCTTCTAATGCTCTTTCTATAACTGCTTTTTTAATAAGAGCACATCCTAAATCTAAGTTTTCTTGAGCAGCAGTTTAGACAAATGTTTCTTTGGTTTTATTATCAATATCAATTTATTCAATTCCTTCTTTAAGATAATGAGTGATTCTAACTTTTAAAGGTTCTCTACAAGTAACCATAGCTAAACTTCCTGATAAGTGAGAAGCTATCATATGCATTCCTCTTAACATAGATTTTTCATTTGGTTCAAGTGCAAAATCTTTAAAAACTAGTTCTCTTGTTGTAATTAATGCTATTGTAACACTTCTACTAATAACAGGTGGAATAATATCAGATATGGCATGATCTAATGCTGTAGCTACAAGGGTTTTGCAATCAGCTTCACTCAATTTATCATTTAGATTTTTGGAATCAGCCATTACATATTAAGGTAGATTCTTAATATTTAATTTATTAAGTGGATCCATATCGATAATAGGTTAAACAATAGGTTATATTATTGTTGGGACAACAGGATTAGGGATATTTATTGGAGTGGGAGTTGGATTAATTGGTTAGACTGTATATTCAATTAATTTAAGTAGATTCATGATCTCATATTTGGCCATTGTATTGCATGCTTCTTTAGCAGCATCCAATTCTTATAAGATTTTGTTTACCCACTTATTATTCTTAGTGAATATTTAACTAGATTTGACCTATTCCAAGATTTTGCAAAGTGGATATATAGTAAGTTAATTTTATTTTAGTAAGGTTTTGTAATCAAAATATTTAAACAAGAAAGGTTTGTCTCTGGATACAGTGATTTAACCTAAAAAACTACCCATATTTTTTATGGTACTTCGATCATCTGCAGAAGGACTAGCTTTATTAAAAGTTAATAATCTTGTTAATCCTATACTGACTTCTTTGGCTACTTCTGAAAAATATTTTGATTTGTTTAATGCAGCAAGTAAACAACACATTACATTAGGACCTTATGCTTACTATTAAGCCATTGGAGATCGTAAATAAGCAATTGTTTTAATGAAATAGAATAAAGCATCTTAGTTTTCTAATTTTTATCTTATTTCAGCAGCCTTTTACTCAACATTATTTTAAGAGATACTGTTCAAAGTAAATGTAAAATACTCTTTGACTTCTGAATCAGCTCCACATCTTTAAAATTCATCAAATTCAACTTATAATATTTATTTATAAGTGAGATTAATATTAGTATTATTATCATCTTATTTTTATTTTTAAGGTTGAGGTGTATGTTAAACTGGTAATTATGAAGATTTCTATAAAGTAGGAGGAGGAGTAACTGATAATACATGTACTTATGAATGTTATGGAATCTAAGTGACTGGTTACTATTATGGTATTATAACAGGTTATGGTTATTATATAGGTATTTACATTGGTTGTACTATTGCTGGAACTACAATAGGAGATGGTTATGTCTATTGAACAGGAACAGATTCAGACTTCTTTAAAATCAATTAAACTGGCTCTTCTTCTTATTTTTCTTATTTTTCTTTTTAAGCAACCAATTAAAGTGGTTTATGAAAAACTGTCTATATTGGTTATGCAGGTTATAATGGTGATTTTATTCCATGTTTTTCACACACTCTTATAATCTCTGCCAAAAGATCTGGATTCTTAAAAGATAATTGTTCACATGCCATAACATCTTATGCAAACCAAGGCCATTCATATATTTTATTTTTCATTACATCTAATGCTTTAACAGCAAAATCATATCTCTATGTATTATTCTTTAATGACACTTAAATTATCCTCAAACCTATTTACATACTTTAACCTTCTACTAATCCTCTTTCCAATACTCCTCCAAATAATTATCCTGTTAATTCCAATTCCTTTTTAGGATATTTCAAATGAAATTAATATTCATTATACAAATTTGTTATTATACAAGCATAAACTTCTTTTTCTTATATACTTCCCTATGTTTTCCATTAAATCATTTAATTTAAGAAGTTTTCTAAACTTATCTATTCACTATAATAACTTTCAAAATAACTGTCTGTCTTACTTTCTACTTCTTAATTTGTTTTTTAATTTGGTTATCCTGCCAATTAAGGAAATACTTGTACTACTTCCTTATAAAATTATTATGTTGTTTGCTTTATTTTATTACCTAATTTATCTCCTTAATTCATTAATTATTCAAAAATAATTGTTATCATTTCTAATTTCAATTATCCTTTATCTAATATCTAATCCAATTATTGAATTTACATCTATCCCAATTAACCACTCGGTAATCCAGATTTTATTTGATATTCCTTAATTTATTGAATAACATTTTCTTCTATATATTGTAATAATACATTTACAAAAGGAATACCTTAAGATTTAATTCTTTCATTCAACCAAATATCAAAATTTAAATATTCTCTCTTACCTGCTAAAATACCTAATGGAACTGAAAATTAATAATCTTCAAATTTCGCCATTGTCAACAATGATGTATTATTCTATTGAGAATTTTGAAAGAGTTATTAAACTATATCCAATACTCTTGATAAATTTAAACATGAATTTTCTTTCTTTCCTTATTCTTTCTTATACAATTCACTTATACCAGTTATAAATAAATTTTAATTGTATTTCCACATTTATTCTAATACTGGTGAAGAATTAGCATGTTATGATACATAATTAGGAAATAATTATGTAAATAATTCATCTATTAATGCTCCACCTTAAGTAGGTGAAATTTAGAATAAAGCCAAAATTACTAAATCTGGATTTTAACGAATTGGTTGATCAAAAAAATCTCTAATTTCAGCTATGTATCCATATTCACTTAATTCTATAAGCATTTAAACAAATTCTAAATTTTACCAATATTATAATTATTATTAAGTCTTATAATTAGAATTATGTTCCATAATAACTAACTTTTTTGGTTAAATTTCATTCCAAAACAATTATTCAGGTTTGTTAGCTTTTAACATAGATGAAAGAAAGGTGATCTAAGATTTCTTATTATGCCATTTATCAAATAATAATCTATGTGGTAATTAAAATTAAGATTATTATTTCTTAATTTTGGCCAAGAAACCCATTAAATTATTAAAACCTTATGTTGAAAATTCTAAATTAGGTCTATCTAATTTCTCAAATACTTAAGACCACTATCTTTTATTGTTATCATTAATAAAGAATTTAATAAAATCATCTTCCTACTATTTATTTTATTCAACTAATAATTAATCCCAATCTGGTTATTAAGTATTTTATGTTAATTTAAACAACTATTAAACTTCTTGAGGAACTACGTCACCTTGATTATTGGCTAAATACAATAAACAATCCATTATATCACTATCACTATATTCTGTAAATATTTATGATAAATTGCTTGTATAAGGTCCTAATTCTCTTAGAATATCTACAGGTTTAATACATTCATTAATTTTAGGAATTTCAATGTTTACTGGATCCAATTTCATATACTTTTTACCATCATCATACAAACATTTTAAATCAGCTTATTTTGTATTTTATACATACTCATTGAAATTCTTTATTTCTTATTCAAGATCCTAATATTATTTAAATATTTTACCGTCAATTCAGGAATGTTTCTGAGTTGATATAACAATGTATGAATTACATGTTATGGCACCTATAAATTATTTTTCTATTAAAAAGGCTCTTATAGCTTCTTCTTTAGCATCTTTATACCTTCTTTAGAGAAATTCTAATTTGAAGAAAATGTGATAGACAACCACATTATCATTTAAACCAGAGATGGTACTTTAAGAACATTACACAATTCACATAAATATTCAGTGATGGATTAGGATTAGGGACACACTGCTTCAGCCACACCACAAAAGTAATCTATAAAATGGGATTTAGATGAAGCTTATTGGAGCCATTATACTAGAAATTACCCTTTCTGTGTGAGTGATTACTTCTCCTTTTGTATTTCTATGTTATCCAAGAGTTAAAGTAGGAAATACTATTCACCAGGTACACCCAATTGATTAATGAGAGATTAAACCTCATTTAATACTACTTTCTAGTTTCGTTTTTGGGCTAGACCCTAAACGAATGTCCTTATTTGTTAATAGATAGGGACTTAAGGACTGCGTGAAACATAATTCATTTTTTTAATTTATTTATGCATTCATCAATCTCCCCGATATATTATTTGAATTTCTCCCAATTATCCAATGACAATGTAATTCCCTTTTTAGTTGGCAACATTTATCCATCTTTATCGAAGTATTCACGTAAACTAATCATTGTATTTCCTTTGAATTTGGATATTGCAATCTTTTTATAAGTTGTAAGCTTTAAATATTCTAAAAGAACAAAATTTACATCAAAAAAATATTATCCATCCTCAAATGTATAACTCTATTTCTTGCCCTTCTTATCTTAAACTGGAGATTACTTCTTGCCATCAAAAATTTAATCATACTCTTCAGAAGAGGAGCGATCTCTCATCTATTTCATTAATTAAGTTTTTAAATTTAATGTTTTATCCTTAGCACTTCTACCCATAAGTATATCCATAATATAGATACCCTACCTATGGTGTACTTCCTTAAATACCATAACAATGGAGACCTCCTGTTTACAATGCTCCATAATATGGTTATCCTGGTCCTAGATATGCACCATCTTATCCATCTTATCCATACAATCCATATGCCTCAACTATCATACCATAAGCATACCAACCTTAACCTATGATGAGTCAAATTATGGCTTCCCCTTCAAGAACATTCCAATCTCCAGATAGATTGAAGGCAGCATAATCACCACAAAGAAATGTGCTCATGCAATCTCAATAAGTCCCCAGATCACCAGCTCCATAACTTTAGTCACCTTAAAGATAATTACTTACTTTACAATAAGTTTAAGAGAGACTAAGAAATGCATAGCAACCTTAAGCTTAAAAACCATAACAGCCAATTAAGAGTAAGTTCAAATTTGATTTTTGTAGATGCTAATCCTCCATAGCCTAATTAACAAAAGCAAAAATCTCCACCTCCTCAGAAAAAGCCATAAGTTCCATAATCTTAACCAGAAGATGATTTAGATAAGAGATATTAGAATGCTCTCAAAAGTACAGAAGAAATCATCAAAAAATATTAAGTAGATGATTCTGGTAGCAAAGGTCGCTAAACCAATTAAGCTAATGAACCTTAAGGTGAAGAAGAAGATGAAAATATTCAAGGTATTTAAATTCTAATTTTTTCTAGAATTGGCATTACAATATGAAGATGGATATATTTATAGAGGATAAGGATATCCTCCTTAAACTAGAAATGGATTTGGTATTTTAACAGATTCTGAAGGAAAATAAGTTTATGCAGGTTATTGGAAAGATAATCTTTATGAGGGTCAAGGAAGATTGACAAATCTTCAAACTGAAGAATTGAATGAACCAATTGATTGGAATAACATGACAACTATTGGAAATGGATGGGCTTCATATGAAGGTAGATAATAATTAAATTAATCATTTTAGGTAACTTTTTGTAAGGAAAAATGCATGGATAAGGAACACTTATTCTTACAAATCAGGAACAATATTTTGGAGAGTTTGAAGAAGGAATGGTACATGGAGAAGGAGAATTTACAACTGCAGAGGGATAAGTTATTAAGGGTAAATGGGATCAAGGATACTTAATTTAATTATCAGAATAAGATTGATAATAATAAAAAAGAATATTTTATATATATATATATATAATAGTTTATTTATTTTAGTTTAAATAAAATTTATTATTTATATTTATATTTAGAATTATAATTATCTAATGTAGTTTTTCAATACCTTAAAGAATATAATTACTATTTAACATAGATCTAATATTAGATAATACTGATTAAATTAAAAAATGAGTTTAAATAGTTTTTGTTTAATGTATAAGATTTGTTTTAATTTAAATTTGTTAAGTTAAAAATACTATATTTGGACATTTAAATCAATTGATAAGTGCTTAAATTTTATTTAAAGGCATAGAAATTCTCTCTGATCTATTTCTTCTCTTTAAATAATGAATACCATATCTAATCTCAGCTTTTGTTATTGTTCTATAAATAATGAATAAAAATACTCAAGGAAGTTCAACTAATCCATTTTTAATAATTTATGATCTACTTCTTCTAACCATTATATTGCTAATTACAATTATGTTAAACAATAGCCTTACTGACTCACAGTTTTACTTTTATCTAAAAATAGTGAAACAAAATTTAAATTGCTATGTAATCTTTATGGAGCTGCTTTAATTAATATGTAAATAAGAATAGGTAATACAGTATCTGCAGAGGTAGCTTCCTCTTTTAATGATGTTAATTTAAGGACATCATTCATGATTTTTGAACATTATATCATGGCTTCTAATTTATTTACAGCAGTCTTACAATTATCAATGTTCAATAAAGCTATATAAAATTGTAGAAAATTAATTACCTTCTACTGCTAAATCCCACATTTCATCAACTCTATTTTATTTAATTATTTCTAAATGATCATAGCTTACCCATTCTAAAGATTTAATTCTAAAATAAAGACCAGCATCTTTGTATGTTCTCTCTTTTGGATAGACTCTAACTCAATAATACTTAAATTATTACTTATCATAAACACGTTTACTGACATATTTTTCAAGCATATCCATCATTTAAATTTCATCTATTTTCATTTCATTCTTTCCTTTTAAGAAATTAGCTAAAGCTTAGATAAAGTCAAAATATGCATTCTTAACACCAGCTTTATCTTCTCCAGAAATTACAGCTTCTTTTACTTCTTATAAAGAGGAGAAGTTTTCAATAAATTATTTGATATCAGAACAATGAGAATTTGAAAATTCAGAATTTTTCTTTTAGTCATTAGGACTAGCTCCTCCAACAATTTATTTAATAAATTCCAGATTAATAGCATTATGAATACATTCACTTTATTGTTCAACCCAAATTTAATTTTCATCTAAGGCTTCATTATTATTATTATTTCTGAGTTTCATAGCTTTGATTGAAAATAAGCCTTCTCTTGTTTTTGGAGATGTGACACATAATGTCAAAGGAGTCTTTTCAATAAATTCATATAATTATTTTTATCGTTTTTCTTGGCTTAATTATTCAAAGGATTCTCTCATCACTTCATAATTTTTCTTAATATTATACTTTGCACTTAATAATTGATATTTTGTTTATTAAATATGTTCAGTCAAATTAAATGAACGTTCTTAAAATTCTTAATTCAAAATTTAATAAATATTTCTTAAATTACTTTACAAATCTTCTTAATTTAATAATTTTAATTATTCCAAAACATATTTAATTTAGAATACAGTTTTTTTATCATCCAAATATGTGTATTTCTTAAAGTATAATATAATTATTTACATCAATAAAATTAGTAAGTACTCTTTTGAGACTAGTTTCTTCTTAACTTCCTGATGTAGAAGTAGCTAAATCTTAAATTTCTATCAAACATTTCATTAAAGCATTAACAAGTTTTCTATCATTTCTCAATTTTTCATCTTTAATCTTTTTTAAAGGTTAGACCTATTCTTAATATAAAATATTATTAGGAATAGAGAAATTTAAGATTAGTGCATAAATTTATTATTAAGCTTATAAATTATTTTATTGTCTAAATATGTTTTCATATTTATCTATTTCTAAAGTTCTTGTAGCTAAAGTGACAAGTTAATTAATGACTTTTTAAAGATCTGCAGACTCAGTTTTGAATGTTTTCATATCCTATAATAATTAACAGAGAATTTTAATTTCATCTAAAGCTATGCAAACACAATTTGATTGTATTCCATCAATTTTATTAGTATCATTAATTATGGCATTAACAGAATCAGGACATAAATTTAAAATCTCTTGAAGATATTCTTTAAGAGAAGGTTACAAATCTTACATATACTAATTTAATCTATTATATTAAGGATCTTCATTATATTTTTAATTCCTTATCATTTTTTTAATAATAGTATGAATTTATTAAACTGTGTTTTCATGATCTTCTCTAATATATTTAAAAGATGAATATTATTTTGGAAATACTAATTGAGGTATTAACCAAACATTAAATAAAAAACTAAAGATATTATCTTAAATTTATTATTCAGTTGCTTCTGGAAATTTTTTTAAGATTGTAATTTAAATCATTTTACAAATGATACGAATACCTTGAGGTATTAAGTAAATATTCTTAAATATATTTTCCATGATATTATTTACAAGCTGTTTAAATTTATCTATACAAGCAATCAAGACACTATTAATTTCATTATTCAAATGTTGATCAGATCTACTACTATGACTATAAACATCAGATAAATTGCGAACAGGTGATTCAGACTGAGATTCTGTAGGTACAACACTTCTCCTTTCCATGGTTAAGAATTTGGCTTATCTTTATTCTTCTCCAAATTGAAGAACCTTTAATGAAAATTCAGCTAATTAATTTTAATTTCTTCTTGAATGTTTGATATTTTATTTCTTAGATTAATCATATTATTTAATTAAATTAGCATAATAAAGTGTCATATTTTATTAAGGTATTTCAATATTTCTGATTGGAGTTATAATAGGTATTTATCTTTAAGGTAATTTATGTGAAGAACTTTACATTAAAGGAACTTATTTAACAGTAAAAGCAGATGAAGTCAAAACTTATTTATCATCTTTCTATTTTTTTTCTTATTCTTTCCTTATTTCACGCAATTTGTCTGCTATTTTTCTTTTGTCTAAATCAAGAAATTTATCAACTTTAGTAATTTGAATTAATGAATTTTTGAATATTACTTTAGTATATTTGACATTTTCAGGTCGTTTTGCAAATTCTTTCATAATAAATTATGTTAAAGTTTCTTCTCGATCCCATAAAAATTCAGGAATTTCTTATCTATTGACTTCTGTAGTTATTATTTCACTCATTAATTTCAAAATTGGCTATTTCCACATTGATCCACATGCAATATTATCATAGATACTATTTATGAATGTACGTATAAGAGTTTCAATTTCTAGAGTTCTATTTGTATTATTATGATGTTGGAATATTGCAGAACATACTTTTGTATTTGATAGTTTTTCAAATATCAATTTTACATTAGTTTCTGCATTTCTAAATAATCTAGATGTTGATTCTTCCAATGTCTTTTACTCTTAATTCATATTACTCTCAACTAATACATTAATATAAGTTTAGTAATAATTCCTGCTTTCATGTTTTAATTCATCTAACAATTTATTTTTAAGTTCATCTTCTTATCTCATTTTGTATTATTCTTCTTTTAAACTTTATTATAATTTCATCCATTCCTCAATAGATGTACGATCACTATTTGTAAGAATATGAGATTCCTATTATGTTGTTCCTATCATCTAATAAAATATTCTATCTTCCACTTCATCAGTTTCTTGGACATCTGGGACACTTCTCAAACTTTAAAATTATCTCTGATGATTCATATAATATTAATTATATTCATTATTTACTCAATCTCTATAATTCTATATAAAACATATTCAATATTTATTATTATAATTATTTTGTCTAATTGCATTCACTTAAGTAAAAATCTAATTTCATTTGATATTTTTGTATTATTTCATTTAATGGAGTAATATCCATTCTATTAATAATACTATCTAAATTATCTTCAATATCTTTTTTCATTAATTATATATCATCTTAATAATTATTTAATTTTATTTAAAGTTATTGATAATTGTAAGTTGAAACTGATTTTCTATTACGTGTTAATTCTAATAATCTATACTCTAGTTTTTTGCAAATTTATTTAATTTATTATTCTTAAAATATTGCTATTCCATATGTATTAATTACATTAATCTATTCAAATAGTGATTGAACTTTAACTTAAACTGATTCCAATTAATTTGTAAATTGCATTAAAATGCTTTACTTTTATTTACAATTTTTTAATTCCTTTACTTTTTCATTTAATTATACAAATTCATTTTTAGTCACTCCACTCTTTAATTCTTAAAATGGTTATAAAATCATTCCACTCTTAATATGCTATAATGGTTAATGATCATATGCACACTCAATAGCACATATTTCACATAATTATTATGTATTGTAACTAAATCTAGCCTATTCTATTAGTATCAATACTTTTAAGTTGTGTTTTAAACATTTCTCTTTAACTCTATTTGGATCTGTTATAATTGATGCCTTTCCAGGAGAAAACATACTACGTAATGACTTTGATTAAAGTAATTTATAGAGCATTCTATTCTGATGAGATTATTTCATAAATTAATAAATTGGGAAATCTATTTATTATTTTAAATGAGATAAGTATAAAAATATGAATTCCAAATCTAAAATAAAAATTATAAAATACAATCATCTAATCAAATTATTTTTATATTTATTCAAGCTTCTATACTACATTTAACTTATAATTAGTTTTTTTTTGATTAATTATTTTATTTCAAATTAATTTTATTTGGTAACTCATTTACTATTATTGTTTTATGCAAGTTATTTGATTTAATTTAAATTTATTTTATTTCAAAATGGAATGTCTTATTTGTATTCCAAGCAGAAAGGTTCTGTATGGATCTAATCAAGATTAAATTAGAATGAAAGGTAAAGTATTGTTAGATTATTATTTAAGAAAGTCTCTCTATCATAAAGGATCACTTCTTCCCTTTATAATAAATATGCTGAATCTCAAAACTATTATTACACTAAAGTAGTTAATGATTTGATACTCAATTAACCAACTAAGGCTACAATTTAGTTTAAAGTATTATAATATTTCCTATTTTTATAAGGATTTGTAATAATATGATGAAGAAGTTGAACATTGTAAGAAACTCTACACGGTATCATCATATCCAAAGAAAATTAAGATTTTAGTTGAATTCTATAGAGTATTCATAATTCATTACATTTGCAGTTCCATAAGGATATTCCAAGGTGGGCCGTTAATGAATAAATTGTTAGCATTTTAAATGAATTTTACAATCAAAGAAGAAAATTAGATTATTATAAAATACAACATATAATTGAATAAGAAAACCAATAAAATCCAAATAGAACTCCAAAAGGTATTGTAGGAGAGTAACCTTAAGAATCCTAAAGTACTCCAAAATCATCTTAAGAATCAGGATTAGTTGTTGGTAATGTTTTAGATGAATTGAATACTGAATTAAAATAAAGGACACAAACTTAATAAAGTGAAATAAATGAAATTATTTAAGCTTTAAATGCTAATCCAATAAAAAAACAACCAAATTTACAATAATTAATAAATAATTAACAATACATTCTTAATGAATAAAGATTATAATAATTCATAACTTAAGAGAAACTAAAAAATATTAATCTACTTATAAATTAATAAAAAGCCACCAGTTAAACATCAAGATAATCCAAATTTTAATAATTATAATAAAACAAAAGTGATCTTAAATAAAATTGTTAAACTTCTAGAAATAGGGGTAATTCACCCAAAATTAATCATACTCAGATATTAATCTTATGTAAAATTAATTATTATTACAGTACGATAAAGAGTTAAAGTAAAACTAGAATTAAGAAATTAAATAAAAACAAAGGCAATTACTGGTAATACATCTTTAAGGAGTCTCTAAAAAAATATTGATTCACCAAAAACAACAAGAAATATTTAATACTAAAAATAAAGATTTAATTAAAAGAAGGAATTTAAAGCAAATACTTTTCATGTAAATCAATCTAACAAGTATATTATCTCATAATAATTAGAAACTTGATTGTAAGTTTATTGGCAAATAAAAATACAACTGTACATGTTGATGCAAATTAAAAAAATCTCCTTTTGGCTAAATTGAATACCCTAAACACACCTAGATAGATTTTAAATTGAAATATATTTATTTAATAAAATTAGTAATTTTTATTTATTATTAGAGATTTAAGAAGTTATAATTATATCTAACATATATTTATTTTATAAATATAAGAAATTTAATGTATATTTTTGAATATTATATAAAGGCAATTTACAAAGCATTGTTTTATTTTACCTTTTCATTTTAAGTATTTTGGATTTTATGAAATATTATTTAAGTAGCTTAATCAAATCTTAATTGAAAGATGGATTAGGATTAACCAAAAAAAGCCATAAAAAGAGCTTATTGTAAAAAAGTGAAGCCTCAAATACTTTTTAGATCTGAAAGTGAAAAAATGAGATAACTACTATAAATTATAGATGATAATAATAGTTTAGAAAACTTAGATAAATAAGTAGCTTTAGCCTCTTCTAATTCATAATTAAAGAATATATAAGAATAAAAATAGAGTTCTCAAACATAATCAAGTGATAAAAATACTTAAAATACTACTCCAATTTAGACTTTAATTTAGCCAAGTACAGAATAAACACCTAAATAAACATTAGAGATTAAGATAATAAAAAATGCTTAACCATAAGAGTTGATTAATGAAACACAAAAGAAGAAATTGAAACCAGATGAAAATTATGAGTAAAGATTTTGTTAAATGAAATGTGAATTACAAAGTTTTTTAACTTATTGGATCATGAAGCTTAAATCTTCAGTCATTGATACATAATAGATGGTAGAATAATTAGAATAGTTTAAATTATGATTTTTAATTTATATCTATTATTTATATATGTTCTTTAAAACAAATCTCTTATTACTGATGTATATAAAGTTTTGAAAAATCGAATTTTTGATTTGTATAATTTATTTATGAGATAATTTAGCGGGACTTGGAAAAGGAGAGGTGGAAATACTAATAATAGACCATTTAGAGGAGGGAATTAAAATTTTAGAGACAATAGAAATAATAATAACAGGTCTAATAATCAACAAGGAAATTATAAAAATAATTAGTTTAGAAGATCATCAAATTAAAATTAAAATTCAGGTTATAATAGATAAAGAAACTAAAATTAAAACAGAGGAGGAAGATCATATAGAGGAAGAGGAAATTAATAAGGATAAGGATTTTAATAACAAAATACATAGCGAAGAAGAAGATTTGGGTTCAAATAAAATAATTAGAATGTAAATCATATTTTAATTGAATAGGGTGAAAAGAAATAAAGGTTCATCAAAACTGGAAGAAAGAATAGAATTAATTCAGATGTTTATAAAATAGCCAAGGATCTATAAAGTATAATTATATATTATATTATATAGGAAAATCTAAAATGGAATAGGCATTAGATAATTATTGGAAGAAAGGTGGTGATTAAACAAAGAATGAAAAGCCTACTCAAGAAGCAAATAATGAAAAATGATATCAATTAAATAAATATTAATAATTAAAATGAAGAAGTTAGAATAGGTGAATACATATCTAAACAAATTTGATGAAACTATTCTAAAATTACTTAAAGAGTCTAACATAAACACTATTAAAAGAACATAACCAAAATCTATTATAAATTCAGATGAACCTACAAAATAGTAGGATGAGATTATAAACAATTATCAATATACACCTGTTTCAAATTTAGAAAATTCTTAATTAAAAAAGTCTGATTTTATAGAAAATACTAATTCTTATAGAATTTGTAGAAGTAGACAATAAATAAAAACATAAACATTTGAAAAATTTTAACCATAACAATAATCAATTGTTGTTAATAGTCCAATAAATTCAGGAATGTCTTCACCAAATTAAGCAAATACATCAATCAATATTGTAGAAAGATTAAAAACTATTGAATAGCATTATGGAAATAAAATTAAAATATTGGAAGAAGAAAACACTCAATTAAGAAAGTATATCTTCAAATAAATTCAGAACCTCTTAAAATGATAAGGTCTAATTATAATCATTAGAGTCATAAGTGTAAAGATTAGAAAGTGATCTAAAAGAATAATAAAAATTATTTTAAGATATCCTTTAAAAGTAGTTAAAAGATTAAAAATAATAAATGTGTATAATTATAATTCATTATTTATAGAATTTGAATTGGAAGAATAAGAAACAAGATTAAAAAGATAATTTGAGAGATAAATATCAAGAAAGGATTAAAAAATTTAAGAATTAGAATAATGGTAATAAAAGAAAAGATCACATCATACTGATAGTAATAATTCAAATTTACTATTTACATTCAAAACACATGATCATTGAATTACTTATAATTAATTATATTTAGATCTATTAGAAGATTAATTTTCTTGAGCATCAAATTCATATGCAAGGTTTTTTTAAATTTATTCTTTAACACATATATTATTTCTTGATATTGGATTAATTTTTTATTCTCCTTAAAATTTATTAATTTTATTTTAATAAAAAGTTTAATTGTTTTCCTCTTATTATTTAAATACAGGAGTTTGTTCTGAAAAATCTAATTATTTTTATTTATTTATAGATTTTTCTTTTGATAAAGGAGAATGATTTTCAAAATCAAACTTTGGATTTACATAATTGTCAAAAATAAATGAACTTTAAAGATTTTACCTTTCTTTATATTAATCATTTTCAATTTTAATTAATTATTGATCATTAGATAGATTGATATCACAATTACCAAAAGAAATATTACCTTATTATTCAATAGAATCAGATGATTTTTTTTTTTGATTATCCAATTATTTACTATTATTAGATTCACATTCATTATAATTATCTTTTATAAGATTTGAATTTTGCCAAGGAGATTTAAATCTGCATTCAAATTAAGGATTCTCATCATTTGAAATAAAAAATGGATTTTTTTCATTACAGAACTTAATTTTATTTTATTTTTTCTGTGTTATTGGCTTTTTATTTGGTTAATCTTTTTCTATCAAATCATCAGTATTGATTTAACAATTAATTTTATTGAAACCAATCTATTAAAATGATCTATTTAATTTCAATTAGAAATTATTGGGATTATTTTCTTTATTAAAGGATGAAAAATTATATTATTATAATTCTAAAAATTTATTATTATTAGTTTTAACCTCTTTTACTCTAATATTTTTATCATGAATATTATCTTGAACTACTTTATAATGAATAGATTCATCTTTTAAAAAAGAAGGTAATATAAAATCATCCTCTAATATTCCACCTAATTTTAAAAAATTAGATTCTGATTTATGACTTTTTGATCTTTATTCTTTATCTTCCCTAAGAAAATTAACTTTAGATCTATTTCCGCCAAAAATGGTTTATTACTTTTTTGATTACAATATTTTATTTTGATTGTATTATTATGATTAAGATTAGATATACATATTATCTTATATATGTTCTTAAGCATAATAAGGTCTAAAGTCTTATTTACTAACACTAGCTATTATTTATGAACTTTTTTGAACTAATTTTTCACCAAATGATGAACTAATATTGGAACTGTCATTTTCAGGGAAACGATCTTAATAATTCCATCTAGCATGATTGATATTCAAATTTACTTTTTTCTATTACTTGAAATAATCCAATTACTTCTATATTATTTTTGAGATAAGTTATGACAGGAATTTTTTCATATTCATTAGATTAAGTTTTATTTTGTTAAAATGACCTTAATCTATCTAAAACATAATAATATTAATTAGATCTCTTTCTTTATTGATTCATCATTGAAAATTTGTTTTAATGTTATTATTCATTCAATTTAGAATCAAAAACAAATTCTTGTTAAATTCTCTCTTGAATTATTGGTTCTCTTGTTGCTTTACAATTATCAATTCCAAAAATGATTTGGAAACTCTTTCTCATTCGATCTAAAGACATTTTAAATTAAATTATTGATTTCTTAAATTATAACCAAAAATATAAGAATTTATACTTAAAATTATTATTCCACAAAAGATCAGTAATTCTCTAAAGTTTCTATAGAGAATATAATAAATTTATAAAAGAAACAAATATCTTAAAATGGTAAATTCAACAAAATTTTTTTATGAATACTACTATATTGAAGTTGCTTTTATTAATAAATAAACTATATTCTTAATGTGTTATTATATAATTAATGATATTTTTACTTGATAAATAATAATTATTAATATGTTTAAGTAATATATACAATTCTAGTATTCCTTAATGGAATAAATATTTTGCCATTTTTTTAAAGTGTATAAATAAATCATTAAATTTATTAGGCTTTTTTAAGAGTGCTTAAATTCATATTAATTTTAGATTAATCAATCGAAATAAAACTGAGAGTTGCATGATATTAGATAGAAGAATTTAATTTTACTGAATCTTTAAATTATTTATATTTACTAAAATTACCTATTATAAATGGAATTAATAACCTTAATGAGTCACTACTATTTCATAAACTAATAAAATGAAAAAAATTGGTATATTACACACCTATAGAGATATTTGTTATGCTAAAAAATTAAGCAAAATAAGTTATATAATTTATTCTAATTAGAAATATATTATAGAGATATATTAAGTTATAGAACTTTATATCTTTAGTGGGTCGCTAATTTATGAATCTATTTATAAAACGATTTATTCCTCAGAAAATGTTTATTTGAGATTGATATAGAATTGGAGAATAATTTAAGGACATTAGTTAAAAAATTGCAGTATTTATAAAAGGAATTCATTTTTGAATAAGAAAAATATTTAATTAATTAAAATAAATTATTAGATGGGAGCTTGCACATCAACTAAAGAAAAAAGGTATGAGATTAATAGAACTTTAATGCCATACAAGTAGAAAAAATATTAATAATTTAGAGTTCATATTGTGGCAGTAATTTGGCCAAAGAATTAACATAATTTATTTGACTTTGATTCCAATTCATATTTTGTAAAAGAAATCGAAGTTGACTTTTCATGTATTGTAATAAGATATACACTTTTAGCTTAAATAGCAACAGTAGACAAAGAACTAGTGGCATTAACCTAAACAGAATAAGCTAAAAATTCAACTGAATTAGTGAATATTACTTTGAATGAATAGGATGCTTATATTAACTGTATATCTCAATTATAAGATCATAAATTATGGGCAGTATTGAAATTAGAAAGCAATCAATTTTCATCTATAGATGTATAAATTAAATTATATAATTAGCATAGAGATTTAAAAATTGGAGATGTTATAAAATTAGGAAGAGTGAAAATGTAATTATTGGAATATGCATTTATGGCACCATGTGATGAGGCAACATAATATTAAGATGAATAAGAAGATGAAGTTTAAACTATTAATGATGTGTTTAATTGTAGGATTTGCTTTTCAAGTAGAGCCACTGAAACAAATCCTTTGATAAGACCATGTAAATGTGGAGGTTCAGTTAAATATATACATTTGGAATGTCTATAAAGATGGGTTGGAATACAATTAAAAATTAAATAAGGAGAACATTCTATATAATATCTTTGGAAGAGATTGGATTGTGAAATTTGCAAAGCTACATTTAGGAACACTTATAAATTTTAAGATAAAACATATTCAGTACTTAAATTGCCAAAACCAAAGTCATCATATATAACTTTTAAGATTACAAATGATGATAAAACTAAAGAGGCTATGATATATGTAGTAGAAATTGGAGAAAAAACTGAATTAAAAATTGTATAATAATATAATATTTTAATAGGGTAGAATTCCAGATTGTGATATTAAATTAAGAGATATATCTGTATCTAGAGCACATGCTACTCTTAAATTAATTCCAACTAACAATCATACTCCTGAAACTCCAAATTACATTATTAGAATTTAAGATAATAAAAGTAAATTTGGAACTCTTGTTCTAGCTTAAGATTAAGATTTACTTAAAATATCTGAAGAAGGAACTCAACCTAATGTCTTATTCTAAACAGGAAGAGTGTTACTTTAATGTACTAAGAAAAAGAAGTAGAATTAAAAGTCAAGTTATAAACATCCTGAAAATGTTACTCTGACATTAAATTAAACAAAATAATAATTTGAATATTTAGAGGTTTAAGAATCATTCGTTACACATGATGAACTCATGGCTAGTGATATTATTTTAAATAATTCTTAACCTTTTTAATAAGAACAATGTAATGGATTCAATGTGAAAGAAGATAGTATTTGTGATGAACGATGATGCATCATTCATTTTTGATATTGCTTTATTTATTATATGAATTTATTTTTTATTATATAAGTGAGCAATTATTAATATATTTATAAAAGGAAATGATAATAATATAAGTGATTGAAGATTATTAATTAGAAATAATATATTACAATAACATATATCATGATTATTGTTACTTAAATTATTAATCTTCATCTTCACTTTAATCTTATTATTGATTATCATCTCCTTCATATAATTTTTATTTATTTTCATTGTCTTACTATTCATCTTCTTCTTCATTCTCTTCTATTTACTCTTCTCTTTCATATTAATTTTCAGCTTCTTCATCATCTACAAATAAACTAGGATCATAAACAAAAAGAGCTCTTCCAGTCATTTAATTATTTCCTCCTGTTTATTTAGCACCTATGTTTAAATAAATAATTTAAACCTTTCTTTTTTTATTCTTCTTATTTTTATTTTTCAGCTTCCTACTTTTTTTTTTCAGCTCTTTCAATCTTCCATTTTTCAAATACTTCTTTAGTAATTTTTGTTCCTCCTTTTTACAACTTTTAAATTTCCTCATCTATTTCTTCTTCAATATCACCATCAAATTATTATTTAAGTTCCTCCTTCCTTCTAAAAACATATCCTTATGGCAAACAATGCTTATAATGACAAGTCATACCATTAGGACATACCCATTTCCATCCATATTTACCTTTTTCTAAAGCATCCAAAAAAAAATCACAAACTTTAGCTGATGGAATTTAACTATTTTATTTAAATACATCTAGATACCTTTTATATGTTTTCTCATTGGCTTCAATTACATCTTTTAAAGTCTTTTCATCCCAAGTTTAACAAGTATCCCATTCATCTGTTAATTATTATCTTTAATCTGTATATAAATCAAGTATTGCTGTCTTTTATTCGAGACTCATATCATGAGAATAAATACATTTCTTACCCTTTTAACAAAGACCTATCCATTTACTTATCTTTTACCTTATTTATAATATTCACATAATATTGATTTTGGATCAACTTCTTCTTCAGATTCTTCATCTCTTGCTTATTCAACTGTTTTATATAAAGATTGTATCAATTTTTCATCTTCCTCCAATTATTTTTCTAATTTCTTTTTCTCATATTCTTCTGCCTATAATTTTGACATTGAAACACCATTATGTTTAACTTATTAAGCAACTCCTTTACAAAAACTAAAAAATATTTTATAACTCAAATACTTTTAAACTTGTTTACTTTTATTTTTATTTTTTAGTCCAAATGTTCTATCCTCTATTATTTTTTCTTATTTCTTTTTTTCTGCTTTTTTACTCATGAATTAAATTGATTAAAAAAATGCAGGAAGCATATAGAATCAAAACTTCTAATAAAGTTCAATTGGAAAACAAATTTACATAAAAAAAAGGTTAGCTATTAGAATCCATATAAATCATGATTTCATAAGTTTAAGAGGAACTATAGGAATCTATACTTAAAGATAAATAGGAGGTTATAAATCAAAAAGCTAAAACAATAGCTCTTTTGAAATAAGCTGATTCTAAAAATGATCTTATACTTGAATAAGAAACTATCATATCTTAGTTATTACTAAAAATATAAGAATTAGAAAAAGTATAGTTACCTCAAAAACAAAATAATATAGATTAAGATTAGGTAGTCGAGCTTGAGTAAGAAGTGTTATTACTTAAAGCATTATCAAATAAACTTCGATAAAAAGCTAATCGATTATGCAGTTACTTTGTTTGTCTTCGATTATATAATGCAGAATAAGGTTTAAAAATTTAATAAGATGATTTTGATTATAATTTACTTGTAATGCCAAAAATTCCAGATCATTCTAGTTTGATTTCCAGTTTATAAGAATCTGAAAGGATTTTAAAATAAAAATTAGAATAGCAAGTATAATGACATTTAATAATAGGGATAATAAAATTCAAGAGATTTAGGTTGAGAATGTTGAATTAAAAAAAGAAAATTAGAATTTAAAAAGATGTCTCAAAAGATTCAATGTAACCTCAAATTTAGATGCTTAAAAATAACAAGCATTAATCTAATAACTTGAAGATTAATTAAATGAATAATAATAGCTTATAGCTGATTAATTTCATAAAATAAAAGTATATATTTCATAATAATTAAGCAATATGAATAATAAAATCAATGCAAATAATTAAACGATTTTATACTTAAAAAAAGAAAAGTTAAAAATTAATAACCTGTTTTCAATTTAGAATTAGTAAAGAGAAAACTTACTCTTGATGTTTGGAGATCTAGAGATGATAGTGTTTATACTACAATTGAACCTCGTATTCATTCAAAAACAGTTTAATATAAATATTGATTATTTCTATTTTTTTATTTATGAGATCAAAACCTAATTAAGCTTAAGAAGATATTATGATTAAGGATCTTTAGAGGGTTATCTAATTAAATGACTTACAGGCAAGAGAAATTCTCAATCAAACCTAATGGAATTTATAAAAAGCTACTAATTATATTTTAGACATTCAAAAATCAGGAATAAAAATTGAAGAGCAATTTAAAAAATATGCAACAAAACAATCATTAGTAATAGATGAAAATGGAATTTCATAATTTTGTAAAGAATTAGAAATTGATTTAATGGACCCTGTTATCTTATATATATCATATATCTTTAAAAGTGAGACCATGGTATATTTATTTAATATTTAAGGGTATTTATACAAAATTTGACTTTCTTTATGGATTTACAATATTGAAAGTCTAGTCTACATCTGAATTGAAAAAAGTATTAAAACGTTTAAAAGATGATCTTAATAATAATTAGGAAATTTAAAAATCAGTCTATAAATATTGTTTTGATTTTACTAAATAAAAAAATAGAAAAGATATCGAACTACGATTTGCTCAAGGATTATGGGAAACACTTTTAACAAATACATTTCCAATCATGAAATAATTCTTGAAATATGTTAGTGTAATGATAATTAAAGTTTTAGTAAATTCAAGAAAAGGATTAAAAACATATCTCCAGAGATACCTATTATATGGTTTGGGAATTTTGTGTTTAAATTGGTGAAGATTTATCTAAATATGATTACAAAAATGGAGCATGGCCAACTTTTATTGATGGTTTCTATTTGTATATGTTTCCTAATCATAAATAATGATTTGTTAACCAGATTATATATATTATTATAAATTAATTAAAAAAATGTTCAATAAAACACGAAAATTTAAAATATAATTTATAATGAAAATATCGTTACTCTTCTATTTAAAAATAATGAGAATCATGATTATACATTGAAACCTAAATATATTATAAAATATATTAAAATAACATAAAATCTTTGTAATTAAAATCTAAAAGTAAGTCTTAACTTATAATATTTTGTTGTTCGTTTTATTTATATTAAAACTATTTAAAATAGCCACTTATTTAAAATGATAGAAATGAAAATTATTTAATAAGTTTTTGTTATACCTTTATCACCAAATATTTTCAATATTGAATTGCTTTTTAATTATTTATAAGATTATTTAGTTTAAGTCTAAAAATAAGACTTAAAAAATATTGTTGTTTTCTCCATTATGATTATGTATAAATTCTTTCTAACAATTAGGAAAAACCTTAATTTATAATTAAATTGCCTAATTCTTTTAAAAAATCTTAAATAGAAATTTGATAGACTTATAGTTTTTTTAACTTCAAACCTAGTAATTGTGGAAAATACTGTAATTAAGATGAAAAAAATATATTAGAACAAGTAAAAGATTAAAAATTGTATTTAATTTTAGCTTGAAAAATTGGAGTGATGACGATCCTTTAATACATAATATTTTAAATAAAGAAATTTAAAATTAAATAATATTCTATCTTAAAATAATTGAAATATAAAATTTATATTGTTTAACAATTAAAATCAATAATAATGAAAATATTATAATCTATGAATGAAATATTTCCATCATTATTAATAATACAAAAATATATATATTTTAAATAAATTTAATGATGATTTTATTAGAAAATTAATTATATAACTAATATATTTTGATTAAAATTATCTGAATCAAAGTCCAGAATTCTCACTTTCTCTTTATTATTAATATTATAAATCTTATTTATTTACTTTTTATTAACATTACAATTTATTATTAAAAACCTAAATTTATAATTGATTCTATGAACTCATAACAATCAGAAGTAGTTTATAAAACAGCGATTATTATTTTAAAAATATTCTAATTAAAAATAGATAACTGAATTAATTAAGGCAATATAATTTTAAACCGACTCATTATTAATAATATGTAAAATATTTTAAAATGTAGATATTTCTTTTAAATCCAATAATAATTAAGAAAAATAATTCAATATCTACTACACAATATAAATATTATATTATCATTATTGGGTAGGATAGATTGGTGACATAATAGTAACTTTTGTCTAACTTCTTTAGGATGGTGAAGGGTATCTATATTTATAGATGATAGTAGGCGTATATCTGCCATTTTTTTTCATAATTTCAATTCTTTTTGCACTATTAGTTTATTTTCTCCTTTCTACGACATAATCCTTAATTTCATCAGGTGTAAATGCACCTATTTACACAATTTTTTTTAAAGCAGGACTTTAAGGAGCACTATTGTAATTACGTTGATTGATATCGTCTATTGACTCTGAATTTTCGCTTAAAGCAGGCCTTGGTATCTAAACAATAGGCTATTTTTTAGTAGTAACACATCCCATTTGATTTTAATAATTAATATTATTGAAAGATCAATATTGATTTATCATATATATATGTTGAATTTTGTGGTGAGAAATGCCAATCTATAAATTCTGATGAGATGGTCTCTCAAACTTTAATTAAAAATTCCATCAGCATGTATCTAATATTGATTAATTTTAAAGGAAATTAATATGAATTACAAATTCTCAAAACATTCTAATATTATTATTTGAAATAATAAGTTTTTATATATGTTTGTGACATATAATATTTAAATTAATATTCTCTAACCTCTTTTTTAATAAACCAAACTCTATTTAATAGTTTTTATCATTCTATATACAATATTTAAATTTTATTATACTTTTTTTAGAATATAATAGATAATTGGTTTTATTTGTTTTATTTTGTTTATATATGGGAAATATTTGTAATAGTGAATAAAGGGACGAATAGTTAAGTAATTCCTTAAAAAATACTTACTTTTCAGAAAATGAAGACTAACCATACGCCCCTATTAAACCAATTGTATCCTACAGAAAATATTATTAGATTTAAAATAAAATTGATAGAGAAAATAGTCTGTAGATTGGTGTTTGTTTTGATAAATCTGAAATTATAAACTAAGAAATATGCATTTAACTATGGGAAGGTTTAGTTGGGAATCCATAACGCCAACATTAAAGAGAACCTGGTGATTTATAAAAGGCTTTATATGCAATTCATAAAAATGAACCAGGACGTTTTGCGGAAGTTTTAGAATAAGCTGGAGGTGGATAAATTAGATGGTTTGTTTGGAAAACTTTGTTATATAGTTGCATTAAATATAAACATCAAGCAATGAAAATTAGATAAACTGAAAGACTATCAGTGGTAGAAAGAGATGTGAAAAGAACATTTCCAAGGTATAATTAAATTTAAGATTAGTCATCCCTTTTTTTAATTAGAATCTTAAAGTTCTCAATTATTAAGTTAACTATTAAATTTAGTTGGGGCAACTTTTAAGGGAATAGGCTATACTTAAGGAATGAATTACATCTTAGCATTTATGCTAATGTAATCAGGTGGGAATATAGAATAAACATGGTCTGCTTCTTTTCTGATGTTTTATTGTTCAAAATGGATGCTTTATGCAATTTATATGACAGAATTTCCTTTAATGAGACTAATTTGTAGTGTTACTAAAGAAATTCTCAAAGAATAAGATGTATAATTGTACAAACATTATATGAAATTAGATATTGACGATTCTTATTTATTATGTAAATGGATCTTTACTTTATATTTGTATAATATTCCAAAATAAGCTTGTCTTCATTTTTGGGATATTATTTTTTAAAATGGTATTTTTATTATGGCATCCATAAATTGCTAATTATTAATCTCAATAAGAACTTCAATTTTGAGTTTCAAGAATTCAACACAATTTTTGGAATATGCATAAGAATTATAATAAAATTAAATTTGTTAAAATTACAAAGAAATTAAAAATAATGCCTTAAAGACAATACCATAAAAAAAAAATATTCTTTTTTGTATAAATTCTATCAAAGATTAATATGAAAAGAATAGTGCAGCATAAGAATACTTTTAATTATTATAGGATAATTTTGAAAAATCTGATTTCGAAAAAAAATACTAAAATTGGATGGAGAATAATCTATAATATAATTCAAATTGAATTAAATATTTGTATGAAAGAATCAAAATTTTATAGTATCTTTTGCCATTGTATATTAATCTTCAGGAAAAACTTAGTATTTTTGGTAATTTGATAGTCTAGAATCTAGAGTATACTTTTTTGAACTTTTTTATTCTATTTTTGGAAATGCTAATGAATAATCCTTATAATCTTCTCTTTTTGTAACAGATTAACTTAATTAAGAATAAATAAAGATTTTTTTTGTCTATCTATCTATAGACTTTGCTCTCTAAGTCTATATTTAATTATTCATAATTTTTTTTCCTTATTTGCTTATCAAATTTGTAAATTCACTTAATAGTATTTTTTCATTAGGTTTCTAAGATTTTAGTGATTCCCCTTTTGTTTTATTCTCATTCAATATAAATTCTTTATACCTTCTCTATAAAATAGTATATTCAGTATTTTCACTTATATTTTCAAGATCTTGATTGTTCTTTTTTTTATGATTTTAAGCATTGTTACTCTCAAAATCATAGAGTCCATTTACTTTTGAACTATTCAAAGGGTTATTTTATGTTCTGTATCTACTAGTCATAGCAAATTCTAAATAGGATTATTCAGTTCTCCTTTTAAATTTTGGTTCTTGAAATTGAATATCTGGATTATCTATACATAAAACAGAATATTTAAGAGGTAATTATGTTGATTTATTAATTCCATCTTTTTTTGGAGATCTTGGAGATAATTCATTAGTAACAAAGAGTTTACTTTGAATACTCTATTCAAATTATTATTCATCTTCATTCTGATTTCTGTTTTATAAAATAGAACAGTTTTATAATATAGAACTCAATTTTATAGTATTACTTTAAACTATTTATTAGTTTTGGATTTTTATTGGTACTTTTTTTATAATTTATTGAGTGCTCATCCAAATAAAATTTAAAGGTATCCTACTTGTATCATTAAAAAATTGCAACTGAATTTCATTTTGTTTTAATTTAAATTATTCTGCTTAGAATTCATTTTAACATAAAATTAAACAGTTTGATGTTGAATTTTGCAAATTAGAGGATAATAATTCTTATGATTCTATTTTATAAGCTTTTTAAATTTTTTAATAATATTTTTATAAAAATTACTCTTGTTTTTAATAAGGACTTTCCCAAAGGTTATCATTTAACATTTAAATGCATACTCCATTAAATTTAAATTTATAAGTTATAAGAGCTAAAGCCAAAGCTCTATATCTAGCCTCGCTTGTTGATTTGTAAGTAAATCTTATATAGCTTCTTTTGCATATATGATCAAAAGAGATTTTAGCACCTAAATGAAGCAAACTATATATATCACACTACTTAAAGAAATTCAAATCATTTAATTTTTCAAATTATTTCTTTTAATATTGCCTATTTCTACAACTCCATTTCGAGTTTGATATTTCCTACTTGACAATAGTGTAATCTATAAACTTTTGTTATGGAACTGGAACCATTTATATTTATTTAATCAACCATTAAGGAATAACTTTAATAGGTAAATTATTAAGTTAAGATATAGTTTATTAATAAGTTGATTAATTTAAATTTTAAGTTTATGATGAGAACATTAATCTTACAGATTCAGAATCAGAAACTATCTAAAATAAGATTATTTCATACCGTATTATATTGTTCTAAAAATTTTATAGTATATTATTAATTTTATACTATTTATTCTATTTTCTAATATATTTCCATATCCAAATACAAATGTTCTGTTGGTATTTATGAAATGAAAAATGAGATATCTTTAAAAAAGTTATTTCTATGGAATTATCTTATTCTTCTAAACCATTTTTGAATAACAAATATTGCTCGAGATTAATTGATTAATCCAATTATGACAGAGTATTACATTCCTTTTATTTTTCTATCCTTTTTTCCTCTAAAAAATTTTTGAATTTTACAAGCAGCACCAATTTCATTTAATTAATAATCAAAATATATCTATAATTATTATTCCTTATTCTTTCTATTATATAAATATATTTTTTTGAGAATATTGATATTTTTCAATTCTACAGATTTAAGTAAAGTGTATTCTTCCAATTAAAATTTATCTACTTTTTAAAGTACATGTTGATATCTATCATATTCTGAATTAGTAAGTTGGTATTATTTCCATGGTCGTTTAACTGTTACATAATTCGTAAAATAATATAAAAATTCATTCTTTATCATATCTTTATCTATAGTAGTCTCTCCATAATACTTTTTCATATAGTGAAAGTTAAACAAAATAACAGCTTTTTGAACTCTTCTAAAAATCAAAGGTATTAAATTATTATGTTCACATTTAGTGTATTTTGGAAGTCTTATTGTTTTTAATATTGCATTTTAAGATTATATTTTAGTAATCTTATGGAATATGTTATCCTATTATTTTAAAATATAAAATCGCTTTATTTTATTATGTTTGATAAATTATTTTAGATTTTACACTCTTTATAAATTGATTTGTAATGCTTTGTATATAAGTTTTGAAGCATTAGTAATAATGTATTGTTAAAATTTCTTTTTCTTAAATTCTTTATATGAATATAAAACTTTTAAATAGCTTTATTTATATTATGTTACAAGAATGCTTCTTACTTCTCTCTTTTTTTCTACAAACATTCTCCATTAATTAACAACTTTTTATACCAATTAAATGTTCATAAATTTATAACTATATAATCATTAAAAAAAGTTAATATAATATCAATACTAAGTTCTATTATGTTAGTATTTAGATTATAAATATTTAGTTAAATTAATAAAGATGTGATTATATATATACACTTTAAATCAAAATCAATAATAAAATTATGTCATATTAATAAAAATTAAGTGGACTTAAATGTTGGGATTCTTTTCGTGACTTAACTCTTTAGAAGATGGAAATAATACCATTTGCTATTACTGAATGTCCTGATTTATGTTCTTGTCAAATTTGCAAAAAAAAATAGCCAGAAAAAGAAGAACCATAAGAATAAAATAAGAAATCTTAAAAAATAATGAAATAACCAAGATAAAGAAGATTTTCAATATGTGGATTTAAAGATGATTTGCTTACAATCTGTCAAATGTTATAGAAGTAAGATGAAGTTGTGAGACCAATAAATATTAATATTTTAGATACAATTATTTTGAAAGAAAGAGAATTTGTATTATATGCATTTTATGATAATGGTTTCAGATACATCAAAAACAAATCCTTTTTTCATACAGATATGGAAAAATAACTTTTAGATAGAAAAATAGAATTTGAAGTTAATCATTAAATTAAACAAATAAAATCAGGTATCCATCCTACAATAAAATTATCTGAGTTATATGAAAATAGTAATTAAGTAACTACTAAATTAAAATAAGTATTTTATAGATTTAAATCTTAGTAAATTACTGATTTATTGAATGCTTAAAGTATTCTAATGGCAAGATATTAGACTGGTGAAACAACCTTAATTGGAAAATTTGAATTACATTAATTATCAGTTTTATCGAAAACAAATGTTATATTTGATAACCTACTTCATTTATAATTATATCTTTATAATGAAAAAACAGCATTAGATTTTATTGAGACAAATAAAAGAAATTCTAAAGATTATTTTATTCATAGATATAAATACATAAAAGATAATTCACTATTTAGTGATATAGTTTGTGAACAATCATATTTAACAGATCCTTCACTTAGAGGTTAGAGATTATGGAATAAAGAAAAAGAATATTCAGATAATTTAGATTTAAAAGAATATTTTAAATATACATGCCATAAAATAGCTGTTTATATATAAAGTTTTCATAAATAATGTATTAATGAGATGGAAGTACATTTTATTGTTAGTATAACTAAAAAATATCCAAGATTACCCTAAAAATATTACAATTATTAATGTAATTGGATTAAAAATGTCAAAAGCAGAAGAAACTTAATGGGTAATAAAAACTGGTAGAGTGCTGAGCACAGCAGAGAAAATACAAATTAATGATGTGGATTTAAATGAAAATAATAAACCATAAACATAAAGATCCTTAGTTGTTTCTTAATCATTAATACCTTCTACTTAAAAGTAATAGTTGTTATTAATTATAAAGAGTAATAGAAAAGATAAAACCTATCACTGCTTAAGTAATAGTTAATAACATGTAAAGTACAAGAACATAAGATGCATTTAAAACTCTGAATCCTTAAACTAACGAATCTATTAATCAAATATTAGAAAATTAGTAGTATTAAAAAATGATTAGGAATTTTCCAAAATAATTAAAGAGATATCAAAGTATGTAGAGAGATTCACCAATCAAGTCTAGAATTGATGATTAACCTCTTACATGCAGTAGAGATGTTTAAATAGATGATTATTTATTGAAATCAAGATAGAAAAAGAAAAAATAAACAATTAATTCACCTTTTCTTAGAAGTATCTCTAGAAGATTTTTTACTAGAAGAAATTCTGCTGATTTTTGTTGAGATATCCACTTAATAATTATTTATTAAATAATTAATCTTTATTTCAAAAGAATTGTCTGTTCCAAATTGTCTTGCTTATTCATATTTTTATAAAAATGTTAGGAAGAATATTAAAGTCTTATTTTGGTAAGGTTCATAGAAAATAATTGAGAATAAATTAAAAATTTGAAGAAATTCTATAAACTTTGTTTACTTATTGCTTTCTTTTTGAAATGAGATATAGAGTTGCAAAATTTATTAAATTTATTTTTAAGAAGTTTTGAGATATTTTCTTAATAATTAAATTAAATTATTATAAACAAACGTTACAAGAGATTATTCTTATTATGCTTACTAACCATTCTTAAAGAATTTTCAAACTTTTGAAATGAATTAAAAAAAAGGATATTGTTGAATTTTTGGTTAATATTAATATTAATTCTCAAAAAAATAATAGATGATTTGATATTGAAAAAATAAAATGAAATGGAAAGATTAGAATAATAAAAAAGTCATTAATATGATATTTGTTTTTTTTAAAACTCAAAACTGAAAGTCATCATTATCACTATCGTTTTCTTCAAAGGCAAATTATGTACAATATAAATCTATTTATACAAATTTACAATTACATATCTCTTCATCATATAAATCAGACTTGTAACCATCCAAACTTGCTTCTTCATTTTCCATAAATTTTAAAATCCCAATATAATTATTTTATATTATAAAATCTTCTTACAAGAGCTATTAACAACTTAGTCTTTATTCTGGATTTTGAGATAAAAGGTTCTTTAGTATTTCTCTAATTTTGATATCCTATATTGCAGATAACTAATCTTCATTGATTCCTTCTAAAATTTTTTATTCAATGCCTTATTCATTCAATCCAAAAGGAGGTTTTCCTACTAACATCTCATAAAATAGAATGCCTATTGTGTAGACATCAAAAGAATAATCATATTCATATCCATCATTTTTTATGACCTCAGGTGGCATTGAATGAATTGTACCACAAAATGTAGAAGTTCTCCCCTTCTCAATTTTTTTAGCCAATCCAAAATCAATAAGTTTAATTCTAAACTCTTAAGTGATGATAACATTAGAAGCTTTTAAATCCCTATAAAGCCAACCATTTTCATGAAGATAGTTAAAAGTTATCAATATTTGAATAAAAAATAAAGTAGAGAATTTTGTATTAAGTTTGCCTACGTTTCTTAATAATTTATGTAAAGGCATTCCTTTCTCAAATTTCAAAAATAAATGAATATTTAAGTCATCCTTATTGGTAGCAATACTAGGATATAGTAATCTAGAGTTTATTACATTTTATTAATTGATGGATAATTAAGTTCATGTAAAGCTTATTTTTCATTATGTAAATGCTCAATCTATTTTTAAGTCTGTAAAGAACTGAGTAATATACTCTTTTTTATCATTTTTAAAAATTTACTTTTTAGACCATTATTTGTGATTCGTATTTGATTAGATTTATGATTACTGTCGATTAATGAGTTTTATCAATATCTGTCAATATCTATATTTTATCGATTTGAATTTATTATAAATTCTAAGGGCTATGTTATTTCATAAAGTATAATATATATTATTAGATGTTTAAAGAACGTCATAAAACTATTAAATTATTTAATAAATCATCAAGAAATCAGACCTCTTTCTAATTTTCTCAATTCAAAGATAATCATCTTCCACATTCTTATGACAAATTGTTCACTATCGTCATCCAAGACCTTCTTTACTACTTTATTTATAATTGTTTATGGCTTCTCACGATTAAATAATCTTTTGATGATGGCATCAATAAATACTCTCTCCTCTTAAGATAAATATTCAATACACCTCTCTCTTAACCATGGACGGATCTTTTTCTCCAATAAGTTAGACTTTTGATTAACTAAATATATAATTAATACCTAAGCAAATAACTACCAATTAATCTGGGTATTAAATAGTTCTTCTTTTTCAGTTGGGATTGTCGCAAATATTTATTTGAGCTCTTCTTTCAGATCAATTTCCTTTTATAATTTCTCTTATTACATTTATTCAGCTTATTCCATCTATTGCTAGTTTTAAATCAAATATAATATTGAATTATTACTTGCTGCTATAACAATTACTATTAGGTTTACTAAGGTTCTGGCTCAGGTGGCTCTTAAATAATAACTACCATTTAAGGTGGTTCAGGTTCAGGAGGTTTTTGTGTCTTTAATAATTCTTTCTTTTTAAAGATTTCATCTTCTTCAAATTCCCTTTACCTGAATTTCTTTCTTTCGTTCATCTTAATCTTACCAATTTATTTACGTTCTTATTCACTGTCATAAGCTAATTCTTTTTCAAGATATTTTTAGAAATTTTTCTCTCGATCTATCTCTCTCTCTTTTTCTTTTTTTCTTTCTCTCTCTCTTTCATCCTCCTTCTTTTTCCATTCTGCCATTTTCTCTTTATATTTTCTCTCCAATTCTGCTCTAGTATTATGCTTCTTTGCATCTCTTTCTCTCTCTCTTGGATGTTCTTTCTTTTCTTCTTCTCTTTTTTTATCATTTTTAGTTTTAGTAACAGTGCCTTCTAATTCTGATATTATTTTTTCTAATTTCTTTTTTATTTTATCATCATCTCTAGTAATGTATTCTTAAAAAGATGTAAATTTAAATAATGCTCTGTACTCCTCCTTTTATTTATCCTTCTCTTCTAATTTAGCTCTTCTCTCTTCCCATTCAGTCTCCTTCTTGTACATCCAACCATCAATCATCATCTAAGCTTTCTCTCCACCCTTAACAAGTAACTCCTTCTAGTTCAGAATCATACCATTAAGAAGGCGCAAACATTTTAATACACTTTCCATATTTTCAAATTCAGCATACCCAAAAGGAGTACCTTTTGATCGCTTCCATGATACTAATTGACCACATTCCTAACTATCATATTCATTTTACTTTCAAAAGTTTTTCAACATTATCATTAGTTAATTCTTAAGGTAAGTTCTTTATAAACAATTTCTTAGCTTCTTAAGGTTCTTGAATTTGACTTTTGGGATAGAAATCTTATTGTACTCCTTAAGGAATGTCTAAGTCTTGTAATCCTGGAACAGGAAAAAATGGTAACATAAATAATTTAATTTAAGATATTTTATTAAAAATACGTGTTCATTAAATATGTTCTAAGAAGTCAGACCTGTAGAAAACACTAATTACGACAGAAGGGTTCGTGAAAATCAGAAAAATGAATTCAAAAAAATATTGGAAGAAGATCAAATTTCATCCTAGATTGCAGAATAATTAGCTACATCTCTTGAATAAGAAGCATATACGCTTTCTGGAGGTGATCATACAAGAGACTATAGAACTAGAGTTAATACTGTTAAAATGCGCTTGAAGGGAACTAAAGGTATCTTTATTATACTATTCTAGGATAATTGATTAGAACTGCCTTAGTAGAACAAATTTTGACACCCAAAGAATTAATGTCATTAGATATGTCAAAATTAAGTGAGGATAGTGTTTAAGCATTCTTGTAGAAAGAATAAAGAGGTCTCCCTCAACCATAAACTAATATTAAAAAGAATGTTCCTTAAAGAGGGCCTCCAACCAGACCTCCTGTTGCAGGTATACCACCAATTAAAAATTAAGTTGTGGTACCTCCAATTCCACAATCAACTACTTAAAATTCATATCAAATTGTTAATCAATAATAAATATCTGATTAGACTAGCATTGACAATTAAAATATTCAAACTTAAGCTGAACCTTAACATATTAATAAAGAGTAAGAAATTAATCTTCAAACTTAACCTAAGGATTAAAATCCTTAAATTTAGAAATAAGTTCCAAAACAATAGATTCCTCCTCCAAATAAATCTAAATAAGTGACTTCTACTTAAATCTCCAATAATTAAACAGAAGAATATGGAATAAAATAATAAGAAGTATAATAATAAAATAAAAACCTTAACACTTAAATAAATAATTAATTATCATCTGATATTACAACAAAATAAGAAAAAAATGATAATGTTCCTCCTCCACTTTCATAATAATAATTAACTAATTAGATCAATTTTTAATAAGTAGAAAATGAAAATGTAGAAGAAGAAGATTTAACAAATTTTGATTCTTTAAAATAAAATCAAGAGAAATTAAATTAATTAGCAGAATAATTGAGATCAGAAGAAGAGTCAGAAGAATCATAAGAATCAAATATTGAAAATCAAGAAAATTATAATCCAATAGAGAATTCTAATTTTCCTTAAACAGATAACTAAATAGATAATCCAATATTATAATTTTAAAATACCATTACCAAGTAAAATAATTAGGATTCCTCAGAGAATATACATCATACTGAACCAGAATAACTAATTAATAATGAATTTGATAAATAATAGAATGACAATTTTTAACAGGAAACCATAAAATAGTAAATACATAATTCCTAAGAACTAAAAGATTAAGAATTTAATGAATAGCAAATTTCCTCATAAATTTAATCTATAGAAAATTAAGATGAAGTTCCTCATTAAAAATTAAAAGAAGAAGAAACACAAGTTCAATAAACCAATTAAGATTAATAAATAAAACAGTAAAAATTAAATTCTTCACATAATTAATAAGAATAAACATAATAAATAATATCAAGCAAAACAGATACTTAAAATTAAAAAAATGAATAAATAGTAAAATAATAAGATGAGTTAATTGAAAGCTTAAATCTTACTTCTTAAACTCCGAAATTCACAATTTAATTACAACAATAATCAACTTAATAAATTGATGTTGCTGTATTTGAATAAATGATAAAATAAAGAGATATTTATTATGAAAAATAGATTTCTTAGTTAATTAAATAAAATAAGGATCTACAGCATTCAATTAATCAATTTTAATAAGATCATATTAAAACTATTTAAGACTTATAAACAAAGAATGTAAATTATTAAACATAAATTCAATAACTTCAAAATGAAAATAAGCTATTGAAAACTACTTTATAAAATTAAGAATAAAATTAATTGAAATAACTTAATTAGTTAAAAGAATAAATTTTGAGTGAAAGAAAATAATTTTAAAAACTCTAAGAAATGTAATAAATAGAAAAATAAAATGAAAAACATTTCATTGAAAAATTGCATTCTAATACTCAATAAAGAAAGGATATCATTCATAAATATCGCATATAGTCAACCCAATCTAATTTAGATGACTAAATTACAATTTTATAAGGTTTACTTTCAAAATTGTAACCACCTTAATTACCTAGGGTTTAGTAATTCTAATAGCCAATCTAAATTTAAGCTAATACTTAATAATAAGTCGTTCAAACCTTGGTTGTTGAAGCTCCTGCTACACATTAACATCATGTTTAATAGTAAAACCAATAGTATTGGGCCAATGAAGATGATGTTAATTTGTAAGGTTAAATTGTTAATGCTGATTCTGGATCTACATAATTGAAAACTGCAAATAACTAAATATAGGTTTAAGATGTATAAGATGTATAAGATGCATAAGATGAATAATAATAATTTGAATAGCAGGATTAGTAAGATTAAGAAGTTTAATAGGATGAGGAAGAAGAGAATTAGTAATTTGATAATTTAACTAATTAACATGCTATATAAGAGTAATAATAAGCTATAGAAAATTAGTCTCACTTCAAATAATAATAATAATATCATTAAGAATAATAATAATAATAATAATAATAATAATAATAATAATAATATTAATAATAATAATAATAGTAATAATAGTAATAATTACTATTATAAAATTCATCTTAATAACACTAAGAAGAGTAAATCTAAAATAATGAAATATCAAATAGCATTGATAAGAAAGTTATACATGAAAAACAATAAAATGAACATATAGATTAATAATAAGCAAACTCAAATATTATCAAGAATGAAATTCAAGAAAATACTTATCATCCTCCTCCACCAAGGAAACAAAATCATTAAAAATAAGAAAATCATGCTACATTTGCACATCCAAGATTGGCACATAAATAAGAGAATAATCATAATTAATAATAGAATTAATAGTAAAATTTTTAAACAAATAACCCATTTTTTGATTATTAGGGAGCAGAAGAATATTTTGAAACTAGTAATTAAACAAATTTCTAATAATTTTTTGAAAAATAGATTGAAATACCAAAATAGCCAACATCTTAATAGAAAACTAAATAAACAAATAGGAGAGCAAATGTACCTGGATCATTGTTTGATTGATTATTTATCATGTATCTATGTGAATATGATTTAAATGTTAATTTTTAATCTATTTATTTTTTTTACAAAATCATATGATAAATTATTTTAGTTGCTAAATCATATTGAGTAGTTTTGAATTTTTTAACAATTTTGAAAATAGAAATCGTTATTTAACTTAAAATAACTAATTATTCATAACAATTTAGGTAACATAATAAAATTGAAGTTCTCTAAAGAATTCTAATCTACCTTTTTATAAAAAAAATTCACATAATTAAAAATTGATATAATAATCAAGCAATTTTTTTTCCCTTATATAGACAATGAAACCAGATTGATAATTATAATTTAGAAAAATGAGTGATTTGAAATCAGAGTGCTAAGAAATCAATAATTGGTTTATAAAAAATACATTCTAATATGAAATTCCTCATTGCTTTACTGCATCTTATAAGAATGACAAAGCATATTTATCTATACTTTCTACTAATATTGGTTTGGTGACTTCAAGACCAATCCTTTAGAATTATAGACCTATTAAAATATATCATATAGATGGTCCATAACAAGAATATACAGAAATCTTTTTAAAAAATGTAAATTAAGAAATATTATTCGATTATATTTCAATAAGTAGGGTTTTTGATTATAATGTAAGATTATAAATGAGTTGGTATATGCTGTCTCCTAAAAATATCAAGGCTCATACAATAAATTTTCATAATTTCTTAAATGGTGGATATAGAAATTATTTAATTGTACCTTTAATAAATGACTAAATTGATTATGAATTTATGTAGGAATTTATAAAATAAAGAGAAGGATTAGTTAATGGAGAGTGTTTAAAAGATATGAACTTAGAAGATTAAGCAATATCCGATTATTTATATTATATCCCTAAAACATAGTAAGTGAATTGCATCTATGCAATAATATCATAACCTTGGAAATAAACTGTGGATGAGTATTTTAATCTTATCATCTAAAATTCTAAATTTACTTTAGAATAACTTAAGGAATATTACTGTATTGATGAATCCATCCTGAATAAAACAATAGGGTATTTTTTTTATGAACATTAATTCAAAGCTAAAACAGAAAATATTAATCCTATTTTATAATTGAGATCTTATTAAAACTAATACAATTAAAGAGATTCAGCTTTGGCTATTTTTAAATAGGTAACAACTATATAAAGAGTATAATATTATACTGAGGATTAAGTAAATAGTCTTGAAAATAAGACATAAAATTTAAAAATACATTCTTGTAAACCAAAATTAGAACTAAATACTTTATCAACTCATATAATGCCTACATCAAATTTATATAGATATCCATTTACTGTTAATCAATATGATAACTTTTTAATGCTTCCAACCTTTTTATTAGAACTTGAGTAATAATTTATCATAAGTGAATTTGCTAATTCTATTGGAATAGAACCGAATTTAAGAGTATAAAGAGCCATAAGTAGAGCTTCTTATAATAGAGATATTAATTATGAATTATTGGAGACTTTAGGAGACTCAATATTAAAATTTTTAGCTACTCTTTCAGTCAGCTTAGGTCCTTAGAATACAAATGAAAACATATTATCAGATTAAAGATCATAAATAGTGAATAATAATTTTATTGGAAAACACCTATTTAAATATTAATATTTTGGATTATTTTATTATGTTAGATCACTTGGTCATTAAACTAAATGGTTTAGTCCAGTACTTTAAAATATTCATTCAAATCATATTTAGCCTGAACCTATAAAATAAGTATCAGCAACTATGCTCGTAACTTTTTTAGCAGATATCTTTGAATCACTTATAGCATCTGTCTTTTTAGATAAAGATTCCTTATATGATGTTTATAAATTCCTGTTACATTTAAGACATCCTGTTTCTTATTATCCACCAACAGAGAAATATTATCCTCATAAACCAATTGTTCAGTAATATCAATTTCCAATAATGCATAATTATATGAGTTTTAAAGATTTAATAAATCCAGTCAGATAATTATCAGAAGTTGAAAAATAACAATTCTAAAAGAATTAAATAGAATATCTAAATTATTTATAAAGAGAAGTTATTGAATACTAATTTCAAAATAGATATATTTTATATGAATCATTTAGAGTACAAGGTTCAAATATGGATCTAGATTTACCATTAGAATTATATTATAAATTTCTGTTAAATTCAAACACACCTTCTACAAGAGGACATTAAATGTTGGAACTCATAGGTGATGCAGTATTGGAATGTTACATTATGTGTAATTGTTTTAATTAGATAATCTTTAAATTTACTCCAACAAATTTATATAAAATAAAGATGGTTTTATTATCAAATTCATTTTTATCAAAAATAGCTATTTGTTACAATATTATGCATAATTTTTAAGATCCTGCCATATTATAATTTATAGAAACTGTTAAATTAGATGAGAAATTTACATATTATAATGGTAATTTTGTGAGAGTTCCAAAAGTACTATCAGATACATTTGAAGCCCTTGTAGGAGCCATATTTATGGATGGAGGATGGTAACCAGTTTGTAAATTTTTAAAAAAGGTTTACTTGAAATTTATTCCTTTTGTATGCACTTATTTAAATGATATTGATGATCATGTTATTGATAGAGTACATTAATATTCTGCTAGCAAATAAGGTCATATGGATATTAAATCTTTTAAACAAGAGAATGGATAATTTTGTTATGAAATCAGAATTGATGGTTAAATTGTGGGTAGATTTACTCATGAACATGAAAGAGTTGCAAAAGAAAAAGCTTGCGAATCAGCATGTAAAAAGTTGAAAATTTGATTTATGATTGTTAAAAATTAGAATTTAATTTTATTAATAGTTTATAATATATATTATTATTAATATATAGAATATATATAAAATTTATATAGATAAATAAAGAATATATATCAACAACAGTTATTAATACCATTTGGAGTTTCCATAGGCTTTAATTGAACAGCTTCTTCATAATTGTTGATACTTTTTATATCTTTCTCCTTTTTTTTATATTATCCACCAATTTTAATTCCTGGCTATGAAATCAAAAGTATATTTACATCTTATCCAAGAACTATAGTACCATCATCAATTTAATTTAAAATTCTTTATGTAGATTAATAAAATGCAGATTGTACATTAATTCCTTATTTTGCTGATGTTTCTAGAAATATCAATTATTGCTATTATGCAAATTGCCATCCTTCTTCATATGTTACTGCTCGTCTCTAAATAAAATAAGAAAATATTACTCAGATTCTAAATCAACTTTATTCCCACATAATGTAATCACCATATTTGCATTTCCATTATTTTTTATTTCTTCCATCCATCTCTATAAATTGTGGAATGAATCTCTTTTTGTTATATCATAAACAAGTAAAGCTCCTTCATCATAATAATAAAACTATACCAATTGCTGATCTATAATAGCTTCTTATAATCGATCTAAAATTTTCTTATCCTGCTGTGTCCCAAATTTAAAGTTTGATATTCATGCTATTAACTTTAATTATTTTTGCTCCAAACTCAACACCTATGGTTGCATCGTGTTCTTATCTAATTTAATTTTCAATCAATTGTAAAACTATACAGGATTTCCCAACACCTATTATATATTGATTTAATTACCTGTATCTCCTATAATTATATACTTAAGCATCAGACTATAATTAGACATATTATTTTAAATAAATAAAGTATTAAATTCCTAGATTTTATTAATCAATAAAACTTTTATTAATCGCTAAGTTTTTTATAAACTTTCATAATATAATTATCATTTAACATTAAAATTCATATGATTTTAAGTTAGTTAATGTATTAATAATCTTAAAAATAATTAACAAATTCAATTACCTGTTATAATAAAATTTAGAATTGTTACAAATTTCTATAAAATAATATATAATAGCTTATAATTATTAAGTATAAATTCACAGTCTATAAATTTAGATGTATTAAATTGATGTTATGATAAAATTAATATTATTTAGATCTTCAATATAGGATCTTAATTAGGATATAATTTTAGTATAATGATAAAGATACTATGAATTATTTAGGCAAAAATAGGAGAAGCAATATAAATTAAATATTTAATTTGTGGTTGAATGTCTATTACAGTTGAAGATTTGGCAGCTAATATCGACACAGTCTTAGCCTCTTTGGGAGATGAGAAGATGTATATAATATATAAATCATTAGGGTTAACTGGGAAGTTGTAGAGTAAACAGAGACTAACCTTATGAAACATTTTGATTAGCTATTCGAAAGACTTTACACTCTTAAAGACTCATTATAAAGAGTGTTTCTTATTAATATCAAAAATTTAAGATAATATGATGCCAAAGATTTAGCATAAAAGGTAAAAGATAAAAAGCTTGAGCCTGTTGTATTGAAATCACTTACTTAATATGCATTCAAGAATGACAAAGAAGAAATTCTGTTGAATCCTTCACTTATAAAGGGATAGGTGAATAGTATTGTTTTACCATGGGTTGGTAACAACTTATCAGTAACTGACAAAATAAAGGAGACTAATGAATGGCTTGATTAAAAATTAGCAGAATTAGAAGTATTTAAACCAAAGGAATCCTAAGAATAGACTAAAACATAAGAAATTTAACCTAAAAGTGAAGGAAATGATAAATGTATGAATATAAATGTTAATATTATAGCCAATTATACATTCAAGAGTGACAAACTTAATGAGATTGCATCTTAAATACAAATAATGCATATTCCAAGCACAAATAATATGATTAGCATAAAAACCTATACTCAAATTGTAGAAGGTAGTGTAGATTTAGCAGAACCTGAATTCATTAGAATTACTTTAGAGAATAGAAAAGCTAGAAGAGAAGTATTATATTCAGATGGAGCCAAATATGTTTAATTATTGTTGGACTATGTGAATGATATTGAAAATCTATTAATGAAAGCTTAAGAAGAAATCTGCAAAAAGATCGATATATCCCAATAAACATTAGAATAAAGTGAAATGTTATTGATGGAAAGAGGATTGGGTTAACATGTATTTATGTTACAAGCTTCAGCTCGTTAAAGAATTAAGGATAAGTTGCCAAAATAAAAATAAGTTTAAATGAATGCTACCAAAGAAATCATTAGATATTAAATTAAATTATTAAATGAGAAATAAGATTTCTTAAAAAATATGATTGATAAATTACCAACTACATATGAATCTGGATAATTGGTACCTATGGTCTTGAATTTGGTTATGGGAGATATGATATTTGAAGAACATAGCTATGAAGAAGAAGATTATATTTCTAATTTAGAAAATCCATGTATTATTAATTAAAATCTTTAGAATTATTCCAAGATCCAGATATGATGGAATTATTGAAATCTATTGAAACAGGAGTTGTTAATTTATTAGGAAAAACAGCATTCGCTCAACCACCTTAAGGTATGATGGGTAACATTCCACCACAAATGTTGTAAAGATAATAACAATAATGATAAATGTAGATTTAGCATTAAATCATATAAATATATATAAATAATATTATTCTATGGCAATTAATGCATCAACTAATTTGATAGCTGTTTAAACCACAAATGCTATAAAACTATTAGATCCTAAGACTAGCTCTATATTATAAACAATAGAATCAGATATAAAAACAATATGTTTCTCCAATCAAAGTATTCTGATTTTTTCATCCAAAAATGTGTTATCTTGTTTTGATTACTAAGGACTTGAATTATGGAAATAACATATTGGAGGTGAATCTTCCATAGTATTTGCTTTTGAATACTAATCAATTTATGGCATAATTTATGCAAACAAAGATTTTAGGATATATACTTAAATTTAAGAATTGAAATCTACATTAGATTTTGTAGCTAAAGAGATCAATAAAGTTTATCATTACTAATAGTATTTACTGGTTGTGGATGACTTATAAAATAGTAAAAAATACTATAATAATTAGATGTTAATTTATTTCTTATAGATGATATTGTATTGTTGAAAACAAAACCTTTTAAAGTTTTTACAGGAAATAATTCTCCAATTAATGATTTTGTACTCAAAAATGTACTTGCTACTATTTCCAAAGATAAAGAATTGATCATATTTGATATTGCCACAACACAAATGTATAAATCATCTAAATCAATAGAATATTTTAAACATAATTAGATTCAGAACCTTTAACATTAGACATTGATCTTGATTATGTTTATGTAGGATGTGTAAATAAGAATATTTATTAAATTAAATACAATCTATAATCAATTAATTATACAATTCAACCTACAACATAAATAAATAAAAGAAAATTACTTATTGGTCATTTAAGTGAAATTAAAAGTGTTAAATTATTTTTTGAAGATGGTCATAATTTTATTACTAGTAATTCTGATGATGGTCAGATTTTCATATGGTAAATTGATGGCAATTAAACTACTCTCTCTAGAAAGATAGTTACACTTCAAGCTCAAAAACTCTATATTATTAAAAGACCTTAAGAACATCAATTACAAAGTGAAGAATAAATTCTCTTTAAATCTAAACGATTATTATAGACTAAACCATTAAAGAAAGCTAAATATACAACTAATTAATTTATGATTTGCAAAAAGAGAATCTAAAAATTTAAATTATCTTTTAATTTTACAACCTAACCACCATAGAATGTGATTGATCCTCAAATCAATTAAATCATTGAAGAAAACCAGAAATTAAAATAGATAATTCATTAATTGTTGTGAATAATTTAATAAAATTTTTATTTCAATATATTTAAGGATGAATAAAGTAAATCAAAGTCCATGTAGAACATCTCAAGAAGTTTCAGATCTTTCAAAAGCCTCTGCTAATTAAAAGTTATTAACTTAAAAAATAAATGATTTAGAAAATACTGTAAGACATCTTGAATTAACAAATTAAAAATTAACAGATTAACTTAATGATTAAAACATAGAATTGAATAAGGAAAAATAAAAATACAAAAATTAACAGAATACTTCTACTTAAATTCAAAATTAAAAGGATTCTTAAATTTAAAAATTGATTGATGAAAATTAGAAATTGGTTAAAACAATCTAAAAAATAGAAACTGATTTACGTAAACTAGATAAAATCAAAGAAGAAAATATCAATTTAAAATAATAAATTCAAGATAATTCATAAGAAATTGAAGATTTGAAATAAAAAATACCAAAAAATGAAGGCAAATGGTCATCTGATGCAGCATTAGGCATTTTAGCATCTAAAAGAAGCTAAGAAATTTTAGTCTTAAAAAATGAAAATTAAGAAATTAAATAAAAGAATTAAGAACTATTAGCTAAATTAAATACTTTATTAACAGAAAATCAATAATTACAATCTATTATTAAATCTGATAATCCATCATAAAGACTCAATTCTTAGGCTAGCTCTACAAAATAATATAATTCTTCTAGTAAAAAATAAGATTAAACTAATTACATTTAAAATGAATAATTAAATCAATTATAATAAGAATTAAAAGAAGCAAAAAACACTATTGAAAAATTGAAAAAACTAAATAATTCTAAATCTTCCAATAACAATACACCTAATAATAAACCACCATATTATAATATTAATAAAAGTAATTCAAATGATAAGATATAAAAGGCTCAATCTTTTAATAGTTCTGATAATGATAAAGATAAGAGATTAAGAGATCTAGAAGATTATGTAAGAAAACTTGAATTTGAAAAATAAAATATAGCTCAAAGTATTAGATTAGAGTGTGCTTAAGATATAAAATAATTATAAGATAAATTAAGAGAAGAATATGAAGCAAAGGCTCAATTAGAAAGAGAATAAGATAAACCATCCTTAGAAGAAGCAAAAAAGTAAAGTTAAGATAATTAGAAATTATAAATCACTCTCTAAAGATAGAATAAGGAAATCTAAAATATGGAAAAAAAATTAACAGGTATTATTTAAATGTTTAATTTATTTAATAGAGTTATTAATCTCTTAAGAGGATATACAATAGAGTCTATAAAAAGAGAAATAATTTTAAGATTATTTGAAATAAGAAAAAAATAGATTATAAGATTAATTAAAAGAAAAGTAAAAGGAAATTAATGAACACAAGGAAGATATTTTGAAATTAGCTAAGGAAAGATAATAATTGAAAGATTAATTGGATAAATTCAAATTTGAATCAAGAATAAATTAAAGTTAAACTAGTAATAAACCAGTTAGCTAAATAAGTGAGTTAAGTAAAAAATAAAAATGATTTATTAAATTTTGCACATTATATAAAATATAATTTCATATCTATTTTTCAAAGTTAAGATGTTTATTTTATGAAATTTTTAATATTTGTAAAATATTCACTCTGATTATAATTCCAATTTGAATTATGATCTCCTAAAGGAATATGGTAATTAAATTTTTATTTTGTACTTTTAGCTGCTTCAGATAAAGAAAACATTTATTGATGAGGAATAACTTCATCTCGACCAGCTTATACTTTTAATAAATTCTATACATGAAATAAATAAGATTGGGTTTAAAATATATGGTATTATATCTATAGTCTTCCATGTATTAAAAAAAATAAAAGGAGCTAAGATTTTAAACAATCTATTCATATTTGCGACAACATCTGCTACTTTAGTGAATGAGTTTTCAATAATCAAACCTTTATATTGTAAATCACCTGTCTTTTTAACATTTTCTTATCTTTTATAAAAGGCATATGAAGCAACAGCCCCTCCAAGACTTCTTCCATGTGCATAAACATTTGTTTTATCAATATTTAAATTGTTAAAAACATAATTAGTAATAGCTTCAGCATCTTTTTGAATACCATTTTAATGAGGAGTTCCAGTGCTATAATTATAACCTCTATATGCAACAATAACAAAATTGCATTTTACTTGATTATAATATTAATTAGCATATTCCAATCTCCATCCAATATCTAAATAATATTTAATAAATATACTTCCAGCATTCTCATGAAAAAATACAACTGTAGGAGATGTTTAATAATTCTATTATTTTATAAACCATCCTTTCAATATAATACCATCATGTTAAATTTCTATATCTTCGAAGGGTAAATTTCTATATTTTAATATATTAAATGTAAGATATACCTTTCTTAGGGTGATCTAAACTAATGATAATTATTTTGAGAGAATTATCCATCGATACTAGGAAGATAAAGTAGTTTCCACTAAACAAAATTGACAACTAAAAAAAGGCATCCAAAATAAAGAATTACTTTCTTAGCAACTTACTTTATTTATCCAGATTAAGGAGAAAATTGCATAACAATTTTTTTCAATCTCTCATTCATAATAGAAATAACAAAATTATATAAAAATATTAAATTTATTCTTTTGTTTATTTGTATTGTTTATATATTATATATATATGTACTTATAACATCTAATTTCATTATTATAAGGATAATAATTATATATATTAAGTTAAATTATTTAATATTATCAATTTGAGAGAATCCAATAAGTGAGATAAGAAAAGATGATAAATTTATCTAAATTATTTTGAACAATTGTAAATTACACCAGTTATTTATTTTATAATACTAATTATGATTGTAAAAATCGTAAATTTCATTGAAATTTAGTTATTTTTAGGAATTAAATAATAGTCAGAATTTAAATTAAATTAAAACTTGGATTTATGAGTAAGGGTTAAGAGTAGATAAACTTAGCATGTAATTCTTATATTAATTTAGAAATTCGTAAAGCTATACCTGAATCATTATTTAAAAAAAGTGAATCTAGATTTTTAGTATCAGTTGCTTAAGCAATATCAACCACTGCTCTTTTGGCATATATTGGTTATAGATTTATTCCTTTAACTTGGTATGCTCTTCCAATATGGATTGTATTTGACTTTTTACTAGGTACAGTTGCTATGGGAATATGTAAATATATTAAATCTATGATAAATAGGGGTTTTAGGACATGAATGTGGTCATTCAGCATTTTCAGACAATAAATTGTGGAATGATATTTTAGGATATTTCTTACATGAAATATTGTTGGTTCCATATTTTTCTTGGTAACATTCCCATGCATTACATCATGCAAAAACAAATCATCTTACAGAAGGAGAAACTTTTTGTCCAGTAGTATTAAACTCAAAAATGGGAAAAATTTACTAAAAAACAAAAGATATCATAGGAATTGAGTCTTTTTCAATTGTTTAAATATTCAATGTAACAGTTCTTGGATGGCCTCTTTATTTACTTTTAGGTGTAACTGGAGGTCCTTCAAGAGGATTTACAAGTCATTTTATAGTTCCAAACAAATTATTTCCTTCAAGAATGTTATTGAAAGTATCACTCTCAAATATAGGTCTTTGTTTTGTGATATTTGGTTTATATAAGTGGGCATAAGCAACATCATTTGCTGAAGTAATGGCACTTTATATAGGTCCATATTTAGTAGTCAATATGTGGTTGACAATTATTACATTTTTATAACATACAGATATTAATGTTCCACATTATGATTCAACTTCTTGGAATTGGTTAAAGGGTAATAATAAATATAATATCCATTAGGTGCCTTGAGTACAATAGATAGAAATTATCCAGCTTGGATTGATTCTTTACATTTTGAGATTGGAACAACTCATGTCTTACATCATGTATTTAGTGAATTACCACATTATAATGCTAATGTATATATAAAAGATAATTCATTTTAGGAAGCTAATTTATATTTCAAAAAAGCAATTGGAGACCTTTATCATAGTGATGAGAAACCTCTATTGACTTCCCTTTATTAAAGTGCTAGTTTAGTTGGAGTTGAACATAAAGGTGATGGAGTTTGGTTCTATTCTAAAGAGTGATTCTTGATATTGATATTGTTGATTGTTGTTTAAGAAATGTTTATATAAATTATTATTAAATTAATTAATATAGATGAATAAAGTTGCTTATCTTAAAAGGACTTAGACTGCTGGGAATGCGTAATTTAATATATATATAGTAGTTTTCGATCAAGTCAAGAGAAGGATATAAAAGCATAAACATTTACTAAGATTACAAATTAATAGGAAGAGGAAGCCAGTCTAAATAAGTAACTCTAAACTTTGCATGCAAAGAGAGATGAATTAAAGGAATAAATTCAAATGAAAGAAAATGAAATAGAGAAGAAGAGAAGACAAATTTATGAATAAGAGAGAGGTAGTAGATGGGGAGAAAATAAAAATCAAAAATAAAACCAATAAAATACATAAATGGATAAAAAATTGAAAATGAGAAGACAACCTTAAAGTATTATTTAATTAATAAATAGACATTTAATTTAATCTAGCTTATTTATATTAAAAAGAGAATGAAATGCTAAATGAAACAGTTTAACTTAAAAATGATATAAATAAAATGAGAAGGGAAAAGGAAATGTTTAAAAAAATTCTTAAATAATTATAAGAAGATTGGATAGCTCATCATGAAAAAATGCTTGAAAGAAGTTAAGAATAAGAAAAAGCATTTTAAAGTTTACATTAAGAAATGAATACTATTAAATCATTAAGATGGAATGAAGCTTAAGAATAAAGAAAATTTGGTAAAGAATTTAAAAGCATTTATGATAAATTTAAAGAATCTAAATCTCCTGAACATTAATCTAAATCAAGAGAGAAAAGTAGAGGCAAAAAAGAAACTGATAATTATAAAAAAAAGAAACATAGAAGTGATAGTTATGAAAGATATAGTGGATCTGAAGAAGATGCAGATGCTGAAGATTTGAAATATGAAATATTACATATTAATGAAACAGCTGATAAGAAAAAGAAAAAAATATTAGAAAGAGAATAAAAAGCATAATAAAATTAATAAGAATAATAAGCTTTAGTTGATTTATAATCAGAAGTTTAAACTTATGATTAAACTTTAAAATAATTATATAATTAAACAAAATCAGAATAAATAGATGAAATTGTTAATATATTTGTTGAATAAGAAGAATAAAATTATGGGGCTTTTAAATATATTTATGAATAATCTGATGAATTAGAAATGCTTTAAAAATAAAATAAATTATTATTAATAGAAAAATAAGAATTAGAAAATAGAGATTAAAAAATTATGGCAGATTAAAAATATAAATAGAAATTATAATTTGAAGAAAAACTAGTAAAAATCAAAGCAAAATAAGAGAAATTATAAGAGAAATTATATGAAATATCTAAGATTCTTAAAGAGTTAATGATTAGTATTCCAATTATGTTTGAACGTATTGGCTGCAATTTAAAGGAATACAGTTAATTATTAGGACCTAAATTTGTAAATTTAAATTTCTATATAATAAGAGTTTTAAAGAAATGGATGAAGATAAACTATTAAAAGTATTGGGTGTTATTGAAATAAGAACGAATGATATTTTACAAATGTAAGATATTGCATAAAATCCTCGTCATAATTTTATGAAGAAAGATGTATAAATTATTATTAAATTAGGCTAAATAATCTAATTTTACTAAAATAGATGATGGAAATAATCAAGGAGATAATCCAAATGATGAATTATTATAAAGAATACGTAATAATCTAATCTGATTTATTTTAGTTGATAAATTTAAGGATACTGAATTATCAGAATAGCAATTTTCCAAAGCTCAACTTAGAGATATAGCAGAAAAACATATAAGAGCAGGAACTGGAAAGAAAAAAAGAAATTGATTCAAATTAATAATTTTTAATAGTAACTCATCATTAATCATGTTATTAACTAATTTTATGTCTTTTTTTCAATTTTGAATTCAATTCTGTAGCTCCAACTACTTAATATATATTCTTTTCATTTTCACAAACTTAAATCTATAAAACTCGTTCAATTTTCTATTTTTATTATAAATTATTATAATACCTTCCTGCATAAATAACATTCATCCTTATTTTTCCACATATCTAAAGCACAATGATAACATACTCCACCATGTCCACATTACATAAATAGGGCATCTGGATCATTATCAAAACATATACAACATTAATTAATAGATGACAATGAAATTGATCTAGGTTAATTTTACTAAATAATTAGAATTAAATTATACTATTTATTTATCTTACAAAATTGAAGTTCCTTTTAATTCATCTAAATTTTCATTTTCAATAATTTTAAAATTCATCATTGATGCAAGTTTAATTTTTTCATTAATTTATTCTGTGTTTTTTTCAATTTGAGATGATAATGCTCTTTAATGAGTGGGTTTTTTAGTTTATTCTAATATTTTAGAATCATATTTTTTATCTGAATTAAGATCATCAAATCCAAAATAAGTTTTCGAAATTCTTTTTACTACTTTTGGTATTTACATTTATGCTTCCGAAACTTAACTCTCTATAAAACCTTATTTATTAAATTGCTAAAGTTAAGCATCTACTTATTAAGTAGCCAAAGTATGGAGAGGATTTACAGAATCATTAAGAGATAAGAACATTTATAATGCTGATATCAATTCTGATTTAAATTTNTTTTACAAATGTAAGATATTGCATAAAATCCTCGTCATAATTTTATGAAGAAAGATGTATAAATTATTATTAAATTAGGCTAAATAATCTAATTTTACTAAAATAGATGATGGAAATAATCAAGGAGATAATCCAAATGATGAATTATTATAAAGAATACGTAATAATCTAATCTGATTTATTTTAGTTGATAAATTTAAGGATACTGAATTATCAGAATAGCAATTTTCCAAAGCTCAACTTAGAGATATAGCAGAAAAACATATAAGAGCAGGAACTGGAAAGAAAAAAAGAAATTGATTCAAATTAATAATTTTTAATAGTAACTCATCATTAATCATGTTATTAACTAATTTTATGTCTTTTTTTCAATTTTGAATTCAATTCTGTAGCTCCAACTACTTAATATATATTCTTTTCATTTTCACAAACTTAAATCTATAAAACTCGTTCAATTTTCTATTTTTATTATAAATTATTATAATACCTTCCTGCATAAATAACATTCATCCTTATTTTTCCACATATCTAAAGCACAATGATAACATACTCCACCATGTCCACATTACATAAATAGGGCATCTGGATCATTATCAAAACATATACAACATTAATTAATAGATGACAATGAAATTGATCTAGGTTAATTTTACTAAATAATTAGAATTAAATTATACTATTTATTTATCTTACAAAATTGAAGTTCCTTTTAATTCATCTAAATTTTCATTTTCAATAATTTTAAAATTCATCATTGATGCAAGTTTAATTTTTTCATTAATTTATTCTGTGTTTTTTTCAATTTGAGATGATAATGCTCTTTAATGAGTGGGTTTTTTAGTTTATTCTAATATTTTAGAATCATATTTTTTATCTGAATTAAGATCATCAAATCCAAAATAAGTTTTCGAAATTCTTTTTACTACTTTTGGTATTTACATTTATGCTTCCGAAACTTAACTCTCTATAAAACCTTATTTATTAAATTGCTAAAGTTAAGCATCTACTTATTAAGTAGCCAAAGTATGGAGAGGATTTACAGAATCATTAAGAGATAAGAACATTTATAATGCTGATATCAATTCTGATTTAAATTTTACAGTAAAATAAGTTATAATAATTTAGTTGGTAATTAAGATTATTCTATTTACTTCAATAGCTAATTAATAATTTCCATAATTATAATTTAACACTGATATTGGTATCATAAAAAACATAGAGGAACAAGATATCATGAATATTAATATCCATACATTTGTTATGACTAATTATAATTTATAATAATAAACCCAAGTATTTTTAACGACTGCTTTATTCTAAAATAACTTGAATGCATAATGCCAATACAACAAATATGTAATATATAACAATTGATGCTGAGAGACTAAATAATAGCCAAAGCATCCATAATGTGTATAACCATTAAATATCAAAATATCCCTCTATTTTTAAACTGAAAAATATAGATATTAGCAAAATACAAATATTTCTAAATACATAAAACAAATTGATTTATTGTACTGATTCTTTAAAATACTAATTTCCCTCATTAATCTTAACTATTAATGAAATAAAGATATTTATAACAGGGAATATGTTTGAAAATAACAATAACTCATTTGTTCTAGTGATTATATACATATTTATTGTTAATACATAGCATCCTTCAAAAAATAGTGAAAATAATCTCATTATGGCTTGATTGTATTTTCTTTAAAAAATAATTATAAATAATGTGCTCTTACATATTAATATTAGCAAATGCTCTATAAAAGTATATTTAATGGAGAATTTATAAGAATAATTTTGAATATATGCAATAGATCACATATAACATATTTCCATCGAATGCAAGTTCAAAACTTAAAATTAATACAGCAATTGCATAGATAGAATTTGAAAGCAATGCTTAACTCAATAACTCAAAGGCTTATTCATATCTAAATCTTTGATATATATAATGAATATTACATAGTTCCTATTGGTTGTATGTTTTCTAATGTTTACTAATTTTAAGAATTATTTAAATCTCTTCTCATATATATAAAAAAGATAGAAGAGAGTTTAATTAATAAATAATTTAATGAAAAAATTAATACCTATGAAGAATGGAAAATTATATTTACTATAATAATTTAATTTTCTTTATAAATTGATTAATATAATAACTTCAATTCAAAAGCATCATTAGTTAATTTGTTACTAAAAATATAATTCCTAGAATTTTTAATGAAAGTAATAATTCATTTTTATTTTTATTATCTATTAATTTTCAATAGCTGAATTATTTTACTTTTTAAAAGATTTAAATGAATTAGATTTGAAGTACTTATAAAATTAGTTTACATTAAAAAATTTAGATTTATTAATAATAATATTACATATCATAATAAAATCAACTTAAATTATAAGAGATAGCTTATTATTGTAAAGATTTCAAAACTAAATTTTCATAATCTTCTAAAGTAACTTTTCCATCTCCATCAGAATCAGTCATTTGTATCCAACTTCTCACATCATCAGGTGTTGGTTCATATTTCATGCCTAAATTTGAATACATATATACCCATTTATCTATATGTTTCTCTAATAATTTCATAAACTTCATCCTCTGTTATATAACCTGATCCATCAGCATCAAGTTTCTTAAATAATGTTCTAGCTACTTCTAAACGTTCTTCAATATAATTTGGTTATCTTATCTAAATATGAAAATCTTACTTATTCATTTATTATTATTGCTTGAAATGATATGGAGTACCACAAAACTTTTTTAAACAATATTATTCAATATCCTACAAAGTTAATCGATTTTAAGAAGTTTCTAAGTTATAAGATTATGATAATAAATTTACTGTTAATTGCTTTCATAAATCCATTAGTTTCATTAACTTTAGGTTTTGTAACAATATTTTATGATCTATATGTATCAGTAAACATAGATCCAATGTCGACAACATCAATATATCCTTTATTACTAACTATTGAAATCATTAAAGTATTTAGTACGATCATATGTTGAGAGTATCTTTCGAGCAAGCATTCTACATCCATCTGCATCTAAAATTCCACCATATGGTGTCGAAGGCATGTTATAAGGATTTGTCATACTATTTAGAGTATTCATAATTAACGAATTATTTATGTTATTTTATTAATAATTTAAATATATGTAGTTCTTCTTTAGCCTTTTATATATTAATATAGATATAATATTTTCACAAATCTTCTATGTTATTTATTACACCATTTGAAGTTTAATGTATGCCATTACGAAAATCAAAAAAAAATGCCAACTACAATTAATATTCTTTTTAAAATAATTTTCGAGTTTTAAATTAAATTAGACAATCTTTTTGATTATTTTTATTCAATTGTCACTTCTTCTCCATTGAAAAATTCAGTTTTATTTTGTTTTTAATTCAACTAAAACAATTTTAATAAAGGAAATAGACTATCAATTCATTTGTATTTATTTTAAGATGAACTCTTTTTAAAATCTGAAGTTATCTTTCGAACCTAATTATGATATTTAAAAGGATCTTTTCTATTATCACTTCTGTATGAATTTAATACAAATTTCATTTATCTTCCAGGTTCAGAATAAAATGGTTAAGATTTATATGATAAAATAGAATCCAACAGGTAATTCATTATCTTCCTTTGTTAATTACTATTTTGGAAATTGAATTGAAAATTATTTAAGGTTTTGTAGAACTTTTCATTAATGAGTAATAAAAATAAATAATATTATACTATAATTAGAATAAATATATAATATTGATAAATAATTACATTCTTAAGACTAAATTAGGTTCTTATTGTGAATTGCTAATATTTTTTATTCCAATTTAAGAAAGTAAATTAATTAAAGAATAATTATGGATAATTTACAATTAACTAGTTTTAAAGAATAAACCACAATAGTTTTGATGCCGTATCATCTCAAAAATATTTAAAAATCAATATAAAATGTAATTCCAAAGATGATTTTTACATGCAGAATACATAATTCAATTCCAGTAATTATATATTTAATTTAGAGCATTGTCATTGCAGTTAAAAAAGTTAGCCTAGTATCAGAATATTTAGAAACTTTTGATGATCAACCATAAATGTTTATAGATATTGAATATACAGTAACATTATTACAATTACACTAAGGTAAATAGATTAATTATATTTTAGGTTCCTTAGTTAAAGGGAGATTAGTTCAATAATTTTAATCACATATCATTGTTTAGATCTTTAATATATTCAATGTTTTAATACCAGAAGATGAAATAAATGAAAAATCATTTACTTGGAATGAAAATTTCAATGCCTTTATGAATAGTATTAATATTCATATACTTTAGGGTAAAATGAGATATTGGAAAATCAAATAGAATTATAAATAAAAATTACAGAGGTTATTTTAAATGAAGCTGATTAAAAAGAGTTCCAAATTAAAGGTTCTTTAAAGGATAGAAAATAAACAGGGTAAATAGGATATCTTTAAAATTTGATTGGTGATTAGACTAAAATAGAAGGTATTATTGCAAAATCTCTTGATTGTATTAATTGACATCTAAATGTAAATTTGTTGATAATATTGAATTTGCTATTATATAATTAATAAATTTAATTTAATTCAATGATAGAAGCATCTGATATATATAATTCAATAAAAGCAAACATTAGAGAATAACAAACAACATTTGATTTATTAAAATAAGCTTTAGATAATAATGATGATAAACTAAGTGATTGCATTCTATTAGTTTAAGAACATCATAATCTAAATGAAGATTTCTTAATTGAATTATTATCTAAATTGGAAGAATAATTTGTTGATGCTTCTACTCTATTGAAAATATTTTAGAAAGGACTAGATAATCTTTATTGTATAATATATATAATTAAATAGAGATATTAAATTAGGAAAAGAATTGGCATCTTATGTTATTAAAAACAAATTTCAAAGGAAAAAAGGAGAACTTTTATTTGAAAAGCTTTTAGTACAATTTTGTTTTGATTTTGAAGAAGCTTAATACTTTTTTTAATCTTATCTTAATTTTGAAAATTAATTACTAGAAGGAGGAAATGAAAAAGAAAAGTATTTATTATTGAATAATTTATTTTAGAATATAAGTGAAAAATTAAATAAATCAAATCTATTAAAGATTATTTAAAATTTCTATGTAAGGTTTAGATAAATTCTGGCTTTAATATGAATAATTGGAAACAAATAAATAAAATTTAGATAAAGCATAAAAAAATTATCAAAACACAATTTAAAAGATATAATAATTAGAAAATTTAGAATTGAAATTCAAGAATGCTTGCTAGAGTTAAGAGTAATAAGAAATTATAGACTTTTTTAAACAATTAGAATCGGTTTTAGATGAAAAATTAATTGAATTCCCAAAATTCATAAATTTTTATGAAAAGTTTTTTTACTTAAAATGGTAGTCAGAAAACTTTTAATAAAGTGATTCACTTTTGACTATTCTACAAGAAAAATTTATTGAAATTTTAAGATAACAATAGAATCCTCATGTTTTATAGAAATAACTCAAGAATTTAATTAGATTTCAAGTTTAACCTTTTCAAATATATATTTTATATTTAAGAACTCTTGAATAATTAAATAAAGATGATGAAGAATTTGAGTAAGATTTTTTATTTGCATAAAATTATGTTTAAAATGAAGATTTATTTAAATTTTCTCTTGAATTTATTTATAGATATACTAGACAATACTTAAATTTGACAGATAAATTAGATGAAAGATAGACAACAATTAGAGAATTATTCAATTAATTAGCTGAAAAGAAATCATATTCTGATTAATAAAAAGCTAAAATTTATAATGAATTAGCAAAAGTAGAATGTTATTTATTTGATAATAAATTAAATTCAAGAGCAGCATTTGAAAAATGTGTATAATTGGTTTGGGATAATAATTCTTATTGGAAAGATTATTATTATTCTTAAATTAGTTTACCAATAATTAATATTTAATAAAGAGATAGATTAAGAGGTATATTAAAGAGAGCTGTTGAATTATGTTTAGAAGATAATATTACAGCATCAGAAGATTTACTTAACTTTGAAACATTATTTGGTAATGTTGAAGAAGTTTAGAAAGCAGAAGAAAGATTATAAAATGTTATAGAAACCATAGAAGATAATGATGAATTAATATAAAAAGAAGAAGAAGAATAAGAAGAATAATAAGAAGAGAAGAAAGGATAGAAAAATAATAGAAAATAAAGTAAAGAATAAAATGAAGAAGAAAAGGCCCCAAAAGTATTTACAGACAGTTCAAAGACTATTTTTATTAAGTTTTTGCCAAAAGACTTATCAGCAAATGAAGTTATTGCTTTGATTCCTAATTGTGGGGCATTGGAATGTAGAATAGTAAAAGACAAAAATTAAGTTTCAAAAGGTTTTGCTTATGTAGATTTTACAAATGATGAAGATGCTCAATAAGCAGTTAATATACTTAATAATAAAATGGTTGGTGGAGAAAAATTATATGCTGCAATATCTAAACCTCCAAAATTATATTAAGATGATAAGTTAACACTTTATATAGATAATTTACCATATAGCATTACTGAATAATAATTAGCAAAAAAGGCTGGAGAGGGAGTTAAATAAATTAGAATAGTGAAAGATTCTTAAGGAAAGCCTAGAGGATATGCATATATTGAATATAATGAAGAATAAGATAAATAAAATGGATTAGAATTTCTAAATAAAGATCCTTATATAGATGGAAGAAAATATTTTGTAAAGCTTTCAGATTCTCTTGAAAAAATTAAATAAAATCATTAGAATAATTCTATTATTATTAAAAATTTACCTTTTAAAGTTAGAGAAATTGAAAGTAAATATTTAGTATTAATTTTTAGTTAGATAAATTTTTGATGGAATGAATATAACATAAATAGAGATTCCAAAAAATGAATAAGGAAAACCTAAAGGATTTGCTTTTGTTGAATTTGAGAAATAAAAACATTTAAAATTGGCTTTAGATTTAAATGGTATTGAATTTAAAGGTAGAAGATTGGAGATTTAGAAAAAAGAGAAAAGAATGATGAAAAAAAAAGAAGAATAGATTGAAATAGAAGAAGTATAAGATTTTAAACCAAAATCTAATTCAGATTTTAAGAGTTTATTTAAGAAATGAATAATATATGTTATTGTAAAATTGAAAAAGAATAAAAAAGGTCATTAATAATAAAGTAGATCTTCATCTTCTAAGTCTCTTCCTATAATTTTGCTTCTATTAGAATCAAATTTATTACTCAAATATATCAGAATTTAAATATTATTTAGAAGGTTGTGCTTTTAATTCATGTTTTCCAAGATTAAATTACAATACACTTCTACCAACTTAGATTTCAATTCCATTCAATTCATTTATTAATGGTATCACTTTTTATTAAATTAACATCAAAGATCCAAATTTTGATCTATTATCAGTTAAATAAACATTTCCATCATTTAATTTAAGAGTTCCATGATTTCTACTTACAGAAATATCATTAATTCTAATTTCAGTTTCATTAGCTCTTCCAATTTATAATTCATTAATTTTAGCTACTTTATCATCACTATTATTATCAAATGTAACTATATAGACTCCATTACATTAAGACCAAGAAGAATCTTAATTTATTTTATCAACTCTTAAATCCTTAAAGATTTCTATAATAATAATTACTTATCGTTTTTAAATAATTTCCATTAACACATAAGGTTAATCTGTAGGTTTACTTAATTCAATCAAATCAACAATATGTTCATCACTTTTAAATATTGGAGGATAATTAAATTTACATATTTCACATTCTAAATTTTTCCACATGTAAATCATACAATGATTACTATGTTTAGTTTAAAATTTTAATTTTAACCATTTTTTTAAACAATTAAGATGAATATATTTAATGGATCCTGTACATTTACATGGATTTATTAAAGGATTCTATACACTATCTTAACTACTACAACATATTCTACATGATATAGTATCAGATTAGCTAGATCTAGATGAATCTAATTCACATCTAGATTATTAAATAAATTAATAATATACAATAACTTCCTTTTATTTAACTGAATTTCCCTAATTTTAAATTTAACTCTTCCCAATTTAATCACATCACCTTATTTTAATTTTATTCCGCTATTAATAAACATAGATTAGATAGATCTAACTACTAACCATAATCTACTTCCTTTCTCTGATAATTTAGTATTAGTTCTTTAGCTTTGATTTAATCTGTAATTATGTTAATCTATTTTTTTTATTAATTCTTAAGACTATTGAAATTCTTCACCTTCTAATTAATCCAAATTTTCAGATTATTAAAAATCTCTATTTCCTTCTCCAATATATTTTGTTGTTAATTCTTGTTTATCATCTTCTAAATGTTATTTGCATTCTCCCCTTTTATTTATTATTGTAAATATTCCATTTATTTTTTCAATTCTGAATAGTATTTGATGTTATTTGATTACACATTTATTCCAATCAACGTCATCATCAATCCATTGTACTTCGTTATTATTTTTTATTAAATAGCCTCCTTATCTTATCTTATTATTATGAATCCACATACCTCAATATTTTATTCCTTTAAATGACTCTAATTCTCATAATCAAATAAAGAGAAAGATTCTTGTTGCCATGTTTTTATTTTAATGAACAATTCTTTTACACAATCTTCATTCCTATTATTATTAAATTCATCATTTATGATTATCTCTTAAAGATTATTATTATTGTAGGACCCTAAGTCTGAATCAAAGTATTTTCTACATTAACAATTGCCCATTTATAAAATTTATTAAGCAAAAATATTAATAACTTTCATTAAAATAACAAATATATTATTTTCATATTATTCAAAAATTGAATAGATATTATTTTAGATATAGAATAATATCTAATTAATAATAAGAATACTTAAATATATATGTATATGAATTCTAATATATATTACTATTTTATTTAATTTCCTAAAAAATTAATAATATAAAGAAAGAAATAATTTATTTAATATTAATGGATTTGCATAAATTTTAGCATTTTATTTTAGAACTAGATTTCAATAAAATATTAGAATAATCAAAAATTAATTAACTAGAAGTGCCAAAAGATGAATAAATTGAGTCTGATTTTTTATGTAAAGTACCTATATCATTTGGTGATGAAAATGAATATTAAAAAATTTGGAAACCACTTTTTTATGAAGAAGTTAAAGCAAATATTGTTAAATCATTCTAAACTGAAGTATTTCATAATCATTATTTTTTAGACATATCCTGATGTAGAATATAAGTTTGAAAAACATAAAAAAGATGAATTCACCAAATTAGATTTCTAACTAATTGGATAAAAAGATCAATTAAATTTTAGAGATCTAGTCTTAATATCATGCACTCCTTATTAATAAGGTGATTAATGTTTATTGGGTCTTATAGAAAATAATTAAGATATTGTTAGAGTAAATGTTTAGAATAATTTTGAACCTATAGGAGCTCTATTTGAAAAAAATATGATAATAAATTAGTAAAATCCTAATTAAAAATCCCTCAAAAACTTTTTTATTAGAAAAGTAACTGGTTTATCAACATTAGAAAGAGAATTTAGAGCTCTTCATAAATTTGGTGATTTGATGCTTAAATCAATTCTTTTATCATTAGATACTTAACCAAAAGTGAACTCATATTTCACTATACCATATAAACTTGATTAGAAATTGCATTCTATTTATAATTCAAGTTAATATGAAGCAATATAGTAAACATTAAAAACACATGGAATCACTTTAATTTAAGGACCTCCAGGGACAGGTAAAACTAAAACTGTTCTTGGTACTCTAAGTGTGTTATTACAATCAAAATAAGAAAGACCTGATTTAAATTTAGTATAAAAAACAAGTTTAGAAGTAGAATAAGAATATAATCAAGAATTTCCTTAGCCTTGGAAATCTTCAAATTATGATGATTGGAGAGATCATATCTTTGATGATGTAGAATAAGATATATCAAATTATTTTACAAATAGACTTTCAGATTTCTAGAAAGAGAAACCAACACCAATTTACAAAAGTGATTATTCTTAAGCTAAAATTCCTAATAAGATTTTAGTATGTGGTCCTTCAAATGCTTCTGTAGATGAAATAATTAGAAAAGTTTTAGAGGAAGGACTTTTAGATGAGAATGGATAGAGATCTGATGTACCAATAGTAAGAATTGGTGAAAATTTTGATCCTACCTTATCAAAAGTTTCATTAGAATGTTTAGTTTAATAAAGAGTTTATGAATAATAAAATTAAGATACAGACAAAGTTAAAAAAGAAATTTTAAATTAAGCCAAAGTAATTTTTGGAACTCTTTCATCAAGTGGTTCTAATGTACTTGCATAATCTGAATTGAAATTTGACACAGTAATAATTGATGAAGCAGCATAAGCTGTAGAAATATCAACATTAATACCTTTATAATATGGATGCAGAAGATTAATTTTAATAGGTGATCCTAATTAATTACCTGCAACTATTTTCAGCTCTATTTGTGGAAAATATAAATATGATTAAAGTTTATTTGAAAGGTTATAAAAACAAGGAGCAAATGTTCATTTACTAAAAGTATTATATATATATATATATTATATTATAGACTTAATATCGTATGCATGCTAAAATCTCTAAATTCATATCAACAACATTTTATGGAAGTGAATTAAATGATTATGAACATTTGGAACGATTAATAGGAACTCCAAAATTTTATGATTATTATACATATAGTCCTGTTGTTATTTTACATGTTAAAGGTTATGAGAATTTTACTAGAAATTCTTATTGCAATGAAATGGAAGCCAAAGTAGTTTCAGAACTATATAAGGATATGAAAAATAAATTTCCTAATTTCAATATGAATAATTTAGGAATTGTTAGTCCTTATAGTCAGTAAGTTTGGTTAATTAATAAATAATTAAAAAAATTGAATGAAGATAATGTTGAAGTTAAAACTGTCGATGGATTTTAAGGAAGAGAAAAAGATGTTATAATTTTCTCAAGTGTTAGATCCAAGTTTATTAGTGAAAATGTAAAAAATCCAAAAAAAGGAGTAGGATTTCTGAGTGATGCAAGAAGAATGAATGTAAGTTTATCGAGATGCAGATAATCCTTAATAGTTGTATGTGATATCTTTAAAATATCATGTAATGAAAGATGGAGAAGTCTGATCAACTATAGTATTTAATTAGGTTCATGTTACAGAGTAGAAACAGAAGATATATCTGAATGGTTTTAATCATTCGATTAAGATCCTCTTAGATATTCTATTATTAATGAAATAACTTTTAAGAAAAAAGTGAAACCTGAATAGGTGAAAACATGAAAATGTATAATATATTAAAATGTATTCATATCTGTAGTAAAATTTAAATAACATTCAAAAATGGCATTTAGTTTCATAACAATTGTGGTTAGAATAATAAATTTTATGAATCTTTCTAATTTTAAATTAATTGTTATTATTTATATTTCTAAATATTTTAAATATTGAATCTAATAATATTGATATCTTTTATATTGGAAAAATGATAAAACATGAATAATAACATTAAAATTACTTATTCTTTATTAAAAATTATAGATATGGTTTATCAACATATAGGCTTATGAAGTGTGCACTGGGTAGATTTCTTTTTATGAAAAGAAAAATGAAGACAATATTAATCAAACAATCTAAAGCACAATTTTTTGTAGAGATTTATTAAATTCAATAAGTTTAAGATTTTTAAGATGAATGGTTAGATTTTGATTTATTAATAATACTAAAAAAGTGATTTTTCATTTAAATAATTATGTTTAAAAATAAATTATAATTATATTATTAATGATTGAAAAATGAACTTCATTCTATCAAGAGTGACACTCATACATGTAATGATTTGGCATTTGATTTCATTTTATTTATACATTTTTATTGGGAATTTCGTTATTAAGAGAAAGAAGGTGACGGTCCCTTTTTATTTTAAGATGAAATTTTACAATCTTTCTATTTTTGTTTTAAATTTATAGTTAAATTATATGTTCCTAATGGTTATGACTTTTAAAACTTAGAATTTGAATAAGTTTACTAATAATTTTTTTATTTGTTTAATCCATTTTCTAATATCTCTAAGTCTTTGTTAATTTTACTGGATGTATTAGATTTATATTCTTATATGGTTGAAATGGATAGAGATTTATCTAAATTTGATTTGCTTTCATTATTTTATGTTATTATTCTTTTGCTAGATTCATTATTATTATTTTTTAATAGTCCATAATATTGTTGATTTTCAAGGTTTACTTGCTTCTCTAAAGATTCTAATTTAATGTATTTATTTTAATCTTTGATACCTTTCTAAAATAACTATTGCAAATTTTTAATTAATGCCTTTTTATTTTGTTTAGGTGATTATAATTTCTCCTTACTAATCCCTGTAAATATTAATTAATTCTAATCTTCTTCAGATACATATATTTTTAAACAAAGTTTATCTGATTCCAATTTTTCAATCATTCTCAAATTTCTCTTTACAGGAGGTTCCATTTTTGGAACTTGAGATTAAGGTTATGGAATGTCAATTATGCTATTCTTTTATTATTAAATTTTAAAGTTTCCAGTTGAAAACATCCTATCGAAATTTGGACTTTCACTTAATTTTCTATCTGTAATCAATCCAATTTCTAATCTTTTTTTATCTCCTTTACAACTTGATCTTAAAGATGAATTAGGAAGTCCAGGAGAATTAATTCTTCTATATGAAAGTGATTCTTTATTTCTGGTTTGATTTCTATGTAATTGACAAACTTGATCCATTTTTTACGAAATAAATTCGTTAATAATTAATGGATTAAGATGGATTTAATTTCTAAACCCTAGAATCTATATTAAATAGAATTGGGGCTTCAAATTGTAATATTATTGCATTAAAATTAGATTAACAACTAGCTCTTTTTGATAAAAAGCTTTTTCTAGACACATAAACATCAGATATCTTATATTAAGAGAAAGATTATTTATATCATCTTGTTACAAAGAAAAAGAATCTAGAAATCAATTAAATCTAGAATCCTGTATAACCTATTTAATTAGAATTCACCAAGTTTAAACAATTAAATGAATACTTAAAACCAACTGCTTGGAGTCTAGAAATAATTGGACCTTCATTAAGTTTTAAATCTCAAATATTAAGAGACATGGCTGAAACTATGTCTCAAAATAACATTCAAATTCTCTATATCAGTATTCATGAGGAATATTCAAACTCAAAATTTAAAGTTATCAAAATGAAATAACCAAAAGAATTATTTATTTTACTTTCTATTCTAGTAGAAAGTCAAGAATAACGTATTAATTCATTTATAATTAATAGATTATAACTTATTAATAATAGATGGATTAAGTTCTCTATTATATCAAACAGCATAAATGAATGTTATTGAAAATTAATTATAAGAACTTCAATAACTTTTAGCTTTATTAAAAGAAAAAAAAGGTGTTCAAGTAGTAATCTCATCAATTGCAAAAATGAGAGAAAATTACACTAGTTATAATTAAACTTAAGATTGTAATATAATAGTTTAAATAAGTAGAATTTATAAGTTAAGATAAAATCTTTTAAAAAACTATATTAAATAACCCTTGGTAATGTATATGGTAATCCTAATTGAGTATATAAAGACTAGTAGAAACTAAATAGGATTATAATGAAAATTTGAATAAAAACACTTTAAAATTATAATATTTTTGTTTTTATGATGGAATTATAAAACCTGAGATTGGTATTTAGATATGATTATTTTAATCTTATATTTTTCAATTACAATTTCTTAAATGAGAAATAATAAATTTTAAGTTTATAATTATCATTATTTAATTAATTATCAATAATTTCAGTATAAAGAAAACTTTAACTATTAGATGTAGGAAAGAATCTACAAATTAAATTATACGAAAATCAACAAACAAATATTTTTATCTTATAATCATTTTTTACATTTAATAAATCTATGTTTAACTTTCATCGAATCTATAAGTTTTACAAGATCTCGATTATTCATTTTATAATAATCCTTGTTAGTTTGTTTATTTGAGTCTTTATGAAAATGACTTTATTATATTAAACTAGATTAAAAATGGCAGTGAGTATGAGGTGAAAATGAAGTTTAAGTTATCGATTTTGCATTTGTTGATTGAAATGACTTACGATTTACAATACTCAAAGGTTTAAGATAGACTTCTAATTTAGGATTTGTATCTTTTAACATTTTTGTCATATATTAAGATATATGACTTTTTCTTGACTCTCTTCCATGACTTAAAATTTAATGACCAAAAGAATCATGATTATCAGGTGCAGTTTTTAACCTTTAAGCATTTAATGATTATTTTACCTTTGTGATTGATGTGATTAAGGTAACAGAAGGACAGGTTATGGTTATAAATGAGCTGGAACAACTGATTATGGTTTTCTTAAAGTTGTCAAATTTCGAACAGCCCTTAGAAGATGCATTCTCTTCCTGAATTTTTTAATTGCTTCCATTTTATAGGTTAGGATGAAGATTATTGCATTAATTACAGCTTTGAATCTCTTTAATATTCTTTTTCGTTTCTGCCATCTTCAATTTTATATATTAATACCTTGATTCATTGAAAGGATATTGTTTTTTTATCATTTCGAAATATTTAGTGCCTTTCCCACATTCAGAACAATTACAGCTTTGATTCAATATTTGATATTCTTTTTCTAACATTTCTCTATTCTAATACAATAGAGTTCTTTTCTTTTGAATCCTTTCAGCTTATGTATTAACTTTTATAGTTCTAACATGTTTAAGTTCATAAAAGTCAAGTGGAGACAGTGAAGCTTCTTCTGACATTTATTTAATAAATTAAATCTTAAAATATAAGACTGCAAGTCTCATTAAAAATATAAGAAATAATTAGAAATTTACTCTTTATTTTTAATATAAAATATTCTTTCGATTATCTATCAATCATGAACTCTTTATTTATATAATTAATATATATATATATATATATAATGAATGGATTTGTTCATAAATTCTAAAATCATTTAATTAAAAATTAACAAACAAAACAATGGATTCCACTAAAGAAAGAGTTGAAGGAACTAGAGCAACTGTTATTGAAATTATTGGAAGAACAGGTAATAAAATTTATAATAAATTGTATAGGATCTAGAGGTGGTATTACATAAGTTAAAGTTTAATTGGTTGGATAATAAAGAACATTAATTAGAAATGTTATGGGTCCAGTAAGAAAGGGAGACACCTTAGAGCTTATGGAATGTGAAAGAGAAGCTAGAAGATTAAGATGATTGGATGAATTATGTACATTAAAAATTGCAAATTTAATTGTTATTGCTAGCTATGCTTATTCATCATAATTAAAAGTTTTATCACTTATATATATTCAAATAACAGTTTAAATACACTATTAGAAACATGAGATATCAATTTTATATTTTGATATTCTGATTCTAAATTTGATGTTCTCATCTCTATTTCCATCAGATAACAATCATATTCATCTTATTTTTCTAAACAATAGATTACTTAAAATATTAAAATAAGAAAATTTATGTATTAAAACCTGAATTAATTGAAAACCTAAAAAACCATTATATAATTAAATCATATAAAAAGTCTAGTTCAAAATGAATACAATTAATCCTTCTTAAGATCAACTCTGATTTAAATGGATTGTTGAATTATAATTATAATTTATAATAATATTATAATATCATTACCTTCTCTCATTTATATTATAAAGATATACAATTAATATAAAAATCCCACTTTTTTCCAATTAATAATTAAATATGTACTTTGATTAATATCTCCACTCTTTAAATTATAATATATTGATAGAAATATGAATAAAATGAAAAGATAAATTTATATATATGAATGTTATTCTAACTATTATAATAAAATTGAAAGTTGAATACTTTAATATTCTGTGAACACTTAATTAATTCATTGTAATTATTAAATAAAATTATTATCTTTAAATTTTGATGTTAAAATCAAAGGCTTTTGTTAAAAGAATACTCATTTACATAAGGCTTTTAATTTTATTTTAAGTTATTTATAATTTTAAGTTTAGATACTTTAGTATTGAAAACAAACAGTAGAAGCTAATTATATTATGAATATTTGGTAACTTTATCTCTTAAGAATGTCTTTAAATTGATTGAAAGATAAATCTAAATATGAGTATGATACTTAAAGATTATAAAGCTATTTTAAAGATACAATAATCAGATAAATAAATTATGCATATAATTTAATTAAATTAATTAATGTTTATCATAGGTGTAATGTTACTGTATTGCTGTTATTAGCTTGAATTAGAATATGTAAATGATGATCAAGCAGTATGTCTAGATGGATCACTAGGTGTAAGGCTTTTATTATATATTTAAGTCGTATTATTTTCAGAAAGGATACAAGGAAGGCAAAAATAAGTTTTTGATTCATTTTGAAGGAGGAGAGTATTAACATATTTATTTAATATAGTCTAATATTAGGTAGCAGTGAAGAAGAATATTTTAGAAATGCGATTCTTAAGTAAATTTTTACTCTTATAAAGATAGGGGACATTATATGGAAGTTCGTTGAATAGAGCTTTGTCATAAGATTTCGATGGTTTATTATCCTAAAATTAAAGTTAAAATATCAACTTTTATAATTGGAACATCATATATATAAATTCCTGCGATGGGACTGGTTAAGAAAGTTTGTTGATTATTTCTAGGTCATTAAGGCTATAGATAAGATGCTATTGATTATGAATAAAAGAATATCTATTTTCGTGGTGAATTAATTATCAGAAGTATTATTGCAGAGTACAGTACACAATTATAAAATTCTGAAGTAATAATTTTATCAGGATGTTCAATTGGTGCAGTAGCTGCTTTATAATGGTCATAATATATTAGTTAAATAATACCAAATAGTGTTTCTTTACTTTGTATTGCAGATTCTGGAATACTTATTGATATGTAATCCATAGATGGTAGTGAATTGCTAAAATAATCATTAAAAATAATGAACTATGTTGTTAATATTGAATCAGATGTTCCTATTAATAGTTGTGCTAGAAATTATCCAAATTAAAGTTGGAAATGTTTTTATTTTTAAAATTTGTTAAACTATATTACTAAACCTGTCTTTATAATTTAATCTTTGTATGATTTTGGTTTCCTTTAAGATTATTTAAAAATAGAATGCATTAAAGATATGACCTTAAATTACTGTTCAACAATTGAAAAAGACTATATTAACTATGCTTATACATAATTTTAATCAACAATTAAAAGTAAAACATCATCTAATAAAAAAATGGGATCATTTGCTCCAAGTTGTATCTCTAATTGGTATTCTTAGATTTTTATTAAAATTTGTTTATAGCCTTTTTCTGAATTCTGCCTCGTTTTCTATTAATTGGTCAATACCTGAGAAATCAGGGAAAACTATATCCTAAACATTAAGCAAATGGATAGAAGTTTAGCAAAGAAATTAAGGAGATGAGGATTAATTAGTACTAATTGATGATGTTTATTGGCCAAATAATTAACCTTGTGCTAAATTAGCATCTTAATCAATTTTTAATAGATATGGAAATATATTATACTTTTTCTTTATAATACTAAATTTTTGATGCATATATAAAAAAACAATATTATATAGGATTTAAAAATTAAACAATGATTTGATGGGGGTTCGTGTTCATGTTAACAAACTCTTTAATTTATTATTTTATTGAATTAATTCAGATAAATCTCAATTTTCTAATAATTGGTTCTCAATACTTATATTATTTAATTAATGTCTCACTCATCCAGTAGAATCGTTGTTTCAATGCTCACTTTGAATTCACTATTACAAATATATGAAAATCAACCCTTTGAATTTAATGATTCTAACTTGATGATGTAACATCCTTAACTAACCTCAATAATTCCCACTAATCAAGTATTTATATCTGATATCAATCTAGATGATAAATTTGACAGTTGGAATATTAATATTATTCTTAATAGATTGGAAGAATAAACTTAATATAATTACTTCATTATTCTTTGGATTATCAGTTATAATGTAAAATTTCAAGTAAATTAATAATTAATGTAGCTTTCTACTACCAAAAACATTGAATATAATACAAATTTATTTGTAGTTACTAATTATCATAAAGTATATTTACTTTTAAACAAAAAAAATCTATTTTAGTATTAAATCTCTTGAAAATAATAATAAACCAGCAATTACTATTTCTAATAAATTATCTACTAAGAAAAAAATTACTAAAATCCCTAAAAAAGTTGAAAAATTAAAATTAAAATAAGAAAATAATATAACTAATGAAATCTAAGCTAAAATTGTTTAATAAGAAATGAATATTGAACAAACTTAAATAAGAGATGTATAAATATAAGAATAATCAAATTAATTGATTCAAGAATAACATATTAGTGAAGCAGAATTAGAAACAGAGAATTAATGTGAAATTAATCATTCGGATCTTTCATAAATATCTTCAATAAAAGAAGAACAAAGTATTATTCTTTAAAATAATTAGAACTACAAATATAATTGAAATTTAATGGTAAAAATGAATAATTTTGTTGTACTTTTGATACCTTTGAAACAATATCTCAAATTCTTTCTAGTTCATTTACAGATAAATAGATAATATAAATAAAGATTCATATACTACTTAATTTTTATGATGAAAATCAAGATGGTAGTTGTAGATTATGGTGTATTAAGAAATTATTAGCTTTTTAATTTTGAATATAGATTTATTTAAATTCTTATGCATTTTATTAGAAAAAAAGAACTTAATTTTATTAATTTTTAATTATAATCTAAACAATCTAATTTCATATAATTTTTTTTCTTTTAAGAAGGATTTATACCAATTAATATTTTAATTACTCTATATGTAAATCAAAATTTATTTTTCATATTATCTTTCAAGATCTATATGATAATATGGTATTTATAAATCAAAATTAAAATTAAATAATTTAATTATCAGGATGACAACTACTTTAATCTGAATATTGATATTAATTAGTATTGGAAGAAGATCTATCTTTAACCCTTCTTGATTTTGATTCAAATGACTTTGATAATGTTTATTTTGAAATATTAGCATTTGAATACCTTCCTAAATTTGAATAATAAATAATAAATACTAGCATTTTAAGAAATATTTCTACTATATCTTTCATATTCAAAACTATGCCTTAGTTATTACTATTTATTATATGAAGTCTTAGCTGATTATATTCTATCATAAAGTTTCTTTAATGATTATAAATATTTACAATATTTTCGAAATCTATAGATAAATTTTGACTTCTTTTTGTTGATAATCTGCTAGAATTTAATTTAAATTTCTATTTCATTTTTGATTTATTTAATTCTCCTTATTTTAAATCAATATTCACAATCTTGCTAATTAGTATAGAATTGCATTTATTTATATCTTTTTACCTCTAAATCATAAATAAATAATAATAAAGCATACTCATATTTATTTTAATGTCTAGAACAAACTGATAAAAAATAAGGTTTAAAAGGACTATTAGTTTTTACTATAGATTTTGCATTTCTAACACTATATAAATGCTAATCATAAGACTATATATTTATTAATATTTAATACCTTTATTTAAGATTTAACTTAACATATTTTACTAACAGGTGTGAAGTTCCACATTTTATATAATTTTAATATTGAAAAATTAAAATAAAACTTTCAAAAAAAATATTAATTAATAAATTTAGTATAATTATTTTTGATATTAAATATATAATAGAACAAAATGAATAAGTTTCAATCATATTACATTTTATAATAATAGATCTTTAATATCATATAAGGAATCAAAGTGTTAATTCTATTGTTCTAAACTTTTTTTTATCATTAAAAGAGTTTCATTTATTAATAATCTTTCTTTCTATTCTCCTAATTTCTATTCTTCTTATGTTTATTGAGTATCTTAATGATTATTTTATGTTATTTATTCATCATTCAATTTAATTTAATCATTGATATGAGTTAAAATTTATGTTTATTAAATAGGCAATTCAAATTTAGTTTAATTTTCAATTTTACTGTTTATTCCACCATTTAATTCTTAATGTTTTTAATCATTCAAAATATCATCAATAGTAAATTTATCATTTTATTAATGTTAATCATTAGGAATATCTACAGTTTATTATTTTGTTTGTATTGTTAATTATCCTTAAGTTTCAGGAAATTAAATGGAATCTAAAACCTTTTTAGGTAATTCTACTTTGACTCCTCTTTTTTCAAGTTAACCACTTAATTTGGCTATTATGAAATGAAATCTATTTTCAATTGACTCCTCTTTAATACTTAAATCAGAAGCAATATCATTAAATTTAGCAGAATTCAAGAAATTAGAAATAATTCGAGTATCTCTTTCAATATCCCAAAATATAGTAGGTGCTTATTATTATATATATGCTATTTCAGACCATCTTTTTTAAAGTGATGGTCTATCTCTATGTGGAAATCTTTACTAAATCTTAATCCAGTTTCCTTTATGTTTGCGATATGTAAAAATTAAAAGAGAATCTTCTTTTGGTGTCCATGTTAGATCTACCTCTTCTTCTTCATCTTCAAACTCTTCTGGTTCTCTAATCATAGTATACCTTCTCGAACATTCAATATGATCTTTGGTTTTTATTTTATCTGATATGAGTTTCCAATCTTCTGTTTTAAAGCGTTCAACCAATTATAACAAAAGAACATCTTCACCAATAGTCCAATAAGAATTAATCTTCTTTTTTTCAATTCTATGATCAAAATCTTTTCCATTCATTAATGGATATTTAGGATTGAATTTGTCTTATATATTCTAATATTATTTTCCATATTTATCATCTAACATAGAACCATTCTATTTATAAGGATTAAAATTATCTATTCCTTCTTTTCTTTATTTATTATTAAATGATTAGATGAAATTATTGACTTCATAATCATCTGAATCTGAATCACTCATCATTTCTCTTTTATAAATTATGGTTCAATTTATCAAAAAATCATAGTTAATAATAGACAAATATTATCTGGATTTCTAAATATTATATAAAATTTAATAAAAATTTACAAATCATTTAATTCATCATTAATTCAAATACTTTGATATTCTGTTTAATAATTCATATCCAAGAATAAAATTACCAGAATTCCACATAAAACTCAAAAAAGGTAATGCTAAATACCATGGTTTATCATCAACTATAGTTAAGATTTTAAAAGGAATATCTTTCCATAATTGTCTTGATAAGTTTAAATTCAAATATATTTCTTCTTTCTGTCCTTTCAACATTATTGATTTAGGTGTCAATAATCTAAAATTTATTATAATTACAACATACCTTGATACTATTGTTAAAATTGTACCCATCCCTATACTTATTTACCATGCTGATATAGGAATTCCTTTTTAATTTCTTAAAAAGTATAAACAAAGTGGTAAATAAAATATATGATGAAAAGAGGTTAACAATCTTAATTTTGTAGTTGACGGCCATGTCAAATATCTATATTTATTAATTATTCAAATACTTTGCAACTCCAATTGGCCATATTCTAAATAATGCAAATGCCAATAAATCTACATACCATAAAACTTAATCAATCGATACTAATATCATACTGGCAGCCAATATTAAAGGTTTATTTCTAATTATAAATCAATAATACTTCCAAAATGCATATGCAGAACTAATTAAACTCAAATTACAAGCCCACATTAATTCATAAAATATTGTAAATTTTGCTTAACCAAATCTAGCTATTACAATAAGCAAAACATAAAATAAGAATCCTAATGCAATTAAATTTCTTGATGTTTATGATTCTTAAAACTAATTTAAAAATTAAATTACATCTTCAATTTGTTCTTTTTAATTATTTTCCAATTTTATGCTTCCATACATATAACTTAATGAGCTTATCACAAAGCAAAATAATGGATGTAAAAGCTATCCATATTTTGGATCCTTGTAATTGGAATGTGAAAATATAAATTTACCAATGAATCTCAATGTTGAAATTGCAGCCATATATTTAATTAATATATGAATAATATATTAATAAAATCCTCATTCTTTAACATAATTATATTTTTATACTATTAATCACAACTTAATTCATTCAATAAACATCCTCAAATGTCTAATAAATACTTTAAATTTCTATATTTACATTTGGTATTTCATTCATTTTTAAATCTAATATACTAACATTGTGTAAATAACGTCATTGTTATATTATATTAAATAAATGTACTTATTCTTCATTATTTCTTATTTAAAAAAGAAAAAGAAAGGATGAATTAATGCTTAGCTATCTAAAATGAAATTTATAATAAAGTTGACTTAATTTAGATGATGAGTTTGAAAATTTATTTTATTAACTCACTTTCATTACTTAAAATTTGATAATGACAAAATAATGTTTTAATACTAAAATTCCTTTATTGCTACACTCAGTATTCAAATTATAATCAAGTATATTATGTTTTTAAATACAAAAAACATATTTTCATAAGTTAGATAATTGAAATCATTAAAAATTTCTAATAATGATTCAATCCATAGATAAAATTAACATTACTTATTTTAATTTGTTTAATAGTGAAGTATTATATGATAATTTATATTAGTAGATAACTGATTACATAATTTTACTATTAATAACCTAATTTAATATTCAAGGTAAATACTTTAAATTAAATAAAAGATACTTTCATTAAAATGATTTTGCTTCAGATTTCTCTTAAGTTGAACAATTAAGAAAAGAGTTTGGTCTAAAATTAACATTACTCTTTTAACTTAACTTTTATTAACCTATTTTAAAAATAATTAGAACTATATTAACTAGAAGTAGTATTTTAATATTTTTATAGTTAGCAATCTTGTAGAAATATATGATATTTTCGTGTCTTTTTGTAAATTTTGTAAGCAGAGATTGTGTTCATTGATTTTTGAATTAATATTAAATAAATATAATGGACCACGCCCAATCTTTTGAACAAGATAATAAACCTACTGCCAATGAAGGACATTTGAATATATGTGATAACAATGAACTTTAAAAAAATGGTAGTCAAACAAGAAGAGCTTGGTCACTCAAAGAAGACAATTAACTCAAATAGGCTATAAAAATACACAGCACCAATTGGTTATTAGTAGCTTAGTAATTACAAAATCGAAATCCTTCTTAATGTGCTTAGAGATGGAAAAGAATCAAGCCATATAATGTATATATGTTATGTATATTATTAAGTATAATATTCGCAAACCATGGACCAATAAGGAAGACTAGCTACTATTGAAATTAGTACAAGTACATAAGAAAAATTGGGTTTAAATAGCCAAATGTATACCTAATCGTACTAGTAAGCAAGTTAGGGAAAGATTTGTAAATAAATTAAATCCAGAGATAAATTAAGAACCTTTTACAAAAGAAGAAGATATGATTATAGTAGAAGGCTATAAAAGCTTTGGATCAAAATGGTGCAAGATATCTAAATTATTATAAGGAAGGCCTGTATAAATTATAAATAGTTATTTTTAGGAAAACATAATAAAAAACAGATATTATTCATATATTCGAAAGCGTTATTTTAATATTGAGAATCCATATTATGTGATTCCATAGCCAAACAATGAATTATAAAAGTTTAACCAAGAGGAATATATAAATAATAAGTAAAAGTCAATAGTAAAAAGGAAAATAGAGAAATCAAAAATTCGAAAAAGATTTACAGTATTATTATTTTAATTTATAATAAGAAATTGGTAAATATTGAATAGGATGAATAAAAAATAACAAATAATAATAAAGTTAATGAATAATAATTGGATATAGAAAAAGTGAGGTTATAAGTGACTACAATTGAAGAAAATAAACAAATAAATAATAAACTAAATTTTAGTATATATAAATTCATTAATATAGTTTAATTACAAGAATAAGATGACTTAGGGGTCTTACAGAATGAATAAATAATAAAAGAAGAACTCTCGAATAACTAAAGTTAAGTTAAATAAGAAGCAGATTAAGATTAAGTTGGAAAATTGGATCAATTATAAGAGAGTTTGAATCTTTCTCAAAGCTGCTATGCTCCTTTTCCATTAATTTATAATACAGTCTAACCGTATAAAATGATGTATTTTTTAACACCATAAATACCTATGCCATTTATTCCTTAGTATTACATAAATGGACCATTTGTCTAATATGGAGTGTAAAGCTAAGAAACTTTGCTTTCTAAATCATAAGAGATACAATAAAAAAGTCAATAATTATGATGATATCAACTTTTTTAAATAAATAGTAGTAATATTTAATAATTCAATAATTGTTCGTTCCCATCCTAATCATTCTTTATAAGGACTGTTATAAATTAATAAGTTCTTAAAAATATCCAGAAGAAACCTTCTTTATCTCTTATGAGGATAATGAAGAAAAATGTGAAGTCATTTTAACAATATCTGTTAATGGAATCTTTTCAATATTTGTAAACTAAGGAGATAAATGACGTGATTAATTTTATCTTGGAGTGATATTGTAAATATCTGAGAATTATTTAAGATCCCTAAAATTGCTTTTGTTTTTCACTGTAAGTGTAGGAGTATAATGTTAATCAAATAGTCCTTATTTTGCTTCATTAATATATTTATAAAATCCTGGTTATTCTCCAAGAACTTTATTGGTAATTGCTTTATTTTAAAGTTTCAATTGAACATCTAATTTAGTATCCCAACTCTTAAATCTCTCTAATTTTTATTATGATTTTAATGGAGATTCTTTATATCCAGATCCTAAATTATTCACTCTTGATGGTTTAAAAAAGGAGTTATCAAATAATGAATCAATTTTATACTATTTCTAAGGGGCTTTTTCAGCTTAGTATAATTTACTTAAAGCAACTGCTTTTGATTAAGGTTCAAATCGTTTTGGACTACTAATTAATATAAATATATGTTACAATATTTCATCAAAATTTAATCCACCAGGAATTTTGTTATTTGGTGTTCTTCTTTGACTTAATGGTTCACTAAATATTAAGATTTATTACAGTGTTGGTCTATCAGGTTTTCCCCAACTTCCTAAATAAAGATTAGGTTTTTCTTGAGGTTCAATGAATGGTTCACGATGTAAAATATCATTTCTAACCTCCTTTCTGAATTCTGCTAATTGACGTTTATTCATTTATGTAGTGACTTAAAATGTACTAAAACCAATATTATCATTTGATTTTTGATATCTTGATTAATTGACCTAATATATAATCATAATAGAGATACTGGAGAAAATTTTGATTGGTTAAGCATATGATATTTGAATAGTTAACAAATTAAATTAATATTAAAAATGATTGTTAAAAATATATAAATTTTTATTTTTCAATATAATTATGTAAATTCAAATACATGAATGATCATCAACCCATCTACTGTCTATATTCTTGTCATCTTTGCATTTTATAATTCTGAATTATTTTTTAATTTTAATAAGACATCTTGTATACTCACATTTGATATTTAAACATCATCATTCAAAATTTTACTATCATCCCCTAATATTTTATAAATCCAATTTATTAATAATTCTATTGTCCATTCATCATATTAATAAAATAATCTTCGAAACATTTACACCAATAAAATTAGAGATTACATTTCAATTGAATCCTTTTCATTAAATATTGATTTACAAATTGTAAGCCAAGCTGCATATGAAATTTCATCTTCTAAATACTTATAGCAACATTCCATAATTAAATTACCAATTACATATTCTTTATTTTTATATGTTATTTTAGTTGATATTTAGGTTATTCTTTATATTCTGAAATAGATTTCATACAAAAATCTCATTGAAAATTCAAACACAGGTCTTCCATAAAGTGCATATTCTTCAGTTTTAAAATTTGGATAAAACTTTAATTTAGTTTTTGTTTCTTCTCCTGGATCATCAGGTGTTGGAAATGGCTTATATTATTCTGGCTAATCCAATAGGATTTATTTTTCTTAAGAAGTTAATATATTTATAATTTCTTCATTTAAAAGTTCAGTATTGAATAAAAGATCTGCTTCAGGAATATCAATATTAAAAAGAGCATTTATTAAATCAATAAATATTTTTGCAATTAATTTATTTTTGGATACTTCTTCCAATTATTTTATAGATTTCAAAATAAAATGAGAAGTTATCTTTAAAGCATTTGCATCTTGAAAACTATAAAAATAAAGAGGAGCTTAAAGTTATTAAAATTTCTTTTTAAAGATATTAAATGTTTCTTGATATTAAAGGAGCCATTAAGGCTATTTATCATATGGATATATTTAGAAGGATGGATTCTCATTTTATAACATTTAATCATATTTTAAATTACTTTAGCTTTGAATATATCTAGGAGTCAAACATTTAGTGTATTCTTTTAATTTTAAAATGTATTATTAATCTATAGATAAATAGAAACATCTTTTTTCTTCTTCTAATTAAGCTTCTATCTATTTTTTCTTTTATCTTAATAATTCTAATTATTTTTTAATTGATTATTCAAAGTCTAAATTTTAATCTCTTGTTAATTTTCTATAAGCAAGGTAAGAATCAAACTTTTGTGTTTTATATAATTTCAATACTCTTTACAATTATTAAATTTCACTATCAATAAAATATCTCTTATCTTCGAAATCAAATAAATCACCATGAAATTCTGTTTTACATTTAATTTGATCATCATCACCTCTACGTTACTTAGAATAGGGAATAGATTTATAATATCTATTTAAAACATCTTAAAATTCATTCTTAAATTTCTATTCTTCATTATAATAAACATAAGATGTTTCACCTAATCTAGATAAGGTAGCTATATCAACTTATGTATGTAATCCTCTCATAGTAGAGAATTACTCTAAATTTTTTCTCATAAGTTTTATAATGCTTTTGGATGGTGATTCTTACTACTATTTTAATTACTCTTTTGAATCTGAACAATCTTACCATTAATCCAAAGAATCTATATAGTCACATGCATCATTTTCATGTGAAATTTCTTCAGATACAGATGATGATTATTATGGATAATATTCCTCTGAATCCTCATCATCATCATCATCAATTTAACCTTAAGTAAAATATTAATTATTTTTCCAAAATTAATTAGATTCTTCTTCATTAGTATGTTATCTTGGTCTTCTTTACCTTTTTTATGGTTATTCATTTTATTGACTCTTTTCTTCATTACTCATTGAATATTTGTTAATTTTATTATTAAATCAATTAATTATTATTAATTAAATTAATCTATTATCTCAATTAATTCAATATAAAATAATATAAATTCTATATACTATTATAAAATATTTTTACTTATCAAATCTATGCTACATACAAAACATAAAATAAATTAAAATAAATATACTATTCTAATATTCTATCCCATTCATTCCTATATCTGAAATAAAGAACTATCTTTAATTTGATTAAAATAATGAAAATAATTAAACTCACTCTTAATACTATCATCTCAAAATATAATTCATTTCTTTGTTATATGATAATTCCTTTTTGATTATTTAAAGCCTAATAATAATAAGATTGATTTAAATTATTTTTATTTGAAGAATGAAAACTTACGAATATGTTGAAAAGAAAACAAAATAGTATATATTTAATAATTAAATATAGGAAAAGAGAAATTTAATATAATTAAACTTCTCATTATTTTTTATCACCATTTAATATTTCAGATTATACTAAAACATTTCATTTTTAATCACTTAGATTTAATATTACTATTACCAATTATTTAATATATTTTATTGATAAATAATTAACAACAAAGGTTAGTAAATAATTTGAATTAATATTCAATTTTCAATTACCTACACTATGATTCGAGTATCTTACTTACAGTAATCGAGATTGTGGTTTCATTCTAAATAAATTATGCTCACTTTTAATGAAAACTGGTTTTTATTATTAAGGTTATTTAGAAACACATATCGATGTTGAAAAATTTTGAGTTTTATACTCAGATTAAGTAATAGGTGAAGGAGATTAAATAGATTCAGTAAGTATTCGATTTTCTGTTCTTTTGCAAGAATTTGAAAAGCAATTAAAAAATTAACCATCTGAAATAGGTGTATTATTACCAATTAATCTTTCAGATTGATAAATTGATTTAGACATTCTTTAACTCATTTCTGTTTTCATTAATTAATATTCAATAAATTTTTTGAGATGTAAAGATTATGAACCCATTTCTTAACGAATCATTTCACTAGCTTCATGTTACCTTTTAATTTTAATTTTTTCATTTTCAGGAACTAAATCTACATGTTTACGATCATACTTTTTAATTTCATCATTATTCTACTACATTATTTACACTTACTTTCTAAAATCTTATTCACTTGCTTTTTTTTATCTAAGAATTTTTTATGATGACTTATGATTTACTTAAAATTTTATTTTATTTAATACTCCTTTTAAACTGGCAACTTAAAGTTCATAATCTTCTTCAATGTCTTTAGTTTTAGAGTCAATTCTACTGGTCATTGATCCAAATAAAGGACTATTTGATAAATTGAGTTTAAGAGAGGGAAATGCACTATTTTATTTTTAATTAGTTATAGGTCTTTCTATTTTTATAGGATATTCTTGTACATAATCATGAATAGATATAATTTTTTATTTTGATTATCCTAATTATGATTCATCTGATTCTTCAATAATATTATTTAAATTTGATGGTTATTATTTATCACTTTCATTTTTTAATTTAAGTAAATAAAGTTGTTAATTTAATTTAACTTTTTCATACTAAGATTAATGAAATTTATCAACCTATTTAATTAAATTTATGTTATGTTAATATTTCATATTAGCTTAATCATAAAAGTATTTCTTTAAAGTAGTTTGATCACTTAGAATTCTATTAAAATGACTCATTTATAATCCATATATCTTTGCTTTTTCACTTTTTACAATAATAGTTTGTTAAGATACAGGTATTTTGAGCATAATTTCAATATCACCTATAATTTCACCCTCACTCAAAATAATAACTCTTCTTTATTAAATCATTTTCTTAAGAGGTTTCATTTAAGTCTATTTAATAGCAAGTAATAATTATTATTCAGATGATGCTAATTCAGATTATTATTCTTCAGAAACTTAATTAATTATCTCTTACTCATGTATAACTTCTAATTCTCCTTTTTTAATTAAATAAATTTAAGTCACTTTATCACCCTTTCTTATTAAATAATTTCCTTTTCTTAGTTCTATTTTTTTAAAGTTATAACAATATCTTAAAGTTACAAATCTAGGACATTCCCTAAAGAAATAATTCTAAAAAAATTTAATTCTTTATTCAATTTTATTAAGTTCTGCATCTTTTAATAATGATTTATAATCTTAAGAAGTTAAAACAGCTAATTCTAAATTAGATTTAGCAACAACAGTGGCAGATCTTGGTTGATTCCAAATAAGTGCCAATTCTCCAAACATCTATCCTTCCATTAATTCTATTACAAATTTATGTTTAAATACACCATCAATAAAAAAATAATCAATATCTAATTTTGATGGTGGAATACCAGCTGTCATTTCTAAACCCATTTATTATTAAATTTCTAAAATCTTTTTATCCTTTTCTTCTTCAATCTTTACTTCTTCAATAATATGTTAAGTTTAAAGTAATTTTATTGAATGAAATTATTCATCTTCTACTTATTTAGAATTTTGTCTTTTCAGTTTCTTCATCATTCCAACTGAAGATGAAAACTTATTTTTCATCTTCTCTCTTTTAGCTTAATTAATAACAGATATTGGATGAGTTCTTTTTTATTATTATGTACAATTTTCAAACTTTTTTCTACTTTTGTATGATAAATCATTAACTACATATTGATCTAATTAGGAATATATATTAACACTTCCACTTAATATTATAAAAGCATTCTCACCTTTATCACCCTATTTAAATACTGTTTCACCTTATTAAAATGCTTTGTATGTCATTTTTTAACAACATTAAGTGTGAAGTCGATTATCTATATTTTTTTATTTGGAATTCATTTCCTTGAAAAATTATAAATTTTCAGTTGCCTTCATAATCAATAATAATTCTTCTTCAAATCTATCAGAAGGATCTCTCTTTAATATAATTGTTGCATATTTAATGAGTTAAGATGGATCTAGCTATGTCTATAATTCTTGACAAACAGCTCGATATTTGTATGTGTTTTTATTCCTTAACCATTGAAATTCAAACAATGGATTTGTTACTGGAGAACTCATATGGATATTTAATACTTAGTATATTACTAAACAAATTTTAATTTAATGTATTTATAAATCATTTTTTAGCTTTTGCAAAACCAACTTAATCATTGTCTCTATCATATATACTGTAATATTTTCTAAGGAATACATCTCCTAATATCCAAGCAGGTCCTTAAGGTTATTAAATATCTAAAGGCATAAATGCTGCTATGCAATCCCAATTATTAACTTCAATTAATGCTTCTAAAAGAATTAAATTAAATATTACATAAATCATCACCTTCATTAACCTCTGTTAATTAAGCAGCATCAAAATTGGTTGGTTTAACGTATTCTTCAGGTTCCAATGTATAATCAACATCATCAATCTTAAATGTAATTGTAGGTAATGTATTTATTTCATGACAATGAGATTTAACATTTAAGGTTCTCAATAAAGTTCCTAAATCATCAAATGGTCCACTCATGATGGATGTGCCAGTATCAACAATAAGTCTACATGATCCATGACATAAACCAATATCTTTGTTATCAACCAAAATATTATCAGCTTTAATCATCCAATAATATTTATCTATAACATCATGATAATGAATATCTCCATCAACATGAGCTGGGTTATAACCTCCTAAAGTAAATTCACTATGAGCAATATCGTTAGCATCTTTGGCAAAATAAAATGAGAATTAGTTTCTCTCTAAAACTCTTTAATCCATAAGATTATCAAAAACTGGATTAAAATTCTTAGGTGCCATTTTTGGATAAGCTAATCCAAGTATACCATCAAAATCAAGATCTCTAAAAATTGCTCCGTTTTCACTTGTAATCTCTGCCATATTTTATCTTGGTAATGTAACATCACCAAAATAAACAGTATCAGCATTAACAACTCCTTTTAAATCACCACTTCCAAATTCAACATTTAATTCTTAATTCAAAGGTAAAAACGATTGACTATCCTCATGATTATATTATTTATGTCTCATACAGCCTTCCTCTTAACATCTAGTTGAATCAATCCATAAATTAGCACTTCCTGTGTCTAAAACAACTTTAAATGTATTTCCAGGTTATCCTATTCCTAAATCAGCAGTATATTGAATATTTTTGTAATTATGCATTCTCATATATTGAGGACCTGATTGTTATGTTTAGGCAAAGGATGATTCACTTAATTTATCTTAATGCATAGCAACTAGTTTATAAAAGTTTTATTTATCTTAAACCTTGGTTTCTCTTTCTTGTAATTGAATATGAATTACCTTCTTTTTTTCAGGTTCTAAGAATTTTTATTCATTTTGGCTTATAATCAACAATTCAAATTTACATATTAATTGCAACTGACAAGCAAATTATTGCATATAAGAATAAGAACGATTTATTCATTTGTAAAAACGATTTTTTAATAAAATAATATAAATTATGAGTTATTTCATTTTATGTTTATCAAAATTTTAATTATAAGTTAAATAAAAGAATATATTAAAGATTAATATATAATAATATTAGATTAATTAAGATATATAATTTAATTATTATATATTCATACAAAAAGAATTATCAATATTAATGAAACTACTTCTAATGCTATAAATAGATATAAACAACAATAGGATGATGAATTTAAAAACTTTTTTAATTTTCCATTTACATTAATCATATCCTTAGTTGTTTTATCCATATCTTTATCAATTTAATTAAGTAATCTATTTTATTCATCCAATGTATTTCCAATATTTTTACCTTATACTTTTAGAGTATCCAATTAATCAATACATACATCAAGTTTCTAATCTTATTCTTTTTATAATTATTTTTAATTTTAATGTAATTATTTGTTATCCATTTATTATAATGCTTCTGTATCCTTATATTACTTACCCCCATTTGACCTATTATTAAATAATTAATCTTATTAAGATTTTAATGATTTGTCAAAACTTTATTTTAATTCCGCAGCTACATTCTACAATTCCAATAATTTATTTTTTCTTGTTTCTCCTTCTTTCTATAATATTTCTTAATTTTAACTTTGTCTTTCAATTAATGATTTTAACAATTCTATTTCTCTATCTTTTAAATATATAATTAAATCTATATACCTAATTTAGATATTCCTCCTCTAATTTCACCATCAATCATTCCTACAGGTTAATTAGCATTAATCTTTTATTCTCTTTTCTATATGTCTGATCTTAATTATTAGATTAATCTTTAAATTCTCTCAATATCACCTCTATATGTATCACTCATTGAATTTTATATTTTTATATTATTTAATAACTCATACAAGAACAATTCCTATTTCTTCTGGTTTAAGCATATTACTCTCTAATTTCCAATTGTAAAGATAATAATTCAATTAACCATCACCTGGACAGAACATTAATTCCTAACCATATCAAGAAAGATACTTTCAAAAACTTTTCATTTTCCATAATATCCAAAGCATTAAATACATCATAACCTTCATTTTTTGCTAGAATCAATGCATCATACATTAATTATACTATGGGAGTTTTAGTTGCCACATTATAATATGAGTAGGCAGCCTATAGAAATATATGAAATTGATAATTACTCTTAAATGAGTGTGTTTTGGATTTTTAATCACTTGACTTGGAAGATTGTAAAAAGATAAGAAATCTGTAACTACTCCTTGTTCTTTTTCAACAACATATGTACTAATTACATCCTTTCTTGGTATAAACCAATGTTTGACTTCATCTTCTGTATATTTAAAATACAATTTGAATTATCTAATATATAAAAGATTTAAATTACTTTAAATATTCATTTAATAATTTAGTAACTTAAGCTACATCTTTTTTTTTCATAGGTCTCAATCCTTAAGTTTTTGGTTCTTCAGGTAATTTGTATAGTTTTTACTATCTTGAAATAGTTTATCTAGCAGAAAGAGATGAAAATCCAACTTCAATTAATTTCTTTGCATTCAAACTTCTATGATAATATCTTGTTTAAGAAATTGGAGTTGGTACAACTATACCAGCTGTATAGACTGCTTGCCACATATTTTTAATATGAACTCTTCTTGTAATTTCTTTGATCAATACTGGAGCCAATCTATTTGCTCTAATTTTTTTATGAACACATAAGAAATTGATTTCTGTCATCTTTACTTTTGTTTACTAATTCTCTATATGTAATGTAACTGGAATTCCTGTTATAAATCCAACCAACTTTTAATTTACCTTAACACCCACAATCCAATCAGGATGTTATCCTGGAGGTAATAATGCCCATCTTAGAAAGTCAATTGAATAATCAAATCTAAACATGTTATCATCATCTTCAACATAGTTTTCTTTCAATAATGTATATACCTAAATTAAATATTTAATAATACTTGTTAGGCTTGTTCATCATTTCTCAAATCAACATTACACCATTCAAATTTAGATATCAAATTGTATGGATCCTACCTTACTTCAGCTAAAATTCCTTCTTAAATAGGACCAGGCTTTAAGGAATCTAATTCATTTATATTTGGCATAGGTTGTGTTTCCCAAAATTAATGTGGTTTATTTAATTTATCCAACAATTATTAATTGTATTGAGTTTACTTCTAAACAACAGTAAGTTGTTATTATTGTTGTTACTATTATTCTCCTTAACCTTAAACTTCTATTTCTTCATCGCTGGATTCCTATTATTTTTCCTATTGTTGCATTATTTATAAAAATTTAAATATAAATATCACTCACAATTTATATGATAAAATTTAAACAAAAAAAATAACAATTTATTTTGAGATACCAGAATTTATAACAAAAAATAATTATTAATTTGTCATATAAATTGTTAAATCCCTTATCTTAATAAGAATAAATTATTTTAGATGTTTAAATTTCTATAATGAGATTATTGTATGAAGCATATTAATCTAATATATCATCTGGGATCAAAATTTATGCAGAAATTATTTAAATTTCTTTTTCTTTAAAATATAATTTAAAAAAATAATATGTTCTTCATGTAATTATATTAGTAATATATTTTAATTTAGATTCAAAAGGATAATCACTCATATTTTAGAAATTTCTTTTATTACATTTTTTATTGATAATTAATTTACTTATAAAGAAACTCATCCTATATTGTTGAATTTAGATTTTGTATTTTTTATTCACTTTACTTAATCTAATTATTATCTTTTTTCTTATTTAATTCTTATGGTAAGTGAGTCATACTTTTTTCTTTCCTAGCAGAACCCTAATAATCAATTTATTCAAATTAAGTCATTGAATTTAAGTGTGCTTTTTTCCTTTATTTTAATTCCTTATTTACAGTTCTGGAATCCCATAATAATTGTCTTTATTTCTAAATGGATCTTTAAGATGGTTATAATTATTGAAGTTATACTTCTGAAGAAGTTGTCAAATTACTTCCAGTTATCTATTTCATTTTGATTTTTTACTAAACTATTGAATTCTCCTCTTGACTTTAAAACCTTGAGAGCAATTTAGTACAATTAATTTCTTAATTAACCTATTATTCTATTGTTTCTTCAAGGTCTAACAAAGAAATATTTGAATCTTCAAAAGACACTTTTAAAGCTTGAGGAGGGAGAAGATCAGCTTTAATTTTTAATGATTCAAGTCCAAATTATGGAACAGTAGGATTATCAATGCTGGAGAACTCAAAATTAATATCATGATCAACACAATTCATTCCAAAACTATATTAGTTAGATTATGTTATGATATTATGTTATGATTGAAAATCTATAGATTGAACATCTTGTGTGCATTGTTTACATTCATTTCCCATTATCACTTTATTGAATTATTAAAATATATTAGATTAAATTTACAGGATTTAATATTTAGATTTCATTAGACATTTTTATACTGTTTTATATGTAAAAAGAAATTAATTACTCAAAATAATTAAATAATTTATTATATTAAATTATAATTCATTGGTTTACCATCATACTTCTTTAAAATAAATTGTTCATCTTCTAAAATATGTATCACAGTAATAATTGAAGAATTCTTTTCCTCAAAATCAGATGGATCCACAAGAATTTGGTCTTCAAATACAGCAAATGTTTAACATTTGATTTCCTTATAAATTATAGAATTTTGAGTTTCGAAATGCTTTACTAATAATTCTTTAATTTATTAAATTTACTTTATTATAGAGAAAAGGAAACACAATTTATTAAATGGGACAATAATGATCCATCACCACCAGCTACTCTGATATATAATTCAATTTATTTAACTTTATCATTTAAAGTTCTCAATCTCTAAGGATCCACAATCTGAATCACAACATCTTGAATTTAACTTAAGAAGTGTTTTTCAATTCTAACTTTATCTATATTACTTTAATCTTCTTGATTATCCATAATAATTGATAATCCTTAGTCTCATTACATACTAATACTGATGCACTAATTTAGATCTACTTCCTTTGATTCTATCTCTCGAATAATATGTTTGACTGAAATAAAGCAATCTGCATATTAATAATTAGTAAATCCTTCTCCAAATTCAATAATAATCTATCTTGGCTATTTGAATTGTCTCCCATCTATTCTAACATTTTTTTCCAAAAATCTTTTGATATAATCTTAAGGAAACATTTCTCTAAATATGTCTGCGTCCATTAATTAATAATTAATTATAATTCTTATTAAATAAACCAAATATTATAATTGTCTACAAATGGTTAAATTAATAATTATTATAGAGATAATTAAATACTTAAATTGTAAATGCTATAATCATTTAATACTTATATATTGATAAAACTAATATTATTTATTAATATATTTTATTTCTAAACATATAAATTTATGAGACATTCTGGATTCATCTAGATATCACCAACACCATTAATGCCCTTGTAATATAAAATTAATGGTTAGAAACTATTCAGTTTAATCAGTACCACTTATCACATCAACACCTATGTATTAATCTCTAATCCAATTTTAATAACCATAATTATAATCATAAATTGTGAGAGTATAATTTAAATTTAATTATTAAAATAGTAAAGACCAATACATGTAGTCGATTTGGAATAATATGATGATATTTGGAGAAAAAAAGTTGAAGATCTTGAAAAATAATTAAAGGAACTCTAAAAATAGAAACCATAACCTGTCATTTAAGCTCCATGTTATTTTTAATTTTATATTTAAGAACCTATTATTGAATTAAGAGCTGGTGCAGATACTGAAGAATTGGAAAAATAGATATCATAGATTCAATTAGAATTGTATAAAACAAAAGAAGATTATGAAGATATATTATAAAAGTACAATGACAATCTTAGTGAATTAGAATAATTAAAATGTAAATATCTAAAAAGATTTTATTTAAGAATAAATGAAAAGTCATGTTTGTACTGATAATACTGCAGAATTAAAAAAGAAAATTGAATTATAAGATAAAGAAATAGAAAGATTGAAAGCTTTACTTACTTCTCAAGTTCCTGTTCGTATATAAATTAATATTAATATAATAGCAAATGATGACTCAGAATAATTGAAGCTATATTTAAAGAGAATATAAGAATTAGAAAGCTAATTGCAAGATTCAATATTATAAGTTGAAAGATATAGATAAGAGAATTAATAACTATTATCCTAATTGAACTTCTTTAAGGATTAAATCAACGAAAAGGATGAAAAAATAAAAGAATTAGAACAATAAATTGATGATCTTAATAATGAATTAGATAATATGTAGGAAGACTAAGAGGAATAAATTGAATAAAAAGTTGAGATTGTTAGAAAGGAATTGAAGAGTTGGAAGGATAAATTTTTGGCATTAAATGCTTAATTCCATGATTAATAGGAAAAATTAATGTTAACTGAAGCTGAATTAGATCACATTAAAAAATAAGGAGGAGGTGGAACTAAAGTATATTTAATTTTTATTTTTATTATTAGGGTAGTTAAGTAATCACTACAACAACTACAACAAAGTAATCTAAATGAATATTAGTATATTATCTACAAAAGTATATATTTTTTTGTAAATAATATTTTAGAGTTGTATACTTATAAATATATGTTCTTTCTAAGTTCGAAATAAATTTAGAAATTTCTAGCTTCCAATATTAATAATAGTATGGTAATAAAATTTTAAATTACATATAAGTATTTAAGAACTAATATTTCTTGATTCTTAAAATCATACCAAAATTAAGATAATTTGTCTGCTCTTATATACATGATATTAGAAATTTGACTAGATTAAATATCTATCAATAATAAATCGGTATTCATCCTATTCATACAATCAGTAGATGTATGATTATATTACATGATGTCATAATATATTAAATAAACCTCCTTAATCAAAGTCATTACTAAAATATATATCAAATTAGGGATATTAATGTTGAACATACTTTTTTCATTAGTATTTCTATTTCAGATTGCTAATTCAGAATGGAGGCTAATTGAAAGTTAGTTTTATTAAGAAAATTTGTCAAACCTTAGAGGTTGGGAATTTAAGAAAACTTGTACAGACAATTCAGCTTAAGGATCATCAATAAGACAATGCTAATCAAATCCATTAGATATCATTCGTTTGAAAGAGGATCGAACAAGAATTGAGAAAGAATTTTATTATCCTCATTATTAGCTTAGAATAATCACTGATGTATTTTACATTCGAGCCAAATCAAGTGCTAATTCAGAGTTTAAAATATCATTAATCGATTCAGGAGGAACTACTACTTTATTTTCTAGATTATATTAAGCATCTACAATATAATCATATGATAAAGTATGTAAATTTGATTGTTCAGGTAGCAGTTGTGGAGGTTTAGATGAAACAAAAATAGAATTAAAAACAGTTATATTAAATGGGATAAATCACTAGAAATCGGTGTTTGATGTTTCATATTGTTATTTATATCAAGATGATTCAATGAGAGTTGGACTAAGAAATATATTAATTTATGTAAACACATGTCATTTTACTTGTGCATCTTGTTCAGGAAGTACTGAATATGATTGTTTAACATGCTATTAAGGTGGATTATAAGGAGGTATATGTAAATGCGATGAATCAAATTCTTACGTGTCAATTTTGACTGGTTGCTCATAAGAATGTCCAAGAGATTATTATCTAGCAGATGATTCTAAATACTGTTAGTTTGATTCAAGTAAGTCTTTTATTAAAAATAGGAATACAATCAAAGTTCAGTTATTTTACTTCAACTTCTATTAGTAATGGCAACTTATTACCTTATGATCCATGGGTTTATGTACCAGATCCCTTTTATCCATCTAATACAAATAAATTAGCTTTATGTGGAAGTGATGATGTAATAGGAAGATTTTCAAATTATGAAATGATTTATTTAAAATTAGATGAACATAAAGGATTAAAATTCTTAAGAATAAGAGCATCCTTTTATTTATTTGGTTGGTAGACTGGTTCATCATTAAGAATAACAGTAGATTCTTATTCATAAGGATTAATTTTAAAGACAGCTTCTAATTATACTGTTTAGAATGCCAGATTAAATAAATTTAGTAGTTCAAGTTGTTCAGGAAATAATTATGACTTATTGAGAATAGAAACAATCCTTAAAACATACACAACAACTCCTATAATTAAGATTTAGGGTGTACCAACTTTATAAACAGAATATTGGGCATTCAAAAATATTACAATTGATTATGGATTATGTTAGAGTAACTGTACATCATGTGAAACATACTCTAGATGTTTGATTTGTGACTCAGGATTCTAATTATATAGAGGTACATGTGTTAATAATTGTCCTATTCATACTACATTATTGGCCAATGGAACATGTTAAGATTTTGAAGACCTTATTTAAAGTAATAATTATTATATATTTGTAATTAGATAGTAGATATTTGATAAAAGCATTTTATGACATGAATACTACGTTTGAAGGAGTGTCATCAATAATAGATAATTTTACTGATTTAGCTGGAACCATTAAAACATCATTTACTGGATCAATTTATTCTTTTGTACCTGAAAAATCAGTATTAGGAGGTGCTTTAGTGTGGTAAGTAGGGAAATTTTAAAAAACATTTAATTCACTAAAACCACATTATAAAATAAGTTATAGACTTAACGTGACTTATGGAGATGAGATGTCTGGATGGTTTTCATATAAGTTTCATTCTTTTCAATCTTCATAATTAACAAATCCAAATACAGGAACTTCTAATTCTATAGGAGATGTTAAAAAAGAGACTACAGTTTATTATTAATTATTAGAATAACTTCATTCTTCCCCTTAATTAGATATAGTTTTAGCAGGAAATACAAATTAAGCTTCTTTAGAGGATGCATTTCTTTATGTTTCAGAATATTTTGTTGTCGTTCATTATGTATGTTTATAATTTAAATAAGTGTGCACCTTTTTGTAATTAATGTAATGGTCCAGCAATCTCAGATTGTTTAACTGGATAATACTCTGGATATAGTTTAACACAATATTGTAACACAAATTAATACTTAAATTTCAATAGTGCCACTTAAGTTTATTCATGTTAAACTTGTAATCAATTAGGATGTTTAGAATGTCAAAGTGATTCTGTTTGTACAAAATGCGAATTCTCCAATACTAATAAATTTTTATTAGATTAAGGAGAATGTTAATGTTATCCTTCAGCTTATTTATCAGCTACAAATTGTATATGTAATTCATTATAATTATTTTATAAGAATGTAATTAATATTGTGAAACTTGTTTTGGATCATTAAATACTTAATGTTATACTTGTGTTTCTGAATTTTATAGATCAATTAAGAAATATTAATGTTAATGTATTGATGGATATTATGATGATGGGTATAATTTACAATGTTTACCCATTTGTGGAGATCAAATAGTAGTAGATGGAGAAGATTGTGATGATGGTAATAATAATCCATTTGATGGTTGTTATTAATGTAAATATGCATGTTAAGAGAGCTGTTAAGATTGTTAAAATGGAAAATGTTATGAATGTAAAGACAATTATATTTTTATTGAATCTATCCATAAATGTATAAATAATTGTGGAGATTCAATTATTATAGGAAATGAAGAATGTGACGATGGTAATATATATCCATATGATGGTTGTTATGAATGTTAATTTTAATGTTATGAAAATTGTACTGAATGTATATTTGGAATTTGTTATAAATGTGATGAAAACAATGGATGGTATTTGACTGGAGTTAATTGTGAACCAATATGTGGAGATGGAATTCTTGTTTAAGATGTTGAATAATGTGATGATTAAAATTATAATCCATTTGATAGATGTGATATGTGTCAATTAAATTGTTCAGAATATTGTTTATAATGTTCTGATGGAAATTGTGTTTAATGTATCCCAGGATTTAAATATGTATCTGTAACAAAATAATGTATACCTATATGTGGAGATTTTTTAATTGTTGCTTATGAAGAATGTGATGATAATAATTTTGTAGAATTTGATGGCTGTTATTAATGTGAATTTAAATGTCAAACTTAATGTACTGATTGTAGATATGGAACATGTTATGAATGTAATACTCCTGGTTGGGAGTTAAATTTTTCTGAATTTATATGTGATATTAAATTGGATGATAATCTTACTTCATCCATAACAGAATATTGTGATGATGGCAATATAATTCCTATGGATGGTTGCTATTAATAGTATTATGAATGTTAGGATTCATGTAATGTTTGTTATAAAGGTTATTGTATATTCTGTAAGAAAAATTGGTATTTAAATTTATCTGACAATCTCTGTTATCCTATTTGTGGTGATTAAGTTATTGTTGGAAATGAAGAATGTGATGATAAAAATACCTTGATGCATGATTCTTGTAATTAATGTTTTTTTTAATGTGATACTAAATGTTAATAGTGTGATTTTGGAGATTGTCTATAATGTGAAATAGGATATTTCTTACTAAATAATAAGTGTATTGAGATTTGTGGAGATGGCTTAGTTGTTGGTAATGAACAATGTGATTCAAATGAAAAAATATTAGATTCCTTTTGTTTAAATTGTAAATATAATTGTGGATCTAATTGCTCTTTATGTACAAAAGGAGGATGTTAATAATGTAAAGAGGGTTATTTAATGAACAATTATGAATGCTAACCTATTTGTGGTGATAAAATAAGAGTAGAATAGGAATAATGTGATGATGGAAATGATTAACCATTTGATGGTTGTCATAATTGTTAATTTCAATGTTAGGAGGAATGTTTAGATTGTAGATTTAATTATTGCTATGATTGTATGATTGGATATTTAAATAAAAACTTCATTTGTATTGAAAATTGTGGTAATTCTTTATCTACTAAAAATGAAAAATGTGATGATGGTAACTTAGAAGCATTTGATGGCTGTTATAATTGTAATTATTCATGTGATGAAGAATGTGAAATATGTTAAGAAGGATTGTGTTTTAAATGTATCAATATTGGATGGTAAATCAATAAAGTTAATTATTAATGTGAACCAATATGTGGAGATTAAATTGTTGTTGGTAATGAATTTTGTGATGATGGTAATGATATTAGATATGATGGTTGTTTTGAATGCTATTATGAATGTGAATAGGCATGCACTAATTGTGTTAAAGGGATATGCTAAGAGTGTAATACATTAGGATGGTTATTAGAAGATTTTAAGTGTGTTGAAATTTGTGGAGATTTAATAATAGTTGGCAATGAATAATGTGATGATGGTAATAATATACCATATGATGGATGCTTTGATTGTGAATATCAATGTTAGATATAATGTACTAATTGTAATAAAGGCATTTGTGAAGAATGTAATACCTATGGTTGGATACTAGTAGATTAATAATGTTCAACATATTGTGGTGATGGGATAGTAGTTTAACCATATGAATTATGTGATGATGGAAATTAATTTCCATTTGATGGTTGTTTTGATTGTGATTTCTAATGTTAAGAAATATGTGGTGAATGTATTGAAGGTAGATGCTATAGATGTGATGAATTAGGATGGATTATTGAAAACTTTATATGTGTTCCATATTGTGGAGATGGATTGATTGTAGGTAATGAATAATGTGATAGTGGAAAGTAAGTAGATAGTTTTTGTAAAGATTGTATTTTAGTATGTGATAAATATTGTATTGATTGTATTGATGGAATCTGTAATCTTTGTGATTAAGGAAGACAATTATAAAATAATTATTGTATTTCCTTATGTGGAGATGGAATACTAGTTGATGAAGACTGTGATGATGGTAATCTTGATAATGGAGATGGATGTTCAGAGAGTTGCAAAGTTGAAAATGATTGGGTATGTTTAAATATACAATTTCTAACTAGTTCATGTCTTTATTCAATAACTCCAATTATGAAACTCAACAATATCTAATAAAATCCAGAAAGTGTTGAAATGGTATCTATTACTTTTAATTAACCTATGATGCTTAAATATGATGAAAACTATACTGCTGATCATTATTTCAGAGGCAACATAACAAATCTTTTATTTGAATAATATACTGTTAATTTTGAATTTAGAGTACCTCCTAAATTTAACTAAGTAGATAATATTGAAGCTGTAGCAACAATTAAATTTTATGAAAATATTGATGATCCTATTCTTATTGTTATTCTTAATTAAAGTGCTATAGTCACACAATATTATACAATTATTATAGATAACGAAAAAGAAATCAGATTACAAACACCTATTGTGCTTTCTTCATCATAAATTAGCATATCAGAAAATGCAAAATCATTTTTAAGCATTGTTATATATTTTATGATAACATTATCTGCATTTTGTATTATTACTGGATCTTTTGAAATTTTTTGGAATTTAATGGATTTACTTCAATATCTATCCTATATAAAGTATATCAACATTTAATTTCCAACAAATCTTAATATTTATTTTGAAGTATTTAAGTTAATATCAATTCAACCATTAATGGAATTTACAGGAATAAGTTCAATATTCAGTATTGCTGATGGAGAAGAAGAGTACATTGTAGAAACTTCAGATAAATTTAAATAAGATTAGATTAATGGATACTTTTATAATAATTTTTAAAGTTCGATCTTTTGCTTTTTGGGTTTGTTCTTTGGATACATAATAGCCAAAAGTTTAACATAATTTTTATATACATTAGGACCTTATCAATTAGCTAATTTTGGCTTTTACCCAACTAAGTTCATATATATTTTTAGAAATATATTAAGAAAAAGCTATAAAGCATTTTATTTTAGTGCAATTATTAAAATGATAATGTCAAATTATTATGATATTAGTTTTTCTGTATTTATCTAATTAAACCATTTTAACACAGATAACATAGTACTTTAATTAAATTCTTATGCTGCTTTAGTTGTTTGTGCTTTATAACTATTATTTTTTACTTATATGTTCACTAAATAACTTTCATTTACAAAGAAAGTAACAACTAAAAATATTGAATAATACTCTGCTTTATTTGAAGGAGTAGCAGATTCTACTAACATATGGATTACATAATATAACACAATATTGCTATTAAAAAAATAAATTTTCATATTTTTAATTGTATATATGGGATAAAATGGTCCTTTATAAACAATAATGATAGGATTAATTTAAACAATATTTCTCTTGTATGTATTTGTTCAGAAACCTCTTTAAAATGTCTAGGAGTACTATAAAATATTAGTTGCTGAATCTTTGTTGGCTTTTAACACTTTATTATTTTTGACTTATTAATATAGATTGTAACTAGAATTGTCAATAGATGATTATATAATGATTGGATGGATTCATATTGCAAGTTTTAGTTTCATTCTTCTATTTTCATTAATTTTTGATATTAAATCCTAAGCATCTATTTTGTATAAAAGGGTTATCAAAATGATCCACGGAAAATAGCCAGAAATTAAATCAGGAACTGTTATATTTTATTGAATATAGATTTTATTTTAATTTGTATATATGAATTTAAAAATCCATATTGGATATAATATTTAAATTAGATAATTCAAATATTATTTACTATCATTTTTACTTGTCTTAGTCTTTAATTGCATCTTTTATCACTTATTACACTTAATTCATCTATATTTGATTCTATTAATTTGGCTAGTTTTAAACTTTTTGTTGGTTATTCTTATTGTCTTTTTTATTGTCTTTTAATAATTAGTCATAATTTATAGCAAATGAATCAATAATTTCACCATTCTTTCCTCTAAGCATTTACATTATGATAAATATTATGAATTTATTTAAAATAAAATTATATTATATCATATTTATTTTTAAAATAATTCATTTAACTTTAAATTAATAATAAATTCATTTCTTTGATTATTCTTATTAATTATATTCTTATGAAATAGTTACCTAAATAACTTTCTAGGCTTTTTGCTCCTATTTTAATAGTTCCTCTTATGTTTGAATATCTTAGATTGATGTTGAATTATGCTTTTTCTAATTTAATCCATTTTTTCCACTTTGCATTCTCATCATAAATTAATTAATTTTATTTTATAAATTCTTTATTTTTAAATAAAGTAAGATTTTAGATTTATAAATTTCTCTATAATTCTTAATTGTTAAATTAATTACATTATATCTGTTGATGATATAAATCTAAATTATAAATTCAAATATCTACAATATATGAATATAAAGAATAGAAATACTTTCCTAGCAATTTTATAGAGTTCAGAGGATCAATTAAATATAATGAATTAAGGAGTTTAAATAATTTTGAGTGTAAGACTTAATACATAAAATATAGTCTATTTATGCTAAATTGTTATAGAAAATTTATAACAACTTGTGATAAAAGAATTTTTATTCACATGTTTGCCATCAAATAAAGGTTTATTCGCCAAAGGAAGTTTTGATTATAGAATTTCAAGTAAACTAAAACAAAAGAGAATATTAAGATTTAGATACAATATTGTTCAAAAAATTAGAATTCTAATTGAATATCTAAGATAAAAGAAAATAGTAATGCATAACTTAGTTATATTCTTTGAATAATTAAAATACTAATAAATTTATTTAAGTTTTTATTCAACTATATAAATACATGCTCAATTTGAGAGAATTATAAGAGTTACGCCAATTAAATGATGAGAGAAAGGCATTGACAGATAGATATGGAGTTGGATACAATCAACCACTTTCTGCTAGAAATGAATATAATGGTAAGTAGACATTAAGTGCATGGGATCCTATTACAAATAAGCCTTAAACACTTATTGTTAATAATGGATCTGATCCTATTGTTCTAGATCATAATATACCTAGACAAGTAATCATATTTTATTGATATTAAGGAAATCACAAAAAATATTGTATTTTAGAAGGGTTTCCCTTTTTAGAATAATTAACCTTTAACTAAGAATTATTAAGTCTAAATTTAAGATATACCAACATCTATTTCAAAAATCTAAACTTCAAAACTTCTTCCATAAAATTACATGCATGAATATCATCATAGACAAAGACCTTATTAACTAAAAAGTGTAGAAGAAATATTAAGACCTTGGAAAGCAAAAGAAATTATGTATAATAGAGAATTAAAAAATTTATAAGAATAAATTAACAAAGGAAATTATACTATGACAGATAAAAGAACTTTGAAAGTAGATAATGTGGCTAAGAAATTAGAGTTATAAAATGAAGTTTAAAAATTGGAAGCAATTTTAAAAAATAAAGATGAAGAAATTACTAGATTAAAAATTAGAAGTTAAGAAATAGAAGAAAAATATAATGAATTATCTGAAGAAAATTCAACAGAACTTAATAAATATTAAAAAGAATTGGAAGAATGGAAAAAAAAGTTTAAAGATCTTAATAACTTATATCATGAATGTGAAGAAGAATGTACAATGAAAGAAACTGAAATTGAAAGTTTAAAAAAAAGAAAATTATCTGTGATTAAAACATAAACAGTTTAAAAAGTTGGAACTAAACCATAAAAAAATATGGATAGTCCAAGAGCAATTATTTCTACTGTAAGTGACAAAGATTCAGATTATTATTGATTTAAAGATATAAATTAATTTTATATTATTCATTTATATATTTATATTACAAAATATAACAAATTCTTTGGAAAATAAAGAGTTATATGATTCCATATTTACAATCAGTAATTTAATTAATTCAATTGAATAATTATATTTTTATTTAATTTAATTTCTGATTTATTGAAATCAAAATCTGTTATTATAAAAATAAAACATTGTTAAATAATAATCAAAATATTCAAAAAACTATTCAAATTATACATATCTATTATATTAAATCAACATTCTTGTTATACAATTATGGATTTTTGAAGACTCTTACAATTTATGAAAATGTTATTTTATCATTTTTAAATGGATCTAGCATTTCATATATTTTTGAATAATCTTCCTTTTGTAAACTAGGTTTAATACTTTCTGTCAATTTAAAAAATTATTACTTTAAAAAATTAAAAATAATAAATACTTGATTGAGAATTCCATCTTTATCATGATCAACTGATTTAAATACAATACAAAAATTAGCTAAGTATTATTGATAAAGACTCATAAGGTATTCAAGAATTAGTTTAATAAAGACAGAAAACTCATATTTTATGGGTTCTTTTTAAGTACTTGATCTTCTTTATTCTTTTTAATTAACTTTTTTTATTGGACTTACACTAGATACAGATTTAATTTAATGCATCTTTAATTAGCTGAGTATAATTTCTTTTTCCTCTTCCTAAAGACAACTTTTCAAAATGTCAATTGCTTCCTAATGAGTTATTTATCCTGCTACTTTTTGTTTAACTATTTCTTTAATTTCTAAGACATGCTTAGTTTTATACTTTGCTTATAAAATAGTCTAATATTTTAGATCAAAATATATACTTAGATAATATGTTCAATATTTAATTTACGTTAAGATTGCAATAATCTAAAATCTTCATCTAAATTATTTTTAAGCATTAATCCAAATACAGCAACATCATTGTCTTCAGCAATATATTTTTAGATTGCATTAATGATACAAGCTACCCATTCCAAAGCTAAATTCTATTGATGATAAATATAAAATACTTTTAATCCATATTTACAATATAAGTATGTGTACATATGCTGTTCAATTGTTTCTAGAGGCATTTTATTTTCATATTATCTGATATCATGTTTAGTTTTGCTTTCATAAATATCTTGAATGATATCTTTAAGTTATTTTAAAGTTAATGGTCTAAATGATTAGGGTTAAACTAGTAGATGAAATTCTGATAATGTTTTGTATCTCTTTTTTTCAATGATGCTTGGACTTTCATTTTATTTATAACTGATTTCAGACATGATATTAGAAGATTTTTCTACTTTTGATCTTCTAATTATCATTTCTAAGTATTTTTTATTTTCTTATTATAGTTATTCATTTTAACATTATAAATCTTCAATTTCTTATTAAAATGATTGCATATCAATAGATTTTGTAAAAATTACATTATCTTCTTAATCATTAGTTTGACTTTCTTTTTCAAAAAATCTTTGATTATCAGTCTGAGTTCCTTTAACAAGCATTACTACTTATTGAGTTTAAAAATTAGAAAAGGATTGAATATCTTAAAATGATTAATTTGCTGATTGAATTTATTTGGAACTATCTCTATGAGATCTCTATTATTATTATTAATAAGCAAATTAATATTCTAATTAAGAAATGATATTATTCAGATTTTCCTTTTCTTATTCCAATATTTGAACATTAGACTATAAAGTTTTAACTTATAATTATAATGGATGAAGTAATTCATATTATTAGTCTTTCTACTATTAAAGTTTATTTTTTTCAATTAATAGACTATCACGTTCTTCTTTGTAGAATTAAATCTCTTTATTTTAAGATATGACTATATCACTATTTTAAATGAGTTATTCTATTTCATGATTTTCTTTTTAGATTTTTTTATAATCTCTTAGATTGTATATGATATTAGTTAAATCATTAAAAATATTTGAATGTTCTTATTATAATGTTTTTAGAACTTATTCAAGTTTATTATTATTATTACGAAAATAGTCAATTAATTCTCTAAAACAGATTTCATATAAATCATATTTTGCCTAAGTAGATTATTAAAAATTACTTTAAGTATATGTGTATCAAGGAAATGTTTTGAATGAGTTTATTGAACTTTGGTAGAAAAATCAGTCATAACATCTTTGACATGATCAGCCAATTAAGGAGAGTATGTTTTTTATAGATTGGAATTATTTTCAATGTTACAAATTTGATTAAAAAGATTCTTTTAACTTAATAAGATAATGAAGTACTTCCACATTATCTACATCCTCCTAATTAAATGTGATTTCACTTTAATATGATTTTTCTGATTTTATAGATTATCTTTCAGAAGGTCTATCACTATCTAATTAATCAAAAAATTTGAGTCTTCTATTATTAAGTGTTATTAGATTAGGTAACTATTGGATCACATATTTTTCTTCATTATTATCCTTCAATCCAATATGAAGATGTAACAATTTTGGCATTGTTTTCAAAGCATTGATAATAGGAATAATCTATAAATTTTAATAATAATTACATCATCAAAAAGATTGTTAGAAATATCTAAAGTTTCTACAGTACTCAATGTTGAAAGATCTTCTGGTAAGGTATGTAAACGATTACCATGCAAAATTAACTTGATTGATGCATTATCATAATACTTCACGTAAATTGCTGCATTCTGCTAAATGAGGTAACAGATCTTTTAAATTATCAATTTATTAAAACTCTAGATCAACAGTCTAATTGCAATTTTTATTAGGTTTCTATCTCAATAAATCTACATCTAAGTCAATTATCTACTTGTTTTTAAGACAGATTCTGTTAATAATTGCATTCTCTTTTTAGAATCTTCAAAGTTAAATTTATCTGCCTCTGCAATATGCAATGAAACAGCTAACACTTCTTTGGCTATCTCCCTTTAATTCATTATATATAAATATGTTATTATAATATTGTTAATTTTTTAAGAGACTTTTATTCTAAAGAGTCTTGACTTTATTCATAATTTTAGAAGTATGATAAATATTATTAAGATATGAAGATATTAAACAAGAAATGAATTTAAGTGAAAATTATTTTGAATTTCTATTAATTAACAGATGGGAAATCGTTGTTAAGAGTAATAAAAAATTGAAAATGATGCTCTTCTTATAAGTCCAGGTAAAAATGGTTTAGAAGCTACACAAGTTAAAAATGGTTTAGAACCTACATCTAAAAATCCAATTCAGGAAGATTAAAAAGAAGTTGAAGTTCCAAAAACTCAATAACAACCTATTGTTGATCCTATTTAAAAATAACAAACCAAAGAATAGAGTGCTTTAGCAATATAATGTGCATTTAGAAATAAAGTTGCCAGACAAAAACTTAATGAAGAAAGATAAATGCTTGAAGAAGACAAACCAAAAGACTGGACTTTATTTGATGGAGAATTTAAAATCCCAACTTTACCAGAAATTGCCTATTAAAAAATTAATGCATCAGTATCAAATGATTTTAGAATGCTACCTGCCTATACAAAAGATGGAACTATATATAAAGGTTAATGGTTGAAAGGAATATAATTTGGATATGGATAAATGATTAAAAATGATGGAACTTATTTAGAAGGACAATGGAAAAATGGTGATTTAATAGATGGTGCAGTTTATTTTCCAAATAAAGATCTATATGTAAAATTATAATAATATTTATAGTTAGGATAAGAAAATTGTGGTGTAAGAATATATCATAATGGAGTCTAATATTCTGGAGATTGTTAAGGTAGATAGCCACATGGAAAAGGAATTGAATAACATCCAGACAGCACTATCTATGAAGGAGAATTTTAAAGAGGATAAAAACATGGTAAAGGAATCATTATATTTGCTGATAAATCAGAGTATAATGGAGAATATGTACATGGAGAAATTGAAGGACATGGCACATTCAAATGGCCAGATGGAACTAAATATATTGGTGAATGGTAAAAAAGTATGATGAATGGAAAAGGTAAATTATTTTTATCAGATGGAGTTATTTATGAAGGTATTATATATATCTATTATTTAAGGGGACTTTTAAAATGATATCATGGAAGGTTAAGGAACTATGACATATCCTGATGGTTCCAAATATGAAGGTCATTTTAAAAATAATAAGAGAGATGGAAAAGGTTAAGTTACTACTTGTGATAGGGTTATTACTGAATGTGATTGGGAAGATGGAAAATTAATTATTAACACAGAAAAATCTCACAATTGAGATAATTATATATATATATAATAAAACAAATATATTATTTTTTAAATTACTTAATTTCAACAACAAGATTTATTTTTTTGTTTTGTGGTTTCAACAGCAGGATCATTTAATTAAATATATTTTCCATCTAATTATGGATCTATTTTTTAATTCTTTTCTTTTTCTTCTTATTTAGAATCATTTGATTATGATGCAAGATACTTTTGATACTCACTTCCTACCCTAACCCCAAAACTCTATTAATAGTAATGATATTAACTTCATTTTTAGGGTCTATTATTCCTTTTTGTATTTTAAATAGAATGATTTCTGCCAATTTAGTAAACATCTATTGAATTGAATTAATATGGAATAATACTTAGTCTACATTATAATTAGTTTTGGCACTTGTTTCCATAAATCCAATTTCATTGTCTTAAGCAAATTGTTTGGCTTCCTCAAATGAGACTTGACGTCTTTGATATTAAGAACATTAATATACTCCTATTCTAGATCATTTTTATTTCCTATTAATAAGAATGTAATTTGCTTATTTCCATTTTCTCTTGCATCATCAAGCCATTTCACTACATTTTCAAAAGAGTTTCTCCTAATTAAGAATAGATCTTGATTGATTACTTTGTTATATCATATACAATAATAGCAGCAGCAGATGATCGATAATAAGATCTAGTAATTGATCGAAAAGACTCTTAACCTGCCTCAATAATAAAAATATTTTAGATACTGTGTCCCATATAGACAATTTAATAGCAACATTTTAAATTCTAATGATTCTAGCTCCAAATTCAACTCCTATAGTGACATCATGCTTTGATCGGAATCTTTTGTCTATAAATTGCATCAATAGGCAACTCTTACCAACAGCTTAACTATTATTATCATTCTTTACCCATATCTCCTATAATTATGTATTTGAAGAGATACACAAAACTAGTATCAAATTTATCATTTAAGTTGCCTGTTGATGACATTTTTATAAATAATTAAGATAATATTAATTAATCTAAATAATAATAAAAATGAGTGAATAAGATCATGATGAATATTATGATGAGCAAGAAGGAGATTAAGAAGGAGATATGGAAGGTGATGACTAGGAAATTGATTTTGAAAATATGACACCAGAATAGTAATAATAATTTTTGGCAATGCATGGTAACAAACAGTTATCCATATTAATATAGGATAATATTATTAAGGAGAGGAAGAAGATGAAGAAGAAGTAGGTGATGAAGAAGTTGATGATTAAGAATAAGGGTAAAGGTAGATGAATTAAGGAATGGGAAGTTCATCTTAATTTTAATAAGATAATGCTGAAGAATCAAGACATAGTCCAGGAAGAAGAGAATAAAATGATGAATATGATCCAGATGAGATCTTAAGAAAAGTAAAAAGGGATTTATTAGAAAATGTAAATAGAATAAGAAGGGAAAAGAAACTGAATCCATTATATATAGAATTAATGCCTGCAATTGTAGCAGAAAGATATGCTTCTCATTTGCTTGATAATGATCATAGTGATGCTGAATTTAAGAAATTGTACTATTAAATAATTAATTTTGAATAGAATCGAATTTTATAAGTATAATGAAAAGAAATTAGATGATCTTAAATTGATTTATATTGTCTCCAAATTTGAAGAAGATACTATACCTGATGCATAAGTTATCTATGATTATTTTATGGAAATGGGTTATCTATTTTTTGAAGTTGAAGATGATAGAAAAATATTGCTATCTAATGAAATGAATCATATATCTATTGGTGTTTCATGTGATGATAATTAAGTTGCTATTGTTTATATTGTAAGTCATAAAGACTTATGTGTTACTAAAATTGAAGATAGTAATGATGGATGCATTTTAGTTCATGGAAAGATGCTTGAAGATTTAGTAGGTGTATATGCCTTATAAATATTACCTTTTTCTAGTGATTCTGGTAAAGTTCCTGATAAAAATGAAAATAATAAAATAGGACCTGAACATATTGAATTTGATAGATAAACTAAATGTTTTGTTGCTAAAATTGGAAATCAGGGATAGCCATGCACATATGATATCAGATAATACATTGATTTGTATACTAGAAATACACCAGAATCAATTCCTTACAAAAAAAGCACAAGAGAAAAATTAAATTTAAAACATATTGAATTAAAACTAAGAATACCAGTCATCTTCTATCCTGATCCAAGATATGCTCATGAAGAATAAGAAGCATTATAATCTCATTAATAAGAAGAATAGGCTTAATAAGCTATATAAGATACTCCTATTTAACAATTAGATGACTAAAATAGTGATGATTAAAATAAAGATAATTTATCTTAAGATGAAAATCAAAAATAAAAGGAAGATGAATTTATTCACAAATTTTAAATGCCAAAAGAATAATAATTATCTAATAAAGATATTAAAGAAGAATTAGAAATTGCTATTGCTGAAGCATAAAGATAACATGATGAACTTTATGATCACAATGTTAATTTATAATCAAAAATTAAATAAATAAGAAATAAATAAGAAGTTTATGCTGATAAAACTGGAGAAATGACAATGAATGAACATAAATATTTAAATACATTAGCTCATGTACATTAAATTAGATTAGATCTATAATAAACTTAAGATAGATATAATTAAATGGCATAAGAATTATAATCAAAATTAGATGAAAAATCAAAAAAATGTAATGAAATTAGATAAGCATTTATGGATTTGAAGAGAGAAGTTGCACGAAAGGCTGCTTATTCTAGAACAGATAAACCTATTCCTGAATCTAGAATATCAGAATGGGAAGAATAAGAATCAGCTAAAAATAAAACTTTATAAGAATTAAGACTTGATACATTAAGATTAAAAAATACTTTAGCAAAAAATTAAAAGTAATTAAAAAAGAAAGAAGAATTAGCAGAAGGTTTACATTTAATTGATTTTGAATAATTAAAGATTGAAAATCAAACATTGAATGAAAAGATTGAAGAAAGAAATGAAGATCTTCATAAATTAAAGAATAAAAATACTAAGACAGTTTAAATGTTAACACATACTAGAGAGAAATTAGGTTATGTTAAAGCAAAATTTTAAGATTAAGAAAAGATAAATTGTAATATAATTTATGATTTTATTTTAGAAAAAAAAAAGGATGATTTAGAAGGATTACGTAAAAACTTAGGAGAATAAAAAGAATCTAAAGATAAATTAAGAACTGAAAATCTTAAATTAAAATAATAGACAGGGTATTTATAAATAATTAAAATAGTATTGTAAATCGTCCTGAATTGATTTAAGATTATAGTAATAGGAAAAAAAATATTGATTAATTAAAAATTGAATTAGAGTAATTAGAGGTATTACTTATATGTTTATATAATATTTTAGCAAAAATTAAAACATATGTAGAAGATTATTGATGAATATTAAAATCATCTTAAGAAAAAGGAATAAGAATAATAGAATAAGCAAAAAGTTAGACTTATTTGATGATTTATTATTATTAAATATTGATTATCTGTTCTTGAATTTGAATTCTTAGAATTATAAATATTATGTTATAAAAATATAATTATTATTTGTTAAAATGAATGAGAAAAAGAAATCTGTATTTTTTGATAAAAGAGATGAAAATTATATTCATTTGAGTTCACCAATTTACTTTTTAGAGATGTTTACAAAAAAAAAAATAAAATGTGATATTATAATACCTTAAACAATTATATTTTCAAAAGGTACTGCAACATTATGGTTATTCAATTCAAAATCTTCTCCTACTCCACTAATATTAAAAAAGAATTCTAATAAATTGAATTTTGTAGAAGTATGCAGGGTATTATGTAGAGTAAAACAAAATGAAGATTTTCGAATTGATACTCTTACAACTCTTTTAGATATTATTAAGGCTGGTAAGAATGAAATTGCTGCTTTTGCAAGAATAAGCAAGACAAAAAAATCAATATCAAAGGTTGATTTGGTTAAAATGTTTTTAGATGGAAATATTAGTGGTTTATAAATATTGCAGGAGCATTTAGAGAATTAATCAAAAGCTGGTACTAATAATAATATAAAAATTAGATGAATTATTTTATGTTGAATATAGGCAAGATGTTATTAATTTACCTGTCAGTTATAGATTTTTTAAAAAGTCAACTTAGAAATAAGTAATTTAATAACAATTGCCAAAAAAATTATCATAATTACATATATAATAATAGACATAACATTCTGATAGTTATGATGATGGTAATAAAAATGATCAAGTTGAGTATGTAGATTGTATGTTTAAATTTTTTGATAATTAAATGAATTAAACATTGTCCAAAGTAAATAAAAATTTATAAATTTTAGATTGTTAAAAAGTTAGTTGATTTTTTAGAAAAAGCTTATAAGATTAAGGTTAAGAAATTAGTAGCTAAATTTATGCAAAATGATTAGCATATAATATATTTCTTAGGTTTGAAAGAATTATTGGTAGATTTTAATGATAATGCACCATATGAGATTTAAAATATGAAAAATGAATTAAAGGACAATAGTTCATTTGAAAATTTCTTAATTTTAATAAAAATGTTTACAAGATTAAGGAACAAAAAACCAATGAAAATACCTTAAACAATATATGAAGATGATAAAGAAATTAGTCAAAAATTATATAAAAATCTTATTGTATAAAAATGTGTTGGTGATTTTTGTGACTATATAATGGAAGAAAAGAATAGAGGTCCTCTCTAAATACGTAAAAATATTGTTACAGATTATAAAAAGTATTTTGGTAATAAAAAAATGAATGAAGAAAAGTTTTCAGTTACTTTACCACATGAGATCTCTTTTTAATTAATTCTTAGAACAAGAGAATGTTCATAAGAAGTTATAGAAGTGTTAATGAAAAATAAAATATTTACTAGAAACTCTAAGCATCATTTTTAAGAATTTGATAAAATAAATACAGATGAAGAATATCCATTTAAATTTAATAAAACAGAAGTTTATAATTTACCAAATCTCTATAAAACTGTTAAAATATGTAAGAATTGCTTTGTTGTTTACTCTTTAGCTAGTAAATATTTTGATTAGAGATTATCTAATGATTTGTAATAAAAATAATGGATTAAAAGGGATTCATCATCCTTAGCCTAACAATAAACTAGTTTAAATACTACTCATTAATAATTATCATAATTAGATAGATCTAACCTAAAAAGAAATGATTCACGAATTAGATAAAATTAAAATTAATCTTTATAGAAAATAAAAACTCAAACATCATAAAATAATGCAGAAAAAGAATAAGGTGAAAATAAAGTTAGGAAAATATAAAGTGCAAAACAATTCAGAGTGATTCAATCTGCTCATTCATAGGCTCCTAGAACATTTAAATTATTTATGCCTAATTAATAAACTTAATTAGAAAATACAAAACGGAATTGTTCCAGTTCTAAAACCAATAATATTGATATAAATAGATTAACTATGGGTTTTTTAAATTACACAAAGCCTCCAAAACCAAATAAAATTTAATCTGCAAAAATGAATTCTGGTGGTCTTTAATCTTAAAGAAGTTTAATGGAATCTTAGCATCTAAAGAGATCAGATAGTCAATCAGATTAATTTTAAAGAAATAGAATCAATAAAAGTTAAAGGTAATTGAATTCTAATAGATAATCCTTCTTTTAGGGTAAACTAAGAATTATAGAAGTTCCATAGACTCAATATTCTTTATTAGATGTTTGCCAACTCTATGATTTAGAATATCCCCCTGAAAGTGTACCAGATATATTTTTGGAGTCTGTAAATTATTTTTGCTTTGAATAATGTGCAATACCATATTTAATTTTATAACACTAAGAAGATGATTAAGAAATAAATAAGGACAATTAAAGTGGTTTAGATTTAACTGAAAAAGATCATCAGATAGTAATTTTTTTAGGAGATTTTTTTGATAATTCATTTGAATATTTAGATATTATGCAATAGAATATTAAACCAAATACTACTATTTTATTAATGAATTTACCAGGTAAAGCTTATTTTTCATTTTAGGATAGTCCTATACAGTGTTTGATCCTAACATTATTTAAGATAATTTAGATATTTCATTATTATTGGATTCATTACTTTTTGAGCTTTGCCAAAAGGATATAATTAGAAATAATGACATATATAAATTTATTGGATATGGATATGGTGGATTCTAAGTTCTAAGTTATAGTAATAAAATATTTTTAATTTAGTGACTCATGTATAAAATAATCTTCTTAAAATTGGGGGATTACTTATTATTAATGGATTTTGTGAAATAGATGATATGCTGACAGATACTTTAAAAAAATCAAAGGAAGTATTTTAAACTTGTCCTACTGATATGCCAGAATTGGGATTTCATTTCTGGAATTCTCTCATACAATCTCATGAAGAAAAATAAGACCCTAGATATAATCCAATTTCTTTGAATGGAAGATTACATATAATAAACGGTATTTTTTGATTAAATTTAAGGTCTGATTAAATCATAAAATTTATGGAATTCTTGTGTTTAGGAAATTCCTATTAAACTTTATCATGGCCTTAAAAATTGTGTTATTAATATAAAGCAAGCTCATTTAATAAAATAAAGTTCATCTTCAAATAATTCTTGTGAAATGAATTTATTAAACTTTGGGCACAAATTATAAAATTTAGAAGAACTGTTGTTTGAATTCATTTGACATTATATAATATATATTTATAGTTATTATTGTAAAAGATAAACATTTTTTTAATACTCTAATGATTTTCTTCTATGAAATTTAAACAGAAAATTATAACTTAAAATAAAAGTTTTCTAAGTTCTAATACATATTTTTAATCTAAAACAATCATCAATCAATAATTCATGATGCTCAGTCTTCATAATCGGAACATTAATCTTTACATTTAATTAAGTCAAGATCTTTAAATTGTTCATCCAAAGAAGTATTTAGATCTATATGATTTGAGGCTGTATTATTTCTTTTTTTGTTTTCAACCTTATAAAAATCTGTATAAAATTTGTCTAACTTTGAACTCAACTTATCCATTTCCTTTACTAAAATAATTATTGAATAATCTTAATTAAATTTGTATTTAAAGCAAAAATTTGATTAATTAATTTGAGTTTTTCTATATTTATTTTTAAATCATTTAATTTTATAATATTCAAAACAAAATATTCAGACCATCATTATTCATACTTCACTTCAATTAAATCCTACATTAGATGCAACTTTAATATATATTATTTTATAAATACCATCATGAATAATTATTTTTCTTTAATTTTTATTAATTCTGCTGCTTATTTATGTTGAATCTTTAATTATTCTATATTTTTTGTAGCCACTTCAATATTTTTAACAACATTATTCACATTTTCATAACTGCTTATTTATTTTGATAAATTTTCATAATGTTATCTATTAATTTTTATTTATTCCTCAATCTAATATACACTCTTCAAATTTTCTATTTCTAAATCAGTTTATTTTATTCCTTCAACTAAGAAATTTAACATAGTAATTACTTATTGATTTATTTAATTCTTAATTTTATTCTCTATCAAAATTTTATGCTTCCAGCTATCTAGTTGCCTTTGCTATTTAAAATTCATAAACAGCTATTTCTTTTTAAAATTCAGCAGCTAATTGTTGTCTTTTTATTTAGTCGATTTAATTACAATTTTTCTTCACTTAATGTTTCTTAAGGTGCTGTGATTTCAATATATTTTTTAAGGATGACTTTTAATTGAGCATCTTTATAAATCAATAAATCTTTTATTATCCTTTCTGTTGAATCTGGGTCTAATTTATAAGGTGGCTGTAAATCTCGATTCATTGTGTATATATAATTATATATATTTATTAATTAATTATTATATATTTTCTAAATTTTAGACTTTATGTAAAATAATTAAAGATAATTAGATCATTATTTTTGTAAATAATTATGTGTTTATATTTTTAGTGTAAATATATAATTTACAAACTTAAATTCTATTGATTATGCACTAAATTCATTTTTATTAAACAAAAGTTATAATAAAAAGCATTTAAATATAATTTTATCTTATTTATTATTTTTTTTAATTTATTCTATTTTTTCTTATGAATTATATCATAAATAGTTTTTATTAATCAAAATTTATTCAAAATTCTAAAATTTTAATATATTATCAACAAAATTTTATATTTCATTTTCCGAAATATGATAAGAATCCTTTTTTTTTTACTGTTTATTCATCTTCTTTAAGAGGACTTAAAGGAGCATTTTGAGAAATTATATTTTTTTTTTCTTTTTTTGTTATTTAAGTTTCAAGTTTCTTCAATTTGGATTAAAAATACTCTTTTTCAGTCAATATTTAATTATATAATAAAGTGCTTTCTTATGCTTATTTTTCAGCTCTTTTAACTTCTGATTTTAAGAAATTTATTTCTTCAGCCCAACTTAATTTTGCAGTAATAAAATGAGTTTCTAATTTATGTAGTGATTATTTTAATTATTCTTAATCTATTCTTAAATCTCTTTCTTAAGAATAATCAAGTTTTCCTTTTCTTAAATTCTATATTTCTAATAATTAAGCTTTTATTTCTTATTATAATACACCAACTAAATGTTCATAATTTTATATTTCTTCTGCTAATTATCTAAAGATAATAAAATTATATATTACTCATTTTCATGTTTTATAGAATGTAATTCTATTTTTAATTATTCTATTTCTTAATATCTTCTTTTAGTATTCACACTTGTATTTGAGATTCTAGATGATGCAAACATATGTACTAAACCATTTTTAGACTGAGGAGTTTGTGGAATTTATTAATGGAAACTATCTTCACTCTATTAAGTATTATGAGCTTTTTCTATTGATACTTCTTCAGTTAATAATTCACTTAATAAATTTCCTCCCTATCCTTATTCTTCTTATTATGAATGTTATCTTTCACTAGGTATATGTATCTTTTGCATTTATAATTATTCTTCATAATAAAATTTAGTTTCTTGCAATTATTATTCTAAATGATTAACTTATTATTCTAAATCATCAATTTATTATTAACAATTATTATTAAATTATCTAAGTTCATCCATATCTTAAATCTATTTTCTAATATTATTCTCCAATTTAACATTTAATTTAACTTATTCATCTCTTTATTTTTAAAGTATAGTTCTCTCTCTCTATAAATTAGTATATTATTTAAATGCATCTTCAGATTTTCTATCACTTTTTAATACTTATTATAATGCAGATGATAATTTCTTTTACATCTCTACATGTCTACCTTCATAAAAACTAACTTCCTTATACTTTTCATCTTTAACTTATTATAATAGTTTCTCCTAACTAACTAATAATTTATCTTAATTTTTTATTTTCTCTTCATAAAGATTGATTTAATGAAGTAAATCTTATTCTACTGATTTTGATTCATTTATTTAATGACTAATACTATCTAATACTCTTTCTGTAATTTCATGTTCTAATTTCATTAATCTTTCATCAAAATTCAATTAATCTTATTCTATTTTCTAGTTCAATTCTTATACTAATTATTTTAAATTTTATATTTTAATATCCTTTTCATCATCTACATCAGAACTATGTACTTAATCATGAAAAGTCTCTTAAATTTATGTTGAACATTCAAGTTGACTTTTTAGATCTTATATAACTTTTTCTTTTTCAACAATTAATGCAATTGCTGTTTCCTCCATTTTAACTAACTATTATTTTAATTCATCTATTTCTTCATTATCAGGCCTTCTTTTTAAATTTTAAATTTCTTTTTGCAATTTCAACTATAAATTTATTCACATAATAAACTTCATTAGCTTTATATTCTAACAATTTATTTTCAGCTTCTGACAACTTTAATTCAAGTTAAGTAGCAAATGATTAAATTTCACTCTACCCTATTGAACTAATTTATGTGGTTATTTCATTCTCTAATTCAATTGTTCTCTTCCTCTCTCTCTCAAGCTCATTCGTAAGCTTATCATTAATATTTAAAATACTTCTAAAATCTGTTGTTTAAATTGAAATTCTTAAACCCTTAATTATTTTTAGAGAGACTCAATTTCCACTTTTTATGCTTAAATTTTGCTTACAAGCTAAAATAATTATCATAATTATTACAAACATCTCTTCATCATCAGAATGATTATTGTTAGACATAGGTATATATTTTTAATAAATTAAGATAAATTCTTTTTATTATTCTTATTGTTTGATATATAGAAACTATTAAAAATAACTTTAAATTCTAATTCAATTTATATTTACTATAATAATTAACTATGGAGAAATTGTAAATCATGAGTTAATATTATTATCTATTGAGATAATCAAAATTTTATTATTTAATTTGATTAAGGATTACTTTTAAGAAAAAAGGAGAATTTTTCAATCTTTTTTAGCAATCAAATCAAAATAATAGTCCCTTTTAAATCTAATTATTTGAATTATAACCTATTATATAATATAAAATCAAATTAACTATTATATCTAATGTAATTAAATTTTCTATTGTTTACTATAATAAAATTAAAAGGAGTTTAATTCTCAAAAATATAAATATTATAAATTAATATTTATATGATAACATGATAGTATTTTATTTTTCAACAAATATCAATGAAAGTTATAATAAGAATCTAAAATGTATAAATATTATTAACAAAAATCAAGATTTACAATATTCAAACTCAAAATGTAGAAAAATCATTATCTATGATAATCGATTAGCTTAATAATTTGAAAATTCAACATAAATATTTATTTAAGTTATTTAAATGAGTCGACAAATATATGTTGGCAGATTGGGATAAAAAATAACAAGAGAAGATTTACAGAAAGAGTTCTAGAGATATGGAAAAATCAAGGATATTGATTTACGAAGCACACATGCCTTTATTGAGTTTGAAGGTCGTGATGATGCTAAGAAAGCAATATCATAAATGGATGGCAAACGAATTGGTGGTGATCGTATCACTGTTAAATCAAGAGGTAGGACGACTTTGATAGATTGATGATAAGATAATCGACATTTAGGAGCAAATGGACCAACAGCCAGAGATGTGTGTTTCAATTGTGGACGTAAAGGTCATTGGGCGAATGATTGCAAAGAAGGTTGGTGATAAAGTAGAGTTTAGGCGATTTACGTGATACATGTTACAGATGTTATTAGAAGGGCCATTTAAGAAAGGATTGTCCAAAGTCAAGAACTCCAAGTGTTACAAGAAAGTAATTTATATATTCAAGATCTTTATTGAAGGTCAAGAAGAGATACTAAAAAGAGAAGATCAACATCTTCTTCTAAGTCTTCAGATTCATCATCGAGATCTAGAAGAAGAAGTAGAAACCAAAGGAAAACTCGTCATTAAAGAAGTGTGAGTCCTAAATCATCCAGTGAAAGTGCAAATGTTTCTCATTCATCAAGAAGTTCAAGGTATTTTACTTAATTATAATAGCTAAAATGGTTGATATATATATATTTAGTATATTTTACATCATATATATTATAATAATAAATAATTCTATATGATAAAAACCTCAATTATCCATAAATCAAAAACCAATGTTGAAAAAGAATCTGAAAAACGAATTAAAGGTATTTTAAATCTAGAAGTTGTTGAAAAATTGTAAAGCCTCAATACAATACAGTCACGCAAATTTCCTAATTTAAAAAAAGAATTAAATACAGGATGCATCATTTATAATTTTCCAATAAGACCTTAAGATTATAGATACATCTATGACAACAAATAAATACCATCAAAACTTTAAACAATCTAATATGATAATGTAAGTTCATTTGATAATGCAAAATTGTAACGGCAATCTTCTTTTGACAATAATAATCAATCACTTAATGATAACTCCAAACCACTTAAATCTAGGATTAAGAGATTCTCAATTAATCAATCAATATCCCAAATATAAAAATAGATCTTATTGTTAAATAATAAAAATAATAGATTCCTATAAACTAGCTTAAGATAAGAGAATCAAATAGCATAATTACCTCCATTCTATTTAAGAAAGAAAGGTAAAATTTAATTTATTATAGCAAGTTAAAGTATGAGTAAAAACTAATCACAAAATATTGAAATTAAGTAGCCTGAACCAAGTAGAAGAGGCAAATCTGTCTCTCATATTATCTCATATGCATCTAGACCTTAAACTGGTTTACCAAGTAAAGAAAATAGATATTTGATCGAATGAAATTTTTTAACAAAATATTTATATATAAATGTAATATAATTTATTTTTTTATTGTAAACCTAATTAAATATCATTAATAATATATAATACTATTAATAATCATTATAAAATCTCAACAATCTCTTTAAATCATAAATTTAAAATAATTGATTAATATATAAATAATTTATCAATTCTATGAAATATTGAGTTACAAAGAATAATCTGAAATTTAATAAATTACAACTTTTTTGATGCAAATAAATCATCCAAATCTTCTCTTCAAAATTCTATTCTTTAAAATATTAAAAAGGGCCATAAATAATGTTGTTTTTGAAATTCATACTTTATCGACTGTCTCTAATAAAATCGTAAAAATGTAAAATATGCTATTTAGTTAAAATAAAAAATGGACTAAAACAACATAAAAGGGTATAGCAGTAAGACTTTAGTAAATCAAAAATTTTGATGTTGTCAGTTTATAAAAAGATAATAATAATATTAAAATCATTTAATAATATAATTATAAAACATAGAAACCACAATACACAATACCAATAATGATTACTAAACTTTAATAAATAAATTTGTAATTATGAAAAAACTAATTACTTTAGTGTTTATTATAGAAGTGATCTAAGGGTCAGAACAGTGTTAATGTTCCAATTTTACACAACCTTAATATTGTTCATCCTTTTAAGGATGTAATTGGAATGGAAAAAATTGTTATCAACCTAATTGCACAGAGACAACAATTTAATGGAAATGTATAACTCCTTAATGTGCTTGGTATTTGGATGCATGTCATAATGGATAATAGTGCAATTATTATACAGATAAATAAATTTGTAATCAAATATTTGGATGTATTGCAAATGATGGTTATTGTCTTCCCTATGAAGATTGTAATTATACAACTTAAAATAAATGTAATGGAATTACTCCAACAGGAATATAATGCTTTTGGAATTCATAAACTTAGAGTTGCCTTAAATTTGAAACATGTAATAAATTATCTTTGGATAATAATGATTGCAATTCTATACCCTATTGCATTTAAAAAAAGAAATAATGTGAGAGTTTTAGTAACTTAAAATGTTCTGATATGGAAAGTGTATTTTCTATCATCATTAATAGTAATATGAATGTAGCAGAATGGCTTCTTATGAATGTTCATGGTAAAATGGAAACTGTTTATATGTTGCTTGTTCTACTTATACGACTCCATCATCATGTAATGCTAATTCTTGCATTTGGAATGGATCATCTTGTTTATATTGTCCAGTAATCATTTAAATATATAAAATATAGGTTGATAATTCTTAGACAAGTTTATTAATCGTTTTCAATCTCCTTATTTCAGTAATGTTATTTTGAAATATCAGATATACATAATTTATAAATTTTCATTGTATTTTCTAGATTAACATCTTTTATATTACAATTTAAGATATATTTATTAAAATTTTGAAATTAAAGTTAGTTATATATTTAGTTTAAGTTTAACATTAGTATTTATTTAAAAAAAGTTACCCTTTCTTGTTTAATCCTCATATATTTTTATTATTAAGTATTTTTTATTAAAATAGAGATAAGGTATTATCTTATTTAAGGATTTCTAATAATAATAGAAAATGAATCTTGATTTATTTGTATTTTCTTTTTTGATTATAATTTAATATTAAAAACTCATAACTCATTTTTTTTTGACAATTAAGCAGCAGCTGATGCCAATTTATCAGCTATTTCATTTTAATTTCTTGAGATATGAGTATATCTAACCATCTTAAATAATTAAGCATAATCAAATATTGCTACTCTAATGTCTTCTAAATGTTACTGCTTAAAATTTATCTTATTATTCATTCCATCAATTATAAGCTAATAATTAATGATCTCAATACTTTACTATCCCCAAAACATTCTAAATAATTAATTCCTAAATTCAAAGTATATCTTATTCCAAAAAACAATGCCAAAAATTCAGCTACATTATTTGTTTATTTTGATAAAGGTTATGTAATTTCTTTAATTAATTTCATTTTATCAAATAATGCTATTCCAGCACCTGCAGGACCAGGATTAGATTTACTTGCACCATCAAAATAAATTGTGTATAGTTTTTCAGGTTAAATTGGAATAATTTCTAAAGTCTTTGGATAATAAAATAATAGATTTGCAAATTATTAATCTAATTACTCTAATTTTAATAATCTTTATCTACTAATAGATGTCTTCTTCATTTTATCTTCAATCTCATCCAAAATGCCATAACAATCTTTTTAGTTAATATCATCAATTTAAAACTAGTTATTTACTTTATTCTCCTATTTGTAGTTGAATTAACTATTTTATATTTTTGTATTTTCTACATTATTAGTCTTTTCGAAAACATTTTATTATTATTATTAAACACTAATTTCTCTAATTAATCCATCTTTTTCACTAAACAATTATTTATATATAATACTTTCTTTCTTTTATTAATCTGATATCAGAAATCATCATTTATTACAATTATTCAACTTGCTTCAATTCTAATAATTATTAAGCTTAATTTGCAAATTATTGTGCTTTTTCGAATTCTTTAAAATATATTAATTTATAGCCATCTGGTTTTTCTAATTTTTTTATAGCATATCTTTCTAATTAAAATACTCTAGGTTTCAAAGAATAATCTAAGAAGACAATTGCTGTTTTTAATTTCATTTAAAATATAATATAATTACAATTTAAATCTAAAAAATTTAGAGAAATAAACAATTCTAAGAATTATTTCTTAAAAAAATGCTATCTAAATATAGATATAATAATTGACTTAATTCTTATTTAATATATGGAAAATGATCTTTAATATAAATATCAAATGTTTTATTGATCTCATCTTCCTCAATTATCTCATTAATTAAATTAAATATATACCTTCTTCTTATTGATATCCATCTTCTTCTCCTTCTCTTTCTTCTCTATCTTCTCCCTCTCCTTCTCCTTCTTCTTCTAATTAATTAGGGTCAATTCCAAATAAATGTAGATTTTACTAAATTAGATATCAAAATACACTGAAAATTTCTCTAAATTAATCATTTTCATTTGCTAATTTTTCATTTTCTTCCATAATAACTTATTTTTCATCTAACATGTGTTAATATAATTATTTAAAATTTTCAATTAGTTCTTCTAATTTCTTAATTTCTTAATCTTTCTATTCTATTTCTTATAAAATATCTTCTTTATTTATATTTTAATCTTCTTTTTGATTTCCTTCTCCATTTTATAATTAAGTCTAAAATTATTCAATTAATTAATCTTTCATATTTATATCATTTGCCATTTCTTCCATTTTGGCTTATATATCTTCCAAATTATAATTCTAAAATTCTTAAGCAATTTCATCAATTTACTATTATTTTTCCAGAATCACTTATTCTAATTCTTACATTTATTTTTCATATTATTTTTTTTATTAATCTAATTTTTTTTATGTTTATGCTTCTGCATTTTTTAATTAATCTTTGAGTTTTTTAACATCAGCTGTAAGACTTTATGTTTTTTTCTTTTCTTCTTCACCTTCTTTTTTTAAATCATTCAACTTTTTTTCCAAATCTTGTTATGATTATTTTCTTTATAAATAATTATAATATAAATTTACATTTTTTTTTCAACCTCTTTATTCACTTAATTTAAATAATCTTAAGTTTATTTTAACTCTTTTTATAATTGTTAACTCTATTCTTTTTCTTCTTTTAATTAATTAATGAGTTATTAATTTTTTTAATCCTAAAATCTAAATTAAAATGAAATACTGAATTTTTTTAAGAATTATTTTAATATTCTTCATCTTTGGATTCATTTTTTATTATATTATTTTATCTTTGATTAGAAAAGTTAATTTCTTTTTGTGGTTATTGTTGTGACACTTTAACAATATTTTGAATTGGCTTCTAAACATATTAAGGAAGTTCTTATTTAATTGAAATAGGAACTTTAGATTATACTTGTTATTGTTAAAGCTATTATTTTTTTGATTAAATTTATTAATCATTTTTATTGCCTAGATTAATGGCACTTGAATTTTGTGGAGCTTTTGAATACATTTCTATTTTTAATGAGATTTCATTACTCACCTTAGTAAGGAATGATTTCTTTTTTATGCTATTGATCAATTGGCGCTTATTTATTATGGACTATTAAATCACAATTGTAACATAATCTGATCGTTTATCCTTATTTACATTATTGACATTTGATTGTTGCAGGTCTCTAATTACATTTTATACATTTAACAAAGAGTGTACTCATTAAATTTGAATTAATAAAAATAATAATAATGATATTTTTTATCTTATAAACAGTTTTAGCAAAAGAACTTACTAATCTTACAACTCATTTTCTATTCAATAAAATATCTGAATCAGAATAAATCAATATAGTTGTAACAGAGTAATTAAATATCAGAGACTATCCTTAAGCAAAGTATGTGATTGATGCTAAATTGGAATCAAAATAAAAAGGAAGTGTTTGTTTTGTTAAATAAGGATCAATATAATTTGGTGATTATTCAATCTATAGTTAAAAAATATTTGAATTACCTAATTTGCAAACAAATGATCCAGAATTATTACTAAATATACCTGTTTTGTTGAATATGGTACACATTAAAAAAGCTATTGCAATTGTGACAAGCAATAATCAAATTTTACTTTATAGAGTTAATAAAAACTCATCAAACATTATTGGACATGAAATTTAATTAGAAGCAAACTATTCTTTTCAACATTTACGTTAAGAGGCAAAAATAATTGAACCTCCATAAATGATATATACTGATTAAACATAATACATTTATTTAATTTATAGAAATTAAATAATAGGAGGAAAAGTGAATTATGATAATTTAAGTTCATTTGTTTTAAGGAATATAACAAATTAAGGATTTGAAAATGATAACAATTATTTAGGTTAAGTTAAAGTATTTGGTTGGCATATTTTTGTTCCAATTGGAGTAGATGGATTAGACATTTATTAATATGAAGAAAATGGAGAATTAACTTTAATTGGTAATATGAATTCAACTACTTTTTATAATTAAATAAATAATATTAAGATAGTTGATGTAGTATTTGGAGGATTTGAAAATTAAAAATATATGTATGTCCTTGATTAATTAAGTGGAATCACAAGATTTATTGTTTCATCTAATTCTTCTGGATTTACAGCTTAATTAGATTCAGATTTAGGTTTTATTTAAATATCTCATGGAACTACTTTAGCAGAACATAATAATAGTTATATCTTAATATTATAAGAAAGAGGAGTTATTAATACTTTAGTTGAAATAGGACTCTATTAAAATGATTGGTTTAAAGTAAAAGTTCATTATTTAACTGGTAAATATTCAGAAATAGATATCTTACCTGAATTCACTATTTTAAGAGGAAAAGATGAACACAGAATAATAAGAACAGGTATTTATGAAAAATTTGAACCATCCTTTGTATTCACATAAAAAGATAATGTAAATTAAGAGAAATAGAATTCCTTTTATGAAGAATATGTTTTTATACCAAGTCTAATTACAATGGATTTCTATGATGTTGATAAAGGAGCACTTAATATTACTAACAATTTTAATTATAATATTACAAATTCATTCTTAATAGGCATTACTTCTTAATCTATTATATATATGCCATATATCATTGAAAATCCTTACATTAGATGTAATCCAAGAACTAATAGATCTATAGGAAGAAGCTTTGATTATAAATTAAATATAAATGCAACTCATTGTCCATAAAAAGAAAAACTAATAGGTATTCCTCCATAATTAATCTTATGCCAATATGTAGATGAATTCAATCTAAAAATAACTAATGGAGATGGTATCATATATGATACTGAAACTTTGGCTTCTATCATGATGGGATTCATAGTTTTATTAATTATGTTATCTATTTTATTAGCTTACTTATATTCAAGATATAAAATAAAGAAAACTGCCTTATAAAATGATATATAAGGATTTGGAGAAAGTGTTAATAGAGAAGGATATGATATGGATCAATAGTATTCATAATAATGATATAGAACTTATTTTATTTTAATACATATTTTATTTATCATTCAGTAAAATCAAAATGTTCAATTTCTTTTTATATAATTTATTCTACTTCTTAATTTTGATTTTCAATTATTACTTTAAGTTCTTATTATTCTTTTAATTCTTATTTTTAATTTTCCAATTATTCATCTTAATTTTCTTAGAATTACATTTATTCTCCTTATTAATCTACATTTTCTTTCTCCTCATAGTCTTAATTATCCTTAACTACTTACTCTTTCTTTTCATCTTCCTCTTATATAAATTATATATCATCTCTTTATTCCTCAATTGAATTTTATTTAATTATTTTTTCGGGATAATCATTAATTTCATTAAGTTATTTTTAATCTTAAGTTGATTATTATTATTATTATTATTATTATTGAAGTAAGATTTATTATTACTATAAATATTACTATTATTATTGTAGTTATTATTATTATTATTATAGTTATTATCTCTCCTATTGTAATTATTATATTTATTCCTAGTCTCTTTATTATTATTATTAACGTAATTATTATTGTTATTGTAATAATTATTATCCTAATAAAGCCTATTCTTCCCATTCTGTCAATTAAAAGTCTTATTGTCTACCACTATTAATATAGAAAAAGAATGTAAAGTTTGAAATACTAAATTAGGTTATGAAACTAAATATTCTACTAAATATTTATTATGGTTATTCTAATTCAATTGGAACTTCAGCTCTACAAATTGGGCATTATTATTGGGCTTTTAACCATCCAAACAAACATTTTAAATGAAATTTGTGTTGACAAGGCAAACTTCTTGCTAATATCAATTCTTCATGACATATTATGCATATTTCATCTTCTTAAATATCCAAAACTCTTGGAAACAATGAATCCAAATGTTACTATATTCTTTTATATTTTATTAATTAATCTATATTCTTTTTAAGGGATTACAATGAACCTAATATTAATAAAATTAATTACTTTATAAATCTGAAAATATTTAGAATAACCAAAGATGCAAAAATATATGAAAATTGATTGTCCTAAAATAATTAACAATTAATTAAGAACAATATAATATCTTTACTATTGAATAAAGAATATCTGGTATTATTTCTTAATAAAATTAAGGTTCAGTTAATTATTCTATATTGTTGTTTATAAAGTAAGTATATTTTTATTGTAATTTCTTACAAATCAATATTAATTGAGAATATTCAATGAAAGTTTAAATTCCTCCATAAAATAATAAACTTAAAGCATAAATACCAACTTTATGGAGCATTAAAATACCAAAAAATGTTATGAGGAAATTCATTGCTAATATTATTAAAGAAAAGATATAAATTTATTAAAATTAATATACTCTATTGAAATTTTATGATGTTAGTGTTGATAATATCTTTTTAATAATATTTACTGAATGTATATAATATACTCTATAGGTAGCATATTGAAATAAGTAACAAAACCATATGGCTAAATCCAATTTATTATTTATTAAGTCATTATCAGTCATAAATATTAATGTTAATTATAATATTGGATTACATTCATGGATAAGAGTATTCAATTTTCCCTTTGTTTCATTCAATCCCATAAATCCAATCCATATCAATAAAATAATATACCAAGTTAATGATACAAAACAGAATGATCCACTTATTAAAACAACTCTGGCACATCTATTATAAGCTAACCATTCAAGTATATATAAACTATGTCTTTTACTCATATCTGGTATTTATAAAAAGGAACTTACAAAAAAACAACTTACTGCTATCACAAATAATTTAGCTATGTTTTCTGGATCTTTTATAAACTTTTAAAAAGCTATCAAGGAAACAATAATATATTTTTTAAATATTTAGAATGCCTATTTTGATTTTTATATTCTAGCTCTTTTCCTATCTTATTTTCTTTCTTATGCATTTCTTAGACCTTTAATTCTTCTTGGTTATGTAAATTCTAATTCTAGTCCATCAAAATCATTCCCTTCTTATTCTAAATATAAAGCTAATTATTTACAAATTTATTAGAATGGTTCATTTGTCTATTAAACTATTTTTGTCACTTCATCAATCATTTTTTTTAATTCCTCTTAATTTTCAATCACTTCAGATCTTCTCAAAGCAGCTATTTTCTGTTTTATTAATTCAAAGTTCTCTTAAAGTTATAAATGAAGTCTTTAATTTTCTTCACCTTAATTTCCTTATTATTTTGTGATATATTCATTTAAGTTTTCTTGAATTTATTAGACATGATCACAGAATTATTGAAATTCTTCATTATTTCTAAGATCTTCAATTTTATTTTCCTAAATTTCTTAAATTTCTTATTCTTCTTAATTCATTTAATATTTATTATAATAATATTTGTAAAAGCTTAATCTATGTGTTATATATTAAGTAAGTTAAATAAAATAATGAAGAATTTATGTAATTTAAAATTTATTTATACATTAATATCAAAATATAGATGTAACATAAGTCTCTGCTCCCTTTTAATACATATATTTTTCTATTGCATCTAATCCCTCTTCTTTTTACATCTTTTTTTATAAATACATTAAGGGAGTAAACTTTTTTTTGTCTACTGCATTTATATCTGCACCATTCTCAATTAATATTCTTATTCATATATTTAATATAATACTTTATAAAATCTATTATGCCATATTTACAAGCTAAATGTAGAGGTGTTCTAAATTTATCATCAGTACCTTCATCAGGTTTTACATTTCCATCTTTTATCAATAACTCTAAGACTTCAATAGGTGGATCATGTTTTAAAAATCTAGTGGTTTGTAATAAAGTTATAAGAATTTTTTTATCTGTAACTTAATAACTATTATTTATGAAATATCTTATTATCTCTTCATATCTATATAGAACAGCTTATTCAAATGATTCATCAATAAATATTCTTAAGAAAGGAATCATACCTGCATTTTGATTAAAAAAATTAGTCAAAGATTGTATGTCATCTTCATTCACAAATTATTTTAATTATAGACTTAAAGCTATGATTGTTCTAAAGAATTCTTCATCACATTTTGATTAATCTAATAATGCTTTTGATTAATCATAAGTCATTGGAAATCTAAATATAAGTGATTTTGTATTCATTGAAATAATTATTAATATTTAGTTAATATTAAGATAGTGATTTTAAATTACTCCTCATTTAATTTGTGTTTAAATTAATATAAATAATGAACCTAATCCAATAATTCGATTATGAATAATCAATATTTAAAATGATCCTTTTAAGAAAGCATCTTCTTAAAGATATCACATACTTTTTGTTCTTATTCAAAGACTAATTAATTTTAGCTTAAGTAAATAGATAAATTTATTTTTAAAAAGGAACTAAATTCATAATAACCAAAGTATATTTTTAAATTAAATCTTAATACAAAAGTATATTGGCAATATGAAAAATCAAATTATTAATAAGTTGGATTTGAATATAAAGGAGAAGTTAAATATTTCAATGGAGATAATGAAGGACTTTAGCAACTAAAGACATTACTAAGAAATAAAGTGATATATCGCAATGTGAGTGACTACTATTTACCAATCAAATAGTTAGGAAGAGGAGGTTCTTCAAGAGTAAAAGTAATTTTTAATAAAAAGGTCTATTTAGTGAATGATAAATTTACAAATCAATAGTTTGCATCTAAAAATGTAGAAAAAAGATATTTGAAAGAAGATGGTGGATATGTACATATAAATAAGTGAGATTAGGAAGCTTTATTTAATGAAATAAATTTGATGGCAGTACTTAAACATGAAAACATAGTAAAATTAGAAGAAGTATATGAAGGAGAGAACACATTTTATATCATATTAGAATACTTGAAAGGTGGTTCTCTTCATGATATAATAACAAAAGCAATTATACAATTAGGTTGGGATGAGATAAAAGTGATAATGTTGGTATTTTTAATATATAAAGAAAGGCATTATTAAATGGAGTTGTATATATGCATTCCTAAAATATTATGCATAGAGATTTAAAACCAGAAAATATTATGTTTAAAAATTAAAATGATATTAATGGTTTAAGAATTGTTGATTTTGGATTGGCAACATATACAACAGTAACTAATTATACATTTCCTAAATGTGGTACTCCTGGATATGTAGCACCTGAAATAGCAAATATGAAAGACCATTCAATAAAATATGATAAAATTTGTGATATGTTTAGTGTAGGTTGCATATTTTATAAATTGTAATTATTTTAAAAATAAAATTAGAATTACATCTAAAGATTTGTTTCCTGGAAATGACTATCATGAAATCTTAAAATTGAATAAAAAATGTATTATAAATTTAGATACATTGACTTTCTATTAAACACCTTAAACAGCCATTGATTTAATTTATCAAATGCTTTAAATTGATCCTAATAATAGAATTTCTGCATAATAAGCATTAGAACATCCATTTTTTACAGATACTTATTAAGATAGAAAATTGAAATTTTAATCATAAAAAAAGACAATTAAAAGTATTTCAAAGCCTTGGCAAACTTTAACATTTAAATTAGAAAAGTCTGATCAATTATATTTGCCTGAAACTAAACAAATCTCAAAATAAAATGAGGAAGATGATGTTGAAGATGAAAGAGCAACTATTAAACTTCCATCTATAAATAGTCCTAGATTTGTTCAATAAGCTAAAATAAAAAATCTAGCTTTAGCAGAAGGGTCTCCTACAGAATTACCTAAGAAAAGTGTTTTAAAGAAGTTTTCTACTTAAGAATTTGAACATCTAAGTCCAGATACATAATCTCCTGATTTAGGAAAAATGAATTTCAACAATAGCCCAAGATTTATTTAACCAGAGATAATAAAGAAAAATTTTACTTGTTCTAAATATAATTAATAATAACAAGCAATTTACGAAGTTGATGACGAATAAAAACTATGAAATTTAGACTGATATTTTACCATGTTAAAAGTATTTTTAATTTAATTACAATTAATATTTTTTGCTATAATTTTAGTATAATATAGAAGAATAAAGATTCATCCAATATAAGTATTGATATTTATTATTATAATTAGACACCAAGAATGACTAATGATAATTTTATGGATTCTGTTTCAGAAATTATATTATGAATTAATGATATATTTGCTACTGAAGCATTGAATGGTTATATATGCTTTTATTAAATTCTTATTCATCAAAATTATCTTTAGACTTAAATATCTCTTGACTTTAAAAGTTTAATAGATTAATAAGAACAGTAAAATGATTATCTTATATCTATAGTATTTTCAATTTGTGGTAAAAGTGATTTGAATGTTTTAATTTCTATGGGTTTTGATAAGAAGTTAAGATTTGTGGTCATTTAAATAGAACACAATGGGAATGAAGTTATCTCCACTTTATGAATTAAATTTAACTAATATTAGAATTGTTGTGGAGTATAATTAAAAAGAAAGAATATTTGAATATGTTCATGTAGATTATAAAATTAAATGGTTTTGATGTGATAAAATTTAGAGGTAATATATATAACACTGTATCTATAAATATATTTAAAGTTGAGGATTCTAAAATAGGAAATCGATTATAAATTAGCACCTTATCTATTGTCCAATAATTAAAAATAAATGAGAATAGCAGTTATTTTATGCAAAGTTCTTCAGACAGTACCATCATATTTTAGGATCTAAAAAAGAAAAAACAAAATTAAAACTATATCATTTGATTCTTCAGTTTTTGCAAGTCAGGTTTCTTTAAATAGTTATTTTTGGCCTCTCCTTTAGATAAAATCTCGTTGGAATTGAAAATAGATTTACAAATAATGTTAGTACAATTTTTATAGAAAACAATAATTATTATATATTTGATAAACTTAATTTATTTATATTATATTGATCTTTGTAATTTACAATCCCAACATTCATATCAAGTTTACTTTATTATAAATCTAAAAAATTAAGCTTTCGATCTTAGAACATTGTTCTATACTTCAAAATAGTAATTTCTTAGTTGCAATTATTTCTTCTTTTCTCTAGTAATTTACTATTTAGGTAACAGAACTTTCAATATTAATATTATCAATTTATCTACTTTGTCCATTTTTATGAAATTTCATATTATAATTAAAGAACTTATGAATATAAATTTTATCATTTGATATATGATTTACTCAATCATCTAATATTTTGTATATTGATTCTTTTTATATTAATTTAATAAACATTTCTAAATATGGGATCATCTTTTTGTTTCCAACCATCTTAAAAATCAAGAGATGAACTGAAATTAATAACTAACAAACAATATAAATTAAATGGACCTCCTCATTTATTCAAACCAACTCCTATAGTAAATATTTCGATATTCGATGAACAAATTGAGAAAGAGGAATCACCATAAATTGAAATTTTAGAATAACCAAACAATGCATCAAATGATTAATAATTTTCTTATATCGCTGAATAATCAGAAGAAATTGATAGCTCTTAATAAAATCCTTGGATAAAAAAAACTTATGCTATTGAAACTATTAATGTATCTAATTTTAAAAATGATGAAAATAATAATAATAAAAACAATATTTCTTAATAAACAAATTTTCATAAAGAACATAATATATAGATAATAGGGAAAACTAAAAACATGAAAGAAGTTTCAATTATTTCTATCTAATAGGGATCAAATACAAATGTAACTTATGACAAATAATAATTAAAAAATAAGACCCAAAATAAGAATAAATGATAAAAGATTATAAATTATCTAAATTAATTATCTTATTAAATTCTAAAAACTTTAACTAATATAGTTAAATGATATTTATATAATCAATAAAATAGCAAATAATAAATAATGACTTTGAAATTACCACTTTAATAGGTATATCTACTCTCTAATATTATAAATAATAAGGATAATTTATTTAGATTTTTTTGTTATAAATTATGAAGATTAATACTTTTATTAATTTTGGTTACCGTTTCATTTTATCAATATCACACCAAAATTATAATGTTCATAAACATTTAATTAGAAAATACCTCTAAAATCTGAGTTTCTAATTTATTCTTTTTTATACTTTATTATACTTTATCTATTAAAGTTTACAATTCATTAATAATATTGATAAAAAAATACATGAGTGTTATATAAAATACTTCTTAAGAAATTAGAATTAATAATCTTTAGACAGATTTAAAGTAATTGTCAACAAATACAAATTTATATATGCTTTAATCAAAAGATGAAATTGCTACGTTAAATGAGAAGTTAAATCAAATAATAAATTAATAAAGTCAGAATACTTCTGTAAATAATGATTCTATTGTTAGAGCATAAATATTATCCAAGAGAAATTGAATTAAAGAGTAGAAGAAATTTTTATTGAACATGAAGCAAGTCTTATTAGTAAAATAAAAGGAATTGAAGAGTAAAAATTATTGTAACATGAGGAAGAAATAAAAAAGAGAGAAGAAATGTTCAATAAATTTATATAGCTGGATTAATAAGTAGATAAATTGGATAAAAAATTTGAATTAAAGGCCAACGATAAGTTTATAGTTAGTACAATATAAAATAATCTAATGAATAATCAATTATTATAACAAACATTGATTGAAAAATCTATTAAATTAATTGATGATCTAATGAAATAAAAAATTGAAGAAATGTAAAAATGGACAGATGAAAAAATTTAATAATAATATTATTAGATATAAAACTTTTCAACTTATCTTAGAAAATCAGAAAGAGTTGTAGAAGAACTATAAAGTGCTATTACACTTACCAAAAATTCAACTATATAATTTGAAAAGGAATTTACATAATAGATCAATGATATTTCATAGAAAAATTAAATTTTTAAGGATACCATTTAAATGCAAACTAAAGGGTAATCATTCTTAACTATTTTAGAATGACAACTCAAAGTACATAATTAAAATAATAATTTGATTAATTAGAATAAACTCTTTAAAATGAGTTCAATAAAATACATTAGAAATAAGAACATATATAATCTTAAATTTAAACAGGACTTGATTCAATGAATAATTATATTCAATTTTGTTTGGATAGTTCAGAGTAAAAAGTGTTTTCTCAATGCAAATAAGAAGATTAAAATATAATAGAAAAACTTACAAATTACTTTGAGAAACGATTTTAAACAATTCAAGAAAAGACAATCTTTTTAGAACAGGAAATAAATAGTAAGGCAGAAATTTGTAATTAAACTAAAGATAAATTAAATAATTTTTTAAAAGGTTAATAGGTTCATTAACGGTTATATCAAAAAAAGGATGGAATGCCTCAATAAAGTTAGAAATAAAGTACAAAGGATTAGTTATTAGTCATTGACAATTTATTTAGATATATTTCATAGATATATACTTAAATACATAAATCAATCTAAATACAAGAGAATGACTAATATTAAACTATTCAAGAATCTACTAGACATTCATAATCTTGTTCTTAGGTTATCTTAATTGCAGAACAATCAAATTCAACATAAAAAATAAATGTATCTCCAAATAAAAGTCCAGATAGAATAGAAAAATTAAATACAGAAAAATAGGATGTAAAAGATTTAAGAACATAAATATCATCTGTAGATAGAATTCATGGGGAGATTCATAAAAATTATGATAAAAGTCCATATCCTACCATAGAAAAATAAAACAAAGTAGATAAAATTGGTGATGAGATATTTAGTGATTAAAAAATTTAAGAATCAAATCGCTATCCATTATTAGTAGTTGGAAGAAGTATAATTATAAATTATCTTAGCTTAATTATTGGATATCAGACCTTAATAAGATTTAATGTCATTGTAATAAAAGGTTAAAAAGGTTTAAAGTATTTTAGGAGTAGATTTACTTGGTTAAAGACAGTATAATAATCCTTATTAAGCTTAAAGATGTAATTCTGCATAGAAAAGACTTCCTAAAATTAGTTCTAAAAATTTAAACTTTAGCATAGATTGAAATGAAATTTATGTTATCGACATTATCATCATACTCTTTAAATATGTTTTAAACAAATTAATAACTATATAAAGAATAAACTATATAAATAAATTTAATTTTCTACATGCTGAATTTAAAGAAGCATTCTGAATAAGATGTGGACTCTTTGATTGAGTCAATGCTTAGATTGATTGAATACATGAATAACAACCCTTCTATAAAACGTTAAATTTTTGAATCATTCAATTAAGAAGATTTATAGAAAATTTTGAAGAATTTGAATGAAAAAAAAAGCATTACTCTTCGTAAAGTTTCTTGCATATTTTTATGTATTGTACTTTAGAATGAAGAGAATTGTGAAAATTTTATGAAACTTTGTGATTTACTTCCAATCAATTCTAAGATTTCTTTAAATGGTATTCCTGAAAAAATGAGTTAATACATAACAAGTGATTTGTTATAAAAGCTGAATTAGGTTTAACCTTCTGAAAATAGTTTATGTTGGTTCTATACATTATAAATGGCAAAAGAAAAGTTACCAAACTTAGCTTATTTTTAACTTAACACAAAAGAATTGAAAAAATCAATTAATGATTTTATCGATCCTTCTGAATGCATGATTGGAACTACTTATAGAAAACTTCCCATAAAGCCCCTCTAAACAGATACTTAAAATTGGAGCAATAGAAATGAGCATCATCATAAAATGAACATTTCTCCTGTGAGTAAATAAATGGCTTCATTAATCTTGCCTTTAAAGGAAATAAATAATCCTAAATATTATTAAAGATATGTCGCTAAATCTATAAATTAATAGTAATTTAAAAACATACTTTCGAATACAGCTAGAGCAGACACATCTTATGATAAACATTAACCAAGATCAGAAATTTTGAAGAATAGGTATTCATGATCAAAAAATTCTATTTGAATTTAAAGTTTGTATCTATAGATGATTAAATATATCTATATATATTAACATAAAGGCTTTCTTTAAATTTTAATTTTACAATAAATACCTAATATTAAAATTATTATATAGAAATATGGATATTAATTAGAAAAGAAAGCTAAAAGTCAAAACCATTTCTTAATAAGTGTTTGAGCTTGAGGTGCCCCAAGATGTATTCAAATATTAAAATAAACTTAGATTACGATTGCAGACTTAAAAAAAGAAATTTTTACTAAATCTTAAGTTCCAATAGATAGATAAAGATTGATCTTTTTGGGTAAAGCACTTCTAGATAATCAAATATTAAATGAAATAAGTATTTAAAAATATCAAACCATTAGTTAAGGAGGATGATTAAACAATACATTTGATGGCCATTACTAATCCCTAATAACCTTAATAATAACCAAATTAAAATTAAACTTAATAGTAATAATAGAGAATGTAATTTATGCCTGGTATACAAACAACTACATAAATTCATATAGGAGGAGGAGGTAAGTTTATTATATATTTCTGTATTAGATGGCTAGCCCTTTATCCCACCAGAATTAGCCAATATTCTATCAATGTTTGGTCCACCTATCGCAAGATCCTCATAATAATAATAGCCTTAATAATAATAAGCTCAGCCCACTCAATAGAGTTAATAATAATAACAATAATAATAATAATCACAATAATAATAATAATAACAATAATAACAATAATAATAACCATAATAGACTTAGTAAAATTAATCTGAGCCTAGATAATAACAATAAACACAATAATAATAAAATGCACCATAATTATAATAAGTAACTCTATTGCCAAATACTTAATCTGGAGTTGGAATAAATCTTCCTTAAGAATAAATTCAATAATTGAATAACTTACTTGGCAATTTTTATCATTCATCATTACTCGGTTTATAATTTTAATTACCATAAATGACTGAGCATAGAAATAATGTTACTGTCTTAGGTCATTATCTTCATTAATTTTGTTTTGTTATTTAAAGAACTTTACCAATATTGTAAAGAGTATCAGATCTTTTAATGAGGGAACCCTTTTTGACTTCTGAAAATGAAAGAAGAGAAACAATGTAATTAAGCAGGGACTCAGCAACCATTGTGTAGTCAATTAATAGAATGACAAGTGACTTGTTTTCTGCTTTGCTTCGATTTTTAGTTCTTGGATCTACTCCAGGATAGTTTTAACTATAAGTTCCAGTCTAATTATTATAAAATAGTACTCAAAATAATGGAATTAGTAATATATCAAATGAGCAATCAACTAGAAATCTATAATAACAATAATCATAATAATAGTAAAATCAATAAGCTTAATAACAAAATTAATAATCATAATAATAATAATAATAATAATAATAATAACATCCATAATAACAAACATAATAAAACTTATTAAGCTCATTAGGATAACTATTAAATTAATTCTCATAAAATCCAAACTTATCATAAAATAATTCATAATAGATTTAAGTAGAATAATAGGGAGATCAAATTATTATTGATGCATAAGTTTTGGAAATTGATGCAGGAAGTGAATAAGAATCAAATTAAGAAGGAGATCAATAATAAAATAACAATTCTTTAAATGCTCTTAATAACTTAGTTAAGTAAATATTTTTTTATATGATATAGCAATTTATTTAATTTAGAATAATAGCAAAATCAATATTAACCCCAGTAATCATTTTAATCTCCATAATAATAATAATAATAATAATAATAATAATAATAATAATAACAATAATAATAACAATAATAATAACAATAACCTTAGAATACATAAAATATACCTCAATAAGCCTAATCTATGATGTCTGGTTTACTTGGAAATCTTGGCCTTGGAAATTAATAAGGAGGAGCTAATTTATTTACGATGACTTTACAAGAATTAATGATGTAAAATTATGCAAATAAAATGGAAGAAGGTGAAATAGAAATTTTATAAATATTTTCATAAGTGAAAGTAGGAGATATAATGGCTGCTTAAGTTTCAGGCAATTATTCATTTTTGGATGCATTACAAGGAAACATTAAAGAAAATTTACATAATTTAATTGGAAAATTTGAAGGAAGAATTGAATTAATTGAAAAATTGGCAAATTCATTTTTATCAACAGTAGTTCCTAAAGGAAGTCAACAACATTTAGTTATTGAAGGATTTGAACCAAGAATAACAGCTTCTGAAGCTCTTGTAAAGCATATCAAATAATTTTTCATGATTATTGAAAAAGATTATACAAATAGTGTTGAAAAATTTAGTGATGCAATGGTCAGTCAATTCTTTAAAATGATTGGAGAAACTGCATATGAAGTATCAGAAGGATTAGTTCATGGTCTTGATGATTACAAAGTGATTATATAGTACTTATAATATTCATAATTAGAGCAAATGTAGATGATTTATTAAGAAAATCTATTGGGCCAGAAATTGCTGTAATGTTTGGTGGTATGTTGTTTATGATGCTTTGGAGTATGATTGAAAGATCATATAATTAGTATAAAAAATCTCTTGAATAATAATAAACTTTAATACAATAAGAAGAAGTTTTAACAGAGGAATAAGTAAGTAAAATTGAAATATATTATTAGTTATTGAAAGAGATAACTGAAGCCAGTTAAGCATGTAAACAAAATATTGAAATTAATTTTTCTAACGAATATAAAAAAGGAGATCCAGGTTATAAAGATTTCGATTGATATATATGAAATTTGTACAAGAATATAATCATAAATATATCTACTTGTAAAAAGAATATTTTTGAATAAACAAATATTATTGTTTATAATCTATTTGGTAATAAAAAGAAAATAATTATATGATTAATTCAATAAATAAATAAAAATCATCCAAAAACTGCTTTTGAAAGAGAAAAACCTTTATTTGATGGCTTTTATGTAATTGGTTTTATTTGTTGCTTTTTAAAAAACAAATATTTTTGAGTGTTATAAAACAAGCTATTTTCATTTTCTGGTAACTCTTAGTATTTCTTTTTTAATTTCAAATCGCTAATTTCTTTCTATAATCTTTCAATTTTTTCGTTAATATTCATTTATTTAATTTTTAATTATGAACTTTTAATTAGCTTATTCTTAAGGATTTTTGGAATTACTATTTCTAATCTTAAATCCTTCATATAAATTAGTTTTATATAGATGTTTAATGCTATATTTTGCTTATAAAGCTGATCACTAATTTTATAGGAATAATTCACTTCAGAATATTAATAAGAAAACAAAGTTCAATTTGGAAATTTAATAAATACTTATAACATTTTGTTTTTTCATCATGTATCCATAGGTGCATATAATTTTAAAAGAATTTATAAGTATATTATTTATGCATTTATTGGTGTAATAATATCCAAAAATGCTAACATTTTGTGAATCATATGCATTATCTTAATATATAATTGAATACTATTAATTTAATGGATAGAATATGTTTGAATATTTATCAGAGTTAGTTTTAATGCTATCAATATTATCTTATATTTTGATAATACTAATTCATTAAATACCAATAAAAGAACTTGCTTTTGGATTTACATTTATTGCAATTTTTAAAATAAACTTTTTCTCTATATACTATTATTTATAATATAGAGGACATAGTTTATCTATTTTAATTAATGAAATAGCAACACAAGAATTTGGTACATATTTTTTTTTATAATTTCTTGGATTGATGTTGGTGATTCCAATAAGTTATCTAAATTGGAAGAAAATTATTTAAAGAAAACTATTCCATTTCTAGATATTTTTCATTATATTATTAGGAACTTATTTGAATATTAATTATACTAAATTAGCCTTGGCAGTATTTATTTGGTTTTTCATTGTTTTTGAGGGATTGAGATAATATTATAGAAATGATATTGAGATTCTAAACAAATATTCTAAATTTTTATTATCATTTTGTGACAAAAGAGATTCAGAAAAATTAATAATAACTCAAATATATTTATTAATGGGTGTATCACATTCAGTATTTTTTAGTGTTACTAATAAATTTATTGGGTATTATTATTTAATATTATTTAATTAGTATTATAATTTTAGGGGTAGGAGATTCATTTGCTGCTATAATTGGATCTAAATTTGGAAAATTAAAATATCAAAATTAAAGATCAATTGAAGGAACAATAAGTTTTATACTTGGATGTTCTATTGCAAATTACTTTTTGAATGGAAATATTCAATTATGGATAATAGCTGCTGCAATAGAAGCTTATACAGCATAAATTGATAATTTGATTTTACCAAAAATTTAACTTAATTAAATTGTTTAGATGATTTAATTATGAAGAGACAATTATTTGTTTGAAAATTGTATTTATATATACCTTGAATATGTATATTTAAGTTTAATTTAAATAGATATTTTTGGTAATAATCATATATGATTTAATATGTTATTATTAATAATTATATTATAATTAGATTATTGTTTATAAAAGTATAATTAAAAATACAATATTGTTAATATTTTTAAGAGTTTATTTTTTGTTTATTTTTTTGTCTGATTAGTATAATTATTTAATTAATTTTTTTAAATAAATGTCAAATAAAATAGAAGAGGAGAAAGTGCCTGCTTAACAACCACAACAAATACAAAAAATTTTTGATGAAGATGATGATGATTTTGAAGAATTTGAATAAGAGGGTAACTATTATTATATGATAAATTATAGATTTGGAAGTGAATCATGATTTGAAAATTGATATCAAATAATGGAGAGAGGATTGGGATGATGAGGATTTGACAGATGAATTTTCAATTTAATTGAAATAAGAATTAGCCCAAAAATGATATATAATATTAAAAATTTATGGACTTTTATTAAATCGCAGCTAGAAATTAGTTAAATTCCGATTCTGCTGATTATGACATCATTAATATTGAATACGCTGGAAAAGATTGTCCAGAATATGAATTAGACATTAAGTAAGATGAATTTGAAGGGAATCTTACAAATTTACCAAAAGAATATTTGGATAATTACTAACATTAATAAGAGAACTTTATTTATTATAAAGTTGAGATGAATGATTCTATTTATGGATTAGAGCTAAAATTTGAAATAAGGTATTTTTAATAATTCATATTGATTAGTGCAATCTAAATTTTAAGATTAAACAATTTATCTGAAAATTCTATATATCCAGGAATGACATTAAAGATACCTTTAAAATCAGATCTAGGGAAACCTTTAGAACAGAATTCAAAGAAATTTGATTCCTCTATTTATCCTGCCCTTTATATTACTTAAATTGGAGCTATAAAAGGCTAATTTATGATAACATCATCCTTTGTGGCATTTGAGCCTGAAAAATATTGTAAATAAAATGATGAAATAATACTTAATGCTTAAATAAGAGATATAGAAAATTTATATCTTTAAATTCTATTGAAACATATAGTTTTAGTTGAATAATAAGAATTATCATAGTTTTTTTAAAAGAAAGTTACTATAAATAAAAATAATGTAATCACAATTATTGCATAAACAAAGAAATAGAAGATTGTTGTTGTAAAAATAATGGAAGATAATCGTATTGATGAATTTTTAAATCTAATTAATTAAAAATTACAAGATTATTATAAAAATGTAGGATAAGAATATCAAATTAGTTAAAGTACAACAGAATATTATGATTAAAAAACAATTATTCCATATCATTTTGAAATGGATGGATAAATGTAAAATATAGAGTAACCAAAATGTATTTAGAATTATTATTATTAGAGGTTATTTGTCGAGATTCTTAATAAACATAATTAGAATCCAAATCAGAAATTGTAACAAGAGACAAATTCATAAGTATTTCGACCCATTTACCTTTTCTATTTAAAGGTTAAAAATGGCAATGTATTTATTCTTCTATTTAACATGGTTCGTCAATTTTAACTCTAATGAGAAAAACTGAAAATAATTTTCCATCAATTATTCTAATAAGAGATTTAGATAATTATTTATTTGGTGCTTATTTATCAGATGGCATCAAAAATAGTTATGGAAAATTTTATGGTAATGGTGAATCTTTTCTATTCACTTTCAAAAACAGTTAAGATATTAAAGTTTATAAATGGACTCATATAAATAATTATATTACATTATGTGATACTGATGGATTAGCTGTAGGTTGTGGAGATAAATATGGATTATTTATCAATTCAGATTTATCTAATGGATATAGCTGTCATTGTGAAACATTTGATAACGATGTTCTGTCAAAAAATAACAAATTTGTTATAGAGAGATTAGAAATTTGGAGCATAAGTTATAATTGATAATTATTAATATATGCTTAAATTATAATCAGAAGTTTTTTAAGATATTGAAAAAATCTTATGGCACTTTACTTTATACAATAATCTTTCTTTTATTCTTTTGGTTCTAATTTTTAAATATTTTTTTTAAATCACAAGTATTTAGTAATAATAAATCTAAAATTCTTTCTGTAGATTATGGATGTTCTTTTTATCCACCACTTTTTATTTTATTAAGGTCTTCTAAACATTTTTCAATACTAAAGTTATTTTATTTTGCATTTGTATTTTCAGAGATTGCTGGCAACATAGTTACCTTCATTTTATCATGGTTATTATGTTATGGTGATTATTTCTTATTCAAAACTGGAAGAGAATATCTTTTAGATTATTTTTCTAAATTATAACTATTCTAAAAAGGGTTCTAAGAAGAATAGTTATTATATTTACAGAACCTCTTTTAGAACTTTTCCAATACTAATTTTATTATCCATGTTTTATCGATTCTCTTAAATGTAATATAAACTTTTTTCTAATGTTTTTATTTTCTTTAATTCTTCTAAACTTACATCAACTGAACTGTTATATCTGATGTTATATCCACTCACATCCCTGTTCAATTTTATTGTTTTATTTTTGATTTGATGTGGTTAAGTTACTTTATATATCTAATGAATAGTAGTTTTATCAACTGACTTTCTAGGACTCAAGACAGGATGTTAAGTATTTACATGAACAGAGTATTTGTTATCATATTAAATATTATCTATAGAATTTCTTAAACGAAGAGCTAAGCTTGATCTCATTATATTACTGTAAAATTTTAAGTTTATATATCAAATATTTTACTCTAATGATTAAATAAGTACTCTTATATTTCAATTCTTTTATACTTTCAATATAAGTTCTTTATGATTAGAATGTTTTCTTTGTATTTTTTTAATCACTATATTTCTATCCTAATTTATAAATCAACACTTAGAATCATAAATTAATAAACTCAATAATTTTTTATTATAATCATACTTTTTTATGTATTTGATGAGATACAAATAGTTTAAATAAATTGTTTCTAATAAATATATAGTAAAATCTTAAAAGAGATAGAAATTTAAAGGATATATGAAAATTATTAATATAATACTATAATTGATTTTTATTATTTATGATTTCAACTCAACAAGAAGGGAACTCCTTATTGAAGGATTTAGAGAGAATTTAAAAAAAAGCTAGGATATCTAATAAAATAATAAATAATTAGTTAGATCAAATCATAGCAGAAATTGAAGAAGCCAAAATAAGCAATGACTACTCTTAATTAAAAGATAAATTACAAGTATTATATTTATTAAGGAAGAATTATAAACCATTAACAAAAATAAAATAAACTAATAATGAATGCTATGCTTATATTTCTAAGATGGGTAAAAACATGGATAAATTATATAAAAAAAATTTATAATATGGGCAAGAACATGTTGAATTAGATTAGAAAGTTTTGACAAAAGTGAAAAATTACAATTAAATATTTAGTTAATAAAGAATCATCTTCTGAGAGATGGAGAATTTGAGGCTTACGAGATCTTAGTAAAAGAATCAGGTTCAGAAGAATCACAATATCATTAATTTTTTGCTGAAGTCTAAAACATAGTGAATGATCTAAAAGAAAGGAAATTAAATTCAGCTATTTAATGGGCAGAATAAGGAGAAAAAAAGTCTACTAACAATCTTCTTTATGAATTATTGAAATAAAGAGTAATTTTATAATTTATACTTATAGGTTATATAATTAGTATAAACTGAAGGTATAAATGCAGCTGTTTATTTTATGCGAAATAATTCTTCATTTTAAGAATAATCATAAGGTAGATTGTATGAGATTTGTTTAATTACATATTCATTACTTTTATGGCCAAATATAGAAAATACAAAATATTACTATTTATATGATGATGAGAAGAACTGGCCTAGAATTCTAAAACTATTTTTAGAAGTTGCTTCTAAATCTTAAAGTATTTATCAAAATTATTATAGATATATTGATTAAATCGGAAATTAGAACTGTATTTTCTGCTGGCTGTTTAGCTATGCCTAAATTAATTAAATATAACTAAATAACAAGAAGTAATATATTTTAGAAATAATGAAATAGATAGATCTTCAGAAGTACTTGTAAATGATATCCCAATAGATATAGAAATTGGGAAGGAATATAAATATCATTCATTTTTTGTATGTCCTGTTTCAAAAGAGGTCACAACCTCTGATAATCCTCCAGTTTTATTAAAGTGTGGTCATGTCATTTCTAAATTATCAGCTCATAAAATGATAGCAAATAAATCAAAATTTAAATGTCCCACATGTCCAATTGAAACAAAAGGTGCTGATTTACCTGAACTTATATTTATTTGATAAATACAATACCTAATAGGATTTTTATTAGAATTAATATAATATAATAATTTCAAATGGGTAAACCGTTAACAGCAGAGCTAATAGTTCAAAAAACAAAAAATGATCAACTTTTCTAAATAAAAAATCTTAATTTATGGGGGAATGACATTGATGATTTGAAAGCTTTAAGACAATTACCAAATTTAGAAGTTCTTTCATTATCTGTGAATAAAATTTCAACTCTCAAAGATATAGGTTGTTGCTAAAAATTACAAGAGCTTTATCTCAGAAAAAATTGTGTAAGTGATATAAAAGAATTGAGATATTTAGTACATTTACCTAATTTAAGAGTTTTGTGGTTATAAGGTACTCATTTCAAAAATTACCTTAGATAATCCTTGTGCAGATCATCCTAATTATAGAGAAATAGTAGTCAAATATCTACCAAACTTAGTCAAACTTGATAATACAACAATAACAAATGAAGATAGATAAAATGCATAATCTGTCAATATTTTAGAAGATGATTTTGAAGAATAAACTTAGAATAGTAATAACTTGAATCGACCAAAATCTAGTTTAAAAGAATCTCCTAAAAAATAACCATTTATTTTCAATCAACAAGAATAATAAAGGCCTGCAACTCCTGAAATAAATTCAAATTAATAAAATATCTTAAATAATAATAAGAATATAGAAAGAAATGAAAATATACTTTGTGCTGTGCTTTCTTTAATTAAAGAACTTGATGATGGTTCTTTGGAAGTTGTTAAGAAAGATATAGATAGAAAATTACAGAAAAATAACCTTAAGCGAATTCTTTGAATTAATATAACAGAGCTCATTATTCATTTCTTTTTTTTGCTAAAACTACATAATTAAATATTAAGTTTACTTTTTAATTTAATTGCATTAAGTTATTAGTCTTCTTCCGAATCCTATTCATTTGGAGATTGCTTTTCAATTTAAATATTTTCTACTTCTTTATCCTTCTTTTCAATATCATCAAATTTCTGTAGTTATTAGGTTTTTAGTAGTGCTTTCATTTGAGCAATGAAATCCTATTTACTCTATAAAGGCAATTACACTTTCGATTAGTCATCTATAGGTACAATATTTTGCTACTAATCATCTTGGTTTGTTTATTGTGCCTATAACTAAGGCTCTTGATTTGTCTGTGAATTTTGGTGGAAATTGTCATCTCTAATTTATTCGTTACCTTTTAAAATTTATTACAAATTATTATTGTTGTTTAAATTTTGTTCATTTTCATTCTCAATCTCCATATTGGATTTAATCATACCTCTATCTATATATTAATCTTATTCTTTTTTTGAATTTTAATCTTCTAATGATTTCTCTTAATCATTTTATTATTAATCTTTTTCTTTTATTTCTTTATCTTTCTCTTTATCTTTCTCTTTATCTTTCTCCTTTTCTTTATCTTTATCTTTTTCATTCTCTTTTTCTTTTTAACTTTCTCTTTCCCTTTCTCTATCTCTATCCCTTTCTTTCTCTTTCTCCTTCTCTTTTTCCTTTTCTTTCTTTTTTTATTTTTTTGATAATTTTTTATCATTAGATTTACTTCTAGATCTACTTCTAATAAAATAGTAATTATATAAATACTTCTTTTTCTTTTTTTTATCCTCCTTTTTCTTTTCTTTATCTTTATTTTTCTTTTTTTCAGATTTATTTTTTTTATCTTTACTTTTTTTTTCTTTTGATTTACTTTTCTTTTTTATACTTTTTTTTTCTTTATTATTAGGTGATGGTTCTTATTTTTCTTTATTATTTTGAATTGGCTCTTGTTGTTAAATTAATTAAGGCTATTAAGATTATTATTAGGATAGTTAAAGAGAATTTTATTTTTTAGTTTCTAAAGGTCTTTCAATCTTTTCAGGCATGCCATAGATTTCGCTATGTTAAATTACATAAGCTACTCTATTGGCTTTAGCTAATATCCTTCTTGCTTATCTAAAATCCATTTTTTCAAATTCATAAATATTATAAATGGTGGCAGCTACTTACTCTATTTATTCTAAAGTAGCTTCTAACAAAATCCACCATGGTTAAGTGGGCATAGGATGATTACAGACCCTCAATGCTAAATACAATGCTCCTGCTGCAATAACTTAAGGTGGAAAATGTACGCATAAATCAGTCATGTATGAATCGTTCAAGTAATACCAAGCTTTTTGAGCCACCTGCTTATCGACCTTAATAAAATGATAAAATGATTCTATGAACTTATGCGGATGATCTGAAACTCTAAATAATTCAAATCCTAGTTCTTTAAGAATAAGTTTTTCTTATTTAATTATGATATCCCTAGCCATAAATATTCATTTTACAATGGAGCTTATTTTTATTTTTGAAACACAGAGCTAAATGCACCTGCTATATACCATGTTTTTAGTAATGTTTCTTCAACTTTGCCTGCCAAATACAATGAAGCCATTGAAATTTCGCGGTAATCAAAATCCACGAAAGAATTCCTAAATATTTTGACATCATTAGTAATACTTAGCAAAAAATCTATGAAAAATAACTAAGCTTGTAATGGCTGTTGTTAATGGTAATTTTAAGTGATTGCAGGCTTGGAAACAAATTTAAGCACCGTGCATTCTTAGGGCCTATTCATCCTCATAACTTAAACCATCTGCTTAAGTAGGAGTTTGAATGTCCATTGGAATGTAAATATTTTCATGTCCTTCTGGGGTGATTGTTTCTAGTGATAAATCCGAGCTATGTAAAAATCTTTCTTTTAAACGATGAAATAAATATTTTTTTTCATACTACTCTTTTGTTAGGCCCACATTTTATTCTATGCTCAATATTTTTTGACGGTCATGACTTTTGGATGACATTAATTTTCTTTATTTAATAAATTATTATTAAATAATATGTTTTAAATACCTTTCATTAGATTTATATTTTATGCAAAAAATCCCTTATTTCTTGTTTTACAATAATTCAATAAATTATTTATGGAATGGATCTAAATATTTTATAATTAACCTTATTATTCTTCTACTGTAATAATATTATTTCATCATTAAAACTTTGTTAATAAATTCTTTTTTTCATTCTCCTTAGTTTCAAGCATAATTTACTCTTGAATGCAATCAATGAGAACATGAATGATTTTAATTGATTTCTACAGTGTATCTTTTAATAAGCAAAAAACTTTTAAACTTTTGAAATCATTTCTAATAAATTTGGATAGAACAATTAATTGATGAAAATTTATCAAAAAAGTTTATTTTGAGAATATTTATATTCAAAAAAAGCTGTTGTTATGACTATGATCTCATAACCAAAATTTTATCAGTAATTTAAAAGATTAAATATAAGGAAATGTGTTAAAATGATAGTGAGCATACAAAACTTGATCATTTTATATATTTAAAATTTTTAAATAATTTTATTATCATTGTATTTTTTAATTGATTTTTATCTTTTTTATCAAACATTATTACTTTATAATATCATTCTAACTTAAAAATAAAAATATAACTATAATATTATTTTTGTTGGTAGTTGGAGAAATATAATTATTATATTGATAAGGATTTTATTTTAAGTTTTAATCTTTTTTCAATTAACTTGATTAAATATTAAGAAATGAGAATCAGAAATATTTTTGATTTATTTGAATAGTTTTTAATTTGAATGGAATTAGATAATGTTAATCCTTATTTAGATAATGTAATTGAGAGTACATTGATCTCTAAAAGGTTGGATTTTTATATATTAAGAAACCTCAATAGCTTAAATTATTGGTTTTTATTTTTCCTTATAAAATTCATAATCATTCAACCAATTTTAATCAGTTAAAATGAAATTTTACTAAATTAAGATACAAAAAGTTATCCTTTTCAATATATTATAATTGTGTCTAATTAAGGATAAAATAAATCTAGTTCTTTTTTGGTTAAACACATAAAAGCTTATTGATTTTAAGCTAATATACTAATTTGAATCAAGAATGTATTCATTATAAATAGGTCAGAAAGAGAGAAATTTTACATCTTTACTAAGTAAATCAGCTTAATTAAATTAGATGTCTATATAGAATTATAAAATAATAAAGCGTATAAACTCATTCTTAAAAAAGAGTTATATTAAACATAATCATATAAAAAATTCTAGTAAAAATTTTAATAATGATAATTTTTTTTATTGACAAAAATAAAAAAACTTCAAAATATAAGATCAAAGAAATAGAAAAATATAAAAAGTCTTTTTGAACATTAAATTTTAATATTTAAGCATTTTTAATTAAATAAGATTATAAATTCATTACTTAATTAGTATTAAATGATGAGTATAAATTGGTTTTTTTCTTTGGATTTAATTTTTATTTATTTGCAAATAAATTTTATTTAATCATGTACCTTTCAGCAAGAACACAAGGAAGATTAGCAAACTTAATTATCACAATAGCAGAAGGAGAAAAGAAAACAGAGATGGTTCGTTAAGTGTTAGCAGAACAAAAGATGTTTGAACCATATACTGCCTTCAGAAGATTGGATTAACTGAGAACAGGGGAATTAACTGTTTCTGATATAGTAGAGTTCTTGGCAGATAATAAAATTTATCCTACAAAGGCTCAATCTGATTATCTCTTTAGGAGACTCGATCTCAATAGAGATGGAAGAATCACTTATCCTGAGTATTTTATTTTTTAATATGCTTAGCTTCGTTAAAGCAATATTGCCTAAAGAAGACTCTAGATTGAGACAAATTGCATCTCTTAGAGATAGTTATTACATTGAAGTTAATATGCTATTACCAACAGAAGTAGAGTGGGGACTTTCTAGAGTATTCTAATAGGAAATTTAAAATTATAAGTAATGATATAAGTCAATATTTAGTTCAATAACAGCTGCCTAAGAAATATTAACAACTAGTGTTGATTTTACATCCTTAGATGCATTTAGATGCATTGATTAAGTATATTTGGGATATATTACAATTGATACGTAATAAATTTTATAATAAATATTAGTCTTTAAGATTTTTTAAGATAAAATGGAGCTAAATTATCATTTGATGAATTGACAGCTTTTTTCAGAGTTGTTGATTCAGATGAAGATGGAAGAATATCTTACTCAGAATTATTGGAGGCCTTAACTTTTGTTCCAGATTTCTTCCAACAAGAAAGATAAATAGCTAATGAATTAAGAAGAAGTAGAGAGAGAATCATTCAAATCGAAAGAGAAAGAGAAGTCTTACAAGATTTAAAAAAAAGTAGAGAGAGAGTAGAAGAGCTTAGAAGAAGCAGAGAAAGATTGGAGTATATGTAGGATTTGAAAAGAAGTAGAGAAAGGGTTGAGTAATTAGATGAATTAAGAAGAAGTAGAGAAAGATTAGATGATCTTAGAAAGAGCAGGGAAAGATTAGAGGATCTAAAGAAAAGTCGTGAAAGATTAAATTAATTAGAGGAACTTAAAAGAAGTAGATAAAGAATGGAAGAATTAGAAGAATTGAAGAAAAGTAGAGAAAGATAAGCTTAAATTGATGAATTAAAAAAAAGCAGAGAAAGACTTGAAGATTTAAGAAGGAGCAGAGAAAGATTGGAACAATTAGAATAGGAGAGAAAGAATTAAGAAAAAATTGAAGAACTCAGAAAATCAAGAAGTAGAATTGAAGAATTATAAAAATAAAGAAGAAAAATGGAAGAATTAAGAACAAGTTAAGAGAGATTAGAATAATTAAAGAAATAAAAAGAAGAGATTGAATTAAGAAGAAGTCAAGAGAGATTAGAAGATTTAAGAAAAAGTAGAGAAAGATTAGAATAAATTGAGGTTTTAAGATAGAGTAGAGAATAGTAAAGAGCTTTGGAAGAATTGAGATAAAGTAGAGAAAGAGTAGAATAGTTAAGAAAGTCTTAATTAAGAATTGAGTAATTAGAAAATGAGAGAAAGGTTCTTGAGAGAAGTAGATAATTAGATAGAGTTGAAAGAGAATTAGAATATGAACGTCAAAGAAGCAAAGAACGATTAGAAAGATTAGAATTAGAAGCTGAATTGGAAAGAAGAGCTAGAGATAGGGCATTAGAATATGAGTTTGCTACATAAAGTAACTTTGTTCAAAGCAGAATATATGATACTCCAAAGAGATACAAATGATATAACATATCAATTAACATAATTTTTGGATCAAATTTTAATTATTGTATAGAAAGTTATCTTTTTCAAACTTGGCATAATTCTTTTCTGCTTACAGATTTTTATTTATTAAATCTTTTTAATCATTTACTATTTTACTAAAAAATTATTTTTATAAAAATTATCCATCTAAATTTACAATAAAACATTCATTTTTACTAGCAATACTTTTTATTAATAATCAAATCTATTCATTTAACTTTCTTTTAATGCATTTAATTTTAATTAATCATTTATCAAGTGATTTAGATGGCCATCTTTATTTGAAACCTAAAATCAAATAATTATATATATATAAATCATACCATATTTTTAATTTTCATTTAATTTTAATCCTAAATAAAATACTTTCCATTCTTAATACTAATCCAGTAAATAAATAAAAAATATTATAATAAATTATATCTTTATAACATGTTAATTTAAAATTAAATTGTTTATTTAAAAAATATCATTTTGACTTTTTTATTGTTTGTTCTTTTTATATCTATTAGAATTATATTTTTTTTTTAGGTTTTGGTTCCTCATCTTCTTCATTTTCATCATCAACTTAATTTTCTTCATCACTATTTTCCTCATCCTCGATATCATTTAATTGTTTTTATTTTATTTTTTTATTAGATTTTTATGTCTTAGTGTTTAGTTTTGTTGATTATTATTTATTATTTTATTTAAGATCTTCTTCTTCTTCTACTTCTTCATCTTCATCTGTATCTGGAATTTAATCTCTCTGTTATAAGTATGCATTTATATCTATACTAGAGTGTTAAGATGTCTATTCACCTAATTATTTATGGTCATATAAATACCATCTTCCTCAATCTCATCATCATCCTCAATATTTGAATCAATTTCAAAATCTTAGTCATCTTCATTATTTTTAACTAGATTGTCTTCATTATTTTTCACTATTTTTTTTGGCTTGTTATCATCATCAGAATCATTTTATATGTTGTTATTTTTAAGTTATTTACTCATTATAATATTATTTGTTGAAAGACTAATACATCAAATATATATGTTATCTATTCATGGTATTAATTATCTTTGATTTTAATTATTCAAAATTAAAAAATGCTAAATATATACGCATAAAATTAAATAAAAAATGTATAATAATAATATAAAATATAAATTAGTAATCAAAATTATATATTTTCTTTCCTAGAAGTTGATTAACCAACTGATTTATAATGAATCTATTAAAATTTCCTTGCAATTTTTGCTTTTTAATTAGCTATATGATTTGATAAAACATAAAAGTTTTTCTATTCACCACATTGATTACTCAAAATATTGCTACAATTATTAGATTAATTATTTTCTTTAATTTCTCTTTTTTATTTTTCAATCACTAAGACATCCTAAAATTCCATTGGCTCTGCTATTTGAACTAAAGATTATTTAATATTTTTACTATTATCATTTAATTCTGCATGTTCTGTATGTTTTTATTTTGGAGACTCTAATTCTAAATCTTAAATTAAGTTTACTTTGATTCTATCATTTATTTATTCAACAGGGATTGATACTGAATTATATTTTGGTGATGTAGGTATATTTTTAGTTTATTTATCGCATTTTAATGAAAAATTAGATGGTTCTGATACTTTCTCTCTTCTTTTACTTTTAGAAGGTTACGTTTATTTATTTTGGATCAATCTTAAAGTATCTGATCCAGTTTCTTCTTTGATTA